CCCTCTGATTTTCTTCCAATTGCTGGATGCATTGCTGGGTGAGTTCACTTAATTTTTCACGCTCCAAGGCTAATTGAATTAGTTGCTGTTTTAAACGGCGACTCGCGCCCGATTTTCGCTTCCGTTTGTATTCGTATTGGTCAATTCCCAGTTTTTCTACATCTTGCACACCGGCAACCTCTGCTGGTATCATGCTGGCACTGTTGTTTTGTTGGATCTCGTTCCAGATACGGTGTTGTTCGCTCACGTCCACATCAGCCATAGCGGCTTGTGTCGCTAATAACTCCGGGTTTTGCCAACTCGGTAAATGTTCTGTTTTCCGCTGCCCATGATATGCCACCGTCGGATCCCGTGGTACTCCGACATAGACTGCTGAGTCATTTGGTGCCATTTTGGGTGACAGCCGGATATTAGACACATCGAGACCGAACGGTAATTTACTTAGCGCCTGTTCATGAGTCAGCTTTTGCTTCTCCGCCATTCTGTCTTCGTAGGAGACAGGAACTGGACCTATGTCGGACAACGGCATACCTTCTGCCGGAACAAATGTGCCATTTTCGAAATCTCCTGCGGGAGCTGGATTTTCCGGTGAAAAAGTTACTTTCTTCTTGTCTGACGTTGCCAACAATTCATTTCGATGTGTTGAATTATAATGCTGCCGGTAATTTAAAGAATGACGACATTCTTCACATTCCTTCTCATATTCTTCAATTTGTATAATTATATCCGGCCAGTAGAACATTTTCACCAAGTACGGATAAAGTTTTTCTCTTGGACCATACACCTGTTTGTGGATCAGATTTTCGTGGAATTTAGCGATTAACTTCTCACGCCACTGGAACGGTACGTAAATACGTGGACACTGCCCGTCATGATCTGGAATTCGACAGATCAATCCTTCAAAGGTGATCATTCTGTTCAGTTCGTATTTTAGATAGTTAGTATTCGCGTATTCGGGTCTGTTCAAATATCGGAGCCACATTCGACTATCCATACAATTTTGCTGCTCGGTTTTCCAGAATTCTACATCTCTGTATTGTTTTTCTGTTGGAAATCTATCTCTGTCTTGCGGTCGGGTTGGCGGCATCATCCAGCGCATCAGTTCTGGATTTCTGGCTAGTTTGGAGGGATATTCCCGCTCATGTGTTTCGTCTACATGCTGGTGATTGAAATCAATCGGTACCACGTTCAGCACTTTATTGCCAAACACTACACATTCCGCTGTTTTATTCGTCTTTTTAGGGAAGCCCGCAAATGTGTACTGTTCATCCGGTAAAATATGTAGTAACGCAGCCAGCGTAGTAAGCGATTTAATCGGCTTACCGGCACCCCCACAAACTTGACTAGCATCAATTGCAAAACATCGGCTCGATTTAATTATGGAATTTTTTACAGGGTTTTGTACTGCCGGTAACGGCTTCACATCTCTGTGGGGTATTTCCTCCTTCTGGACATTCTGCTGCGGCGTCGCGCCTCCCCCACGAACTTGACTAGGAACTGGATTTATCGATGGATTCACGATATCATGTTTTATTACACCATTCTCCTGCTTGATAATCGCTTCGTGCTTGGGTTTTATATAACCTTTGACTGCCTCTTTTACTGCTTCCTCCAGAAATGCCCGATTCCTCTGATTCGATCCTAGTGGCACCTGACCCGAATTCAGAGACTTCGCATTCGCTTGAACTACTGGTTTTGGAGGCCGAGGCCACTCCTCTTTTGCTCGTTGGATGTGCATCATGCACATTTCCACTGGTGCTTTCGTCAAGATCAGGTGGGCTGACTCGTACGGTACAAATTGTGCTTCTTTCGCGACACCGATTCTTTCTGTTAACACTAGTGCCGGTATTGACGGCGATGGTTTTACTCCAGGTGGAATCATTGGATCAAAGTGATGAGCTCTTATGATATCGGACATTGAGTGCATCTTTCTTGGAAACCATGTCGGAGAATTCGGGCGTCGGCGGGACAATCTCCACGTCATGGTGTTCATATCCAGAATAAAAGGTTTCGTTGCTAAGAAGTCCAGTCCCAATACAATGTGGTCTCGTTCAAACGTTGAACTGACCAATACTGCATGCTCAAACGCCATCCCGAACTCGTGGATGGTTATGATCGCACACATGGGCTCGATTAACTGTCTTCCTTGATAAGCCGTATGGACTACTCTCCCTTGAATGTGATCGGGACATTGATGAATATACAAATCCAAATCTTTCGCCATTTGATGCGACATCACCGAAATACTAGAGCCGGTATCAATCATTGTTTTTACCTTTTGATAATTCACGTCAATTACTGAATACCATGCCTGTGCATCTAAAGTCGGCTTCAAGCATACCGCATCCGTTACTGGATACTGATTTGGATCTACAACTTCCAACGTATTGCAACTTGCCGGAGTGCCATTCGCTACTGAAGTACCGACCATTTCTAATTCCATAATGTTTATCTGAGGATTATTACATCTGTTTAGGATTTCTTGTGTGGGACGGTATAGTCGAGGCACTGCTAAGGGATTCAGACATGATGCCACTGAATGCATCCCATGACACCGGTAACAAATTTCATTTCCTTGATTATTTCGCCATGCTTCCTTGCAGATGTTTCGCTCATCAAATGGCTGTTCCTGCTGATTCGGTTGCTGAGAATTCTGCCGATAATTTTGATTATTATTCGGCTGCTGCTGCCGATAATTATTATTGTACCCACCGCGCTGGGAGTTATTCCCACGATAATTATTTCCATAATTATTCGACCTAAATTGTCCTTGATTCGTACCCTGATTATTATTATTTACAGGGGCATTTGGCCTAAACTGCTGGAAATTTTGCAAGGGCGGAAGCGGCTGCTGCACAGGTTGCATAGGGACAACCAGCATCTGCATATGCGGCTGAGTTACGGGCGTAGGAGGCGGTGGACAAATCTGAGTAAACTGTACCGGTTGCATTTCCTGCGCCTGAGGCTGCTGGTATACTGGGTACGGAATATACTGCACCTGCGGCTGGGATACATTCGGAACGGAAGTCGCCTGCGCCGGCGGCGGCTGTGACGGCTGACTTCCCGTTTGGACATTCTGATAATTTCCTGAACCAAAATACTGTCTTGAGTACCCGCCTCTATTACCAAAGTAATTCCCGCGGCCTCCACGCGGCTGGAAATAACTTCCGCGAGACTGAAATCCGCCACGATTGGTACGGTTTTCTGCATCATTAATACTGCCTGCACTTCTCGGCTCTTGAATAACTACACGTTGTCGCGGCTCGCCTCCTTTTTTCTCTTCATCCAGAATTTTCTGCAACTTCTCGCAATCCTGCACCTGCGTTTCGAACTCTTCGTAAGTTTCCGGCCTATTGCGGTATAAAGTTGCATACCAACCCGGTCTATGTTTTTTCAGGCCTTCCAACAGGACTTCCACTTGTTCCTCTTCCTCAATTCGTAGTTCCTTGAACCACATCATAAAACTGTCCATATACGTACGGACTGATTCCTCCTTTAGGCAATGCCTGTTATTCATTGCCCGCCTCATTTCCGCCTTCGATGATGCACCGTTGAAATGCTTGATTAACGCCTGTTTAAAGAATCTGTTCCATGTTCTTGTTGGGTTATCCTTATACAATTCAGCGAACCAGATGTATGAAGCACCCTTCAATGCACCGGAAATTGCTTGACAGGTTTGTCTATCATTCCATCCGTTTGTGGTACGACACTGGTCTACTGCAATTACCCATTGTTGAATCCTTTCAGGACGTGAGTCATCAAAATTCGGTAATTTCATACTGGATTCTGTTTTTTCAGAACCTCTTCTTGCCAACTAGAACCTTAGCTCTGATGTAATCTGCAGCTACGATCTGAATGTAGGCCAGGCGCACTGACACTACACTTTATGCTTTATTTTCTCCGGTCATCGCTTTGCGCAGATAACCCGGAAATTACCCACTTTCACTTTATTTCCAACCACTTTTCCCTGGCTGACCTTTAAGGTTTCAACCAATTTTACTGCTGAATTTACGGTCCGAATTTATCAATTAATTAATGGCGAGGAAGCTCAGCCAATTGGGCGAGGAAGCTCAGCCCGGGGAGGAAGCTCACCCAATAAAACTCTAGGCCAGATGTGGAACGCTGACCTCCTTCGGTGTACCTTTCGGTTCGACACCTTTCTACGGACCACCGCAATTTTTTATCAATTAACTACCATCCAGATTCCTTCCTTAATTTCGCTGTAACATCGGGAAATTAAAGACCATCGGTGGGCGCCATGTCGTGTTATGAGGTTGCCAATGGTACAAAGAAGTACACGATTAGCTAACAACTCTCCGGACGGGATCGTCGTATCCACTATCCCTGCCTTGCTCAGTGAGTATCGCAACTCTTGTCTCAATTGTTACAGCGGATCACAGGAAATGTATGGAATCTGGTAGGTTCAGGAACACGAAGATCAGGAATCCCTAAGCGATTGTGCTGAAGAATACTCCTAACTTCCGGTCGTCACATATGCGGGTCGAACGAAGTACGAGCATACCGTGTTTACCACGCTATAATCCGATATAAATTACGAACGTCGATAATCACAGAAGATGCTTTACTCCGCTAACACACAATCATATGCACAACACAAGGAAAGTTAAAAGCAAGTAGTCGTCAGATCAGAAATCCAAGACTGAAATCCAATCTCTGTCGATATTAGTAGAATCTCAGACTTAAATAGACTCAGAAGTAAAAACATCAGATACACCGCTAAGCCATAAATGTAACGAATCACAGAACTGATCGGTGCTGATATCCGGTGTTGTACTTGCAGGTGAAGGCGGACAGTCAGTGGATGTACGGTGGAATCCCTCGTACGTACTCCTCCACACGTCAATCCATAACACATCTCAAGATCATAATATTACTTTCCTACGGATTCAACTGCATATGGATGTAAGTCCACCCCTGGACTTACATCCATATGCAGTTTTACGTTTTAACCGAAGAAACCAACGTAATGCAGTAGCATTTAAACAACAAGCGTACAAAGAAAATGTCGACCGGCAACCAAAATGGATGCAGTTTAAGAGCGTGCAATCAGACGGGTACCGTTTCCAATCCCACAGATACTGCAGTCCAGCAATTGTGGAGAAGATGGTTCGGCTCTGCTAACTACTTCGAGAGCCAATAAACCACCGGAAACCAAAAATGTGCATGCCTACAAATTCAAGTCAACAAACTTACAATCAGGCATACATTTCCTAGTCACAGAAACTTATGGATAATAACTGGCATACCGCTGCTAAAAGGCCTCGTGAGTAATGTATTAAACTGCCGCCGGTAAAGTAAAGAACGTAATGTCGTGCCTTTTCTTCCAGTAGATCGACAATCGCGATCAGATTTTGGCCCTAAAACAGACAGTTTCTTTGATAACGTAACAGAATTGCTGATAACCAGACACTTACGTTTTTGAGTATCATATTCTGTGCGCTGGTTTGGCTTTCCGCATCCATTCGTAATTCGTATAGATGTAAAGCGAATTTATCGGCCTGTGTAACAAAGGTTACAGTTCTAAAACAAAGTTATGCGAAAGTTGAACTATAAAGCTCGGTAATTTCAGGTGATTGCCCTTCGATTACTTAAGAAATGTAGCAGTTCCTATCAACTAACCTGGTAAGTGGTTACGACTAACAGCTAAATAATCTGTAATCGCATAATCGTGTTTAAATATAGCTATGGTATACGACTGCAGAATACAGTAAACGTTTCAGAGTTAACCAAACCGCGAAAAAAATTCTAGTATCACAACAGAAGGTATTATTATTATCTGAACTTTGAACCTGAAGTTCGTATCAATTACGTTAGCTGAGCTGACCTTTTCGTGCACCTGCACAAGTGGAATGGCAAACAACACCGCATAGCTGAAGAAGATCGCAACGCTGCTATAATTCAACACAATTCCCGTGACAATCTTTGGCGGCGCCGCAATAATCGCCGTTATAAACGAGCATGCCATAGCCAGATTGAAGCCGAAAATTGCTAACAGCACCCAGCTATACACTTCATTAAGCGCTTCCATACATAAAATTAGTTTCAGATGAAAGTCCTGTAGTTCTCTAACAGAGACAATAATCTCGCAGATATTCTGGCCATTCATCACTCGTTTACGAATTTTTTGGTTTTCTTCACAAATTCCGTGCAGGCATCGCGTAGAACGATAGCATTGATGATAACGCAGATGTACAATTGCTGAGTAAAATAATGCGGTATCGAGCAAAAGACTATCCACACGATGCATGTTTGTGCCGCATTGATTTTTATTTTTAGTGGAGCAAATCCTTCCTGAAAATCAGGCGCATACCAGCGCGGATTTGCATCGGCATACGCGCGCCATTCGGTAAACTCCCATAAAATTATTATCAGTAGTGTAACGCATGAAAATGCGGTGCCGGTTCTTTTCCAGGCAGCTCGATTTGTCGCTCGGCTGTTGCCGAAATCCGAGATCTCTCGAATGGCAATTTGCAGATTGTGCCAATTTTTCCTTCTAAACAGAAAAATCGAGACAACGACAACTGGTTGTACCGGTAGAATCCCGTATGCAATCAAGGACAAACTGTGTAAAACAGGACTCTGGTAATCGCCATCCGGATCTTGCATGGTAATGAGGAAAAGATTGATAATGATAATACTGGCGCGAACTATGCCGCCTAATATAAACGCGATCGTGACACAAAGAAGCGCATTCTTCACTGCGCCAATATGACGCCATTTTGATGTGTTCGTGAATACGAGGTTGAGTGGCAAGATGCCCACAGTGGCTAGAATTTTCTCAGGCGTTCCGATTAGTAAAGACTCCGTATCCATAAGAAAGTTTGCCGTAGAGAACGACTTTAGGCGATGTGGTGGGTTTGCAGGACAATTTCTCATACTCAGAACTGTCATCATCGATCACCTTTACTGAAATTGACAGGTTGGTTCCGCGGGTTAACTTTGTGTGAGCGGGGTGAAATCGAAAAACACCTGCGCTCATTTCAACAGAGAATATCGATTTTCTTGAAGTTTATTAAGCGAACGGATCGTGCAACTGTAAATTTCTTCCATAGATGATCGTGTTTACTCTGGTAGATTAGCTTAATATAAGGTTAATTAAACTTTTTTGGCTAACAGTTTGGCTACTTGTGTCAAATCGGTGAATTATCGTTTTCCAAATCAAACAACTCTGGGAATTTTTTAGGCTCACAAGGACACTACTACATGCAGTTAACGTTAACGGTTAACCACACTTACAATTTTCAATCATTTTAATTAGTTTCTACCAGCGCAAGCTTATTTTTATGTGAACTGGCCATTGCCGAATTAAAAGTAAGACCACACTTACAACAACAGCAACATTTACATTTATTCAAGCCATCCATCTAAGCAGTATTTTGATTTTCCTTATCAAATCACTGTTACAAGTACTTTAAGTTTCTGACCCTAAGCAGAGTTATTTGCAATGGGGAATCTTTGGTGTGCCTGTATGCTGGTCGATCCCTGTGTGCTGTTTATCACTTCCTGTGATAGCACTCCTGCCGAAACCAACAAAGCACAAGTCTGTAACAGAAAAGCACATTTCGCCATTATAATAAAATACATTACATATATCCGTACGTCAGCTGCAGTAGCGGTGGTTAGCGGCATTTTATAATTACCCCGGCTAACAACGAGCGCGTGTAATAAACGAAGTGCCCACCCGTGAAGTAAGGAACATGGGAAGCTACGTTGCGTTCCAAGACATCCAGAATCGAGATAACAGGTTGTGTCTGCCAAAAGTCAGTGAGTAATTATGGCTTACAAATTTCTTATTGATGATCGCGACACAAGTACTGTAGTTTTAAGTTTCTTACTCGCGTTTGAGCACCATTGGACAAGTGTTTTCGGCCCACAGCCGTCCGTAATTTATAAAGCTCCAGCTTGAAGTGTCCAGCCTGAATAGAATGCAGACAGTGCTGTATACGTATTTGTGATGGGGCAACACATGCGTTTGAAAACTCCAACCTTCTCATGAACTTGCACCAGCGGAATTGGGAACAAGACGGCATAACTGAGAAAGATCACCACACTACTACAATTCAGCACGATACCCGACAATAGCGGCTGCGCTCCGGTAAAAACTGCCAGTATAAAAGAGCAGGTCATGGCGACATTAAAACCGTAAATCGTAAACAGCATCCAGCTGTACATGTCGTTCACGGTTTCTACGCACAAAACCAGCTTCAGATGAAATTCCTGCCTGTCGTGTAAAAGTGGCACGGCGTCATTAAAGAGATCCTTAGTGTCTAGCCGGGAAGCAATCAAATGCAACTTTTGGAGGAAAATATCGCAACAATCGCGAATCAAGATGGCGTTGGTAATGATCATAATGTAAATTAGCTGACTGAAGAAATACGGTACCGTGCAACACAATGTCCAGAACAGAACTGTTTGCAAGAAATTTATCTTCATTGGTAACGGACCGAACCCGGTTTCGAAATTTGGAGAATATGCTGACGGATTGTTATCAACAAATGATTTCCATTCCAGCCGTCCCCAGATTAACACGGCCGTTAGTGCTGCCGCGCATAAAACGACATTTGTTCTGTAGGAACTTGATCTTTTTGGGATGTTCAAATGGCTGACGATACTTTGCAGCGCGTTCTGCACAGCAGACCAGGATTTCCTCTTGGCAATGAAAATACTGACTACAATCGGTAATTGTAATGGCAGAATCGCATAACCCATCAGCGACAAGCTATGCAACAGGGGATCTTTATGGGCGTCGTTTGGTGTTTTCTGGAGTATCGTTAAGCAAAGACTAGTCAGGCATATTACCGACATTGTCAAACTACCAGCAATGAAAACAAACGGTATACCAGATAGAATCGTTTGGATGTAATCGAGTTTTACCACGCTACTGAAAACGCTTTTCAACGGCGAAATACCAAAACAAGCCAGTATTCTTTCCGGCAATCCGATGAGCGAGAATCTCGCTGACATGGCGAAGCCTTAAAAAGTGGGGTTTTTGGTTACTTTCTAGGATTTGACAGAATCAACGACGATGGATACTGCCGCCTGCCCTATGTTCAGGTCCTGTATGTGAGATACATAGTACGTACATGAGCGCATCATGTTCCCGTTATTCTGTCAAGCAGTGCCAGTCTGATAAACCCATGTGGTTCCAATAACATCGCTAGCGAGAAGGGTTTTCCAACAGGTGCACCATGCTTGTACAAGATCTCACGTAACAACTATGAGCCTTGCGACAAGGAAGGGTCACGGTTTTGTTTGACAAAGCTCGATAGACGCTCCACGGACTCGCCGCGGAGCCATAGCAAAATTGAGTTTTTTACAAATTCTGTACATTACGTAGTACATAAGTTTTCAACAGTAGGAGCAAAACCATTCAAGTGGAAACCAAATCAAGGTGCGGAAAAACAGCTTTCTTTACCCGTCGAGCCAAAAAGTCATCACAGTTCCAATACCCTACAAACAGTTTTAGGCAGTTCACGGTACAAAAGGTCAGTTTTTTTCAAATCTAGGGGGTGCTTACTCACTTTGAGGTATGTAAGACCGCGTTCGTCCACTTTGAAGAGCTTATCAGTTCTCAGTAGAGCTTCCGTGGAATAGCTAATCTGAATCTTGCCAGACTGACTGGAGGACGCCAGTCTGGATGTGACGTTGACTGAATCACCAAACCTTGAAACGTATGAGGAACAATAATGCGCTGACATTTGGACAGTGGACAGGCTATACCTATGGGAATCTTTACAATACGTACACGCAATAGCGTGGCCTGGCCGTACCCACAACGCCGGCGGCGCATGACCCTAAAATACAAAATAATAATCTTGCCAAATTGTTTGTTTTCATAATCTGCGTTAACCCTATGATTTCCCTATCCATCTTCGGTTAACACTTTAATAAAATTTCTAATAGTAATCACGAAAGTTCCGACTTTACCGCTGTGTATTCCTGCTTTTAGTCTGAGACGCTCCCATAAGAAGCTTTGCTCGAAGAGTTCTCTCATCTCCAAGGCTACGTCAGCTATAATATGCACGTGTTCTCCATTATTCTCCACCGGTAATCCACTGGCGACCTGTTTTGCAAAAGGACAAGTGGGAGGAACCGTCTTTGCATACCGCACGCAGCATTAAACGTGTTCAAAGTAACGTACCAAGCAGCAGTCTGTAATGGTTTCCACCTTATAGCAATCGAATTTCGCTAGAACGCGATCGAAAATCGTGAACATGGAGTTGAGAAAAATAACGATCTCCAACGGATCTGACTCGCATTTGCTGACGAACTCGTCGAAACCGGCAACATGGGTCATTAAAATGGTGACCGAAGGGAAGATTTGCGGCTGTACCAGATTCCCAGTTCGAAGTTGCACGAGAACATACCTACACGACGATTCAACTGCTCATTGCACACACAATATTCTTTGAGAAATCTACCTAGGAAGCATTTCTCCCAAAAGAGAATCACATTTCTCCATTTCCTGCTTAAGCGTGTGTGTTCGGAGGGACACCGCATTTTCCAGCTGCAGCGCGTATTCTTCCAGGCGTCTGAGCAGCTGATCCAAAAGCTTTCCTTGATTTGCGACTATCCTACCGATTTCCAGTTTGACCTGCCAAATATTCGGTCTATCCATGGGTTCTGCACTGTGGCACTGGTGTAAGAGATTGGATAAGATTGGCACGGCGTTCCGAGGAATGTCATGCTGATTGGCTAAAGCCGCTAAGTCAAAGTCAGCAAGGTCGTCTGTAACAAATACATGCAATTCTTTTGCGTCAAAATCAATGGCCAGCATCGCATAGATTCTCATGAAACCTGTTTGGTCAGCGGGGTCTTGCAAAATATAACGAATCAAGCATCCTACAGCGTAAATGTCAGCGGATGGTTGGGTTTGCCATGCAGCTCGAGAAAATGCCAAATTCTCCATTAGATTGGTTCGCAACTCCGGAGCAACCCACGCGTTTTGTAACGATTGTCCAACGGTTTTTAGTTCTTTCGAATTTACCACTTTCACTTGTAATTCGTGGACTGTATCATATAGTCCCACTTCGTTAATTTTTAACACCAGCCGGCTATCGATCAGGCATTTGGAAGGTCGCAGATTGCCGTGACGACGAATAGCAGTGCGGTGAATTGCGGATACACCCTGAAACTATAACGATGGTTTTTCGGACACTAATAAACACGTTTCTCCAATTACTTCGATAAGGTCAGCGATTAATGAGCATTTTAGGCTCCAGTCCAGATGGATGTCTTCCATTAAGTTGCTCAGATTTCCTTTGGGGCACAGAGCAGTCAAGTACAATAGGCGAACGGGCCCAAGACCAATGCCGATTAGCGGGTTAACGTTGCAGCATCGGTCTGTCAAGGATCGAATCTGCACAGGAATGTGGGAAGCCAAGATTGAGCAATGTGCTTACATGGTGTACATATATGGGTGACCCGGTCAATTAACGAACCTCGTTAAGTAGAGCTCGAAATTCTCGTGTGGGTCTGATAGTTTCTTGATGCGAGGGCAGACGAGCATTGTCCTGCGTAAACTTCACAACTTTCACCCACACCGTCCGTCCTCGGTATGACATCGTTGCGTTGATCAAGTTGGACTTAAAGGAGCAGGGATGGCTATGCTCCGAAACCTACATAAATCTTTCATGAACGTGGAATATACTCTGTAATTTTCCAGGTTTCTTGTAATTAAATACCTTACTACTGCTGCCGGAAATCACCGCATGGCTGAGGTAACGCAAATCCACAACCCACCAATCATCGTCAACAGTGTGCTTTCTCTGGCCTCTAATCTCATCACAGTATATTCCTGATACCGTTTTTAAGAGAAACTATAATAAAGCTCAAGTTTCTCTTACATAAACGTCGGCACTATGAACAGCAGTGCGATGACAACCAGAACTACTCCGGACACTATTCCACCAATCACTGAAGGAGCTATAATAAAAATGATACGGTAATGATGATTCGATTACGAGTACTTCTACAAAAATAGACAAGAAACCGACCTAATTTTGCACAAGGTCCTTTATCTCTTCTAAATCCGCATACAGGTTCGCTAAGCGGCGGGCGGTTGTTTGATGTTCCCCAGTTCATTGTGATATTAGGAACGGTGCGCAATGTATAGGTCGCACTGTCGAAATATCGTGCTCTCTAGGAAAAACTCAAATTAACCATGTCGAAGATCTACTGATTGTGTTGGACTCATGTCTTATGTTACCACAAATCGCCGTTGTTCCGTATAGAAAGTGTACAAGCAGATAACGTTTTGTCGTTCACCGTTTTGGTCAATGTACACGCTGCCCACAATCGGCAGTGCAAAGGTGCGGTTTAGCATGGCACCCGCTAAATGTGTTCCGTCACGCGGTTCATTTCCTGCATTGACTGTCTCACTTAAAACCTACCAAGAAAATCAGGGTAAATTAGCACTAACGCGCTTAAATATACGGGATTGATTACTTCAGCATATAGAAGAACGGCACTGTAGGCTGTCGTCACGAATTCGTTTGTCTGAAACTAATCACAAAGGTCAACACACAATCTGCTCGAAAAATGGTACGTACATTTTTCTGCTCACCCCGGCGCCTGGATTGCGGAATGTGGCGTTATATTTTCCAATAGCCAACGCTTTCATCTCTTTTCTCAGTTCGGCAATCTTCGTATTATCGTGTTCGAAACATATGGCCATAACAAACAACGATTGCCAGAGAGTTGTCACTGTCTGTAAACAACAGTGCAAATATAAAAGATTATTTTTCTACACACGAACTAAGATTGAGCGTGTTACAAGTGTATCGTTGTCTGGGAAAACACGTTCCAAGGGGCTACGAAAACTTCCCAGAAAATCCAGGTAAATGTGGACCTGCAGGAAAGCGCACAGGCAGCTTCAGATAAACTTTAGACAGAGTTATCTGCTTTGGTTGTATGCTTACATATTCTTCTCTAGTTTCGCCGGAAGACGCAAAAGTCAGCTAAAGAACAGTGAGTTAGCAGTAGTTTACGTAAGTATTATATTGGTTTACGATGATGATCCATGTTGGTTTTGTTTTACCAAGAATTGTTCCGTTGTATTGACCGGCATCGCCAAGAAAACCACTGCAATTAATGCTATCCTTATTAGTTATTATCAACATTTTGCAATGTTGAAAGCGTTTACAGTAAGCAGTGCTGATGGCGAGATTAGTGATGGAAACAGATTTCAGTTTTCTGTGTTGTTTTGTCCGCACGCAAAACACTAGGACCGTTTCAATTCACGTGCTGCTGTGTGTACCTCGAGTCAGAACGGATATATCTTTAATAATTGGCTCGAAATCAATGCTGTCTCTGGTGTCCACAGGAAACGCATGTACATCGACGTGGTCGTAATTTTGTCTCATAAACTGGCCGATTTCTTGTGACACACGCAAATGCCAGACCGTTAAACCGGAAATATCGTATACGATGGCAATGCTGTTCCAGCTGTACGCTGTGCTTAATTGTCCAACCATGACTCCGTAGATTTCATATTGTGATGGTCCAAGAGCAATAGATGTCGGATAAACTATCCGATTTCGCAAGGTGGAAAATGTCGGCCCCCTTTAGAAAATGGAACTTGACATGAGAGCAAGCATAATCTTATGCTTAGCATTACCACCAGAAGCTGTACTTCGCGATGAACTTTTATACATTACAGGCTTATAGCGCGTATACCGCCCGCATGTAATAGAAGGTTATCGGAATAGTAAACTAACACTTCCTCTACATATGATTATAAGCGTTATCGCAAAAACAGACGTAACACTCACACGTTAATTGCCAGAAGGTCCCACTCTGCAAAGCGACATAACAAGTAAACAATAATAGGTAAATTCTACTTCAATCTGCAATCTTCTAACCTCGACCAAAATCAGCAACTGTGGTAAATGCGTCGCAGCCTGAAATATACCACTGCGATCAAATGCGCATCTTTCTGTCTAGTTACAGTATATTCGCTTTACCTGCATAAAACACAGCCACAGCTTGCGTTCCATTTTCGAGAAGCCTGTAATAGCGCTCCGCGATCAGGTAATAATTAGCGGAAATATCTGGACATTGCTGCACTGACTGGGAAGCAACAATGTCCATGCGGAAATTAAGCACCCCGGCGTACGCTTCGTTAACCCTATCCACGGCAAGTTCAAATCCCGGCGCAATAAACGGTAATCCTTGTAAATACGGCGGCTTCCACATGCCGTAAATCATGAGTGTCACGTTGAGGGTGTTATGGACACCATCCGAAAGGCAAAGTAAAATGACGACTGAAAAAGCTGTTCTAGCATGATACATACTGTACTTATTCGTGGTGCGTGCAGGTTGATGGCGTTCTCTTTGTTTACCTATACGATTTACGGTACATAAAAATGCATTGGTGTCCTTCTATCGCAGGTTATATCCGCCACCATAATTGCAACCCTGACAGGCATCTTTCCATGTTACGGCGCAGAAGAGAAGACATGGTTCTGTGTGCAACATGCCACCCAGAGCCGCACGAATGCGGCACGCGCAAATTAATCATGTATTACCGCAATGTTGACGTGAAGCGCCCATCAAGCACGAGGACCGCGGTACCGATATTTATTAAATTATTACAGCCGGCAAGTGGATTCTGCGTAATAATTAAGTTAAAATGTCATGGCACAGATGTCAACACAGAAGCTCACCCACGAAATGCACGAGAAGCAAGAATACTGAGTAGGCATCGTGACTTTTACAACTCAAATGACGCTCCTTGCTTAATTCTCCTCTGTTCCTAAAGGAACTTATATAAATAAGATCAGCAAACACAGGCGTAATATTCCGTGCCCGCAGTATTTCTGCAAGACCTTTCACGGCGCATTCTGGGTATTACACATTTTCTCCAATAATTTTAGCCCATTTCTTCAATAATTTTGGCCTAAGTATGGAATAAGGGAATCTACCTAAAGTGTCGAATTAAATGGATCATATTGCTGCGTAGTAAATGTTAACCGTTTACCCCTATAATTAGTACGTTTCAATAATTGTATACGCCGATAGGCATATGGTTCTTACATCCGTATCTAGCCGGTCTAGTTTAAACATTTGCTGGACATTCTTTCTGCAGCATGCTGGACATCAAACAGAAGTTCTTCGACACCAGCAACACTCTAACTTCGTCAGTAGTCGTGGTTCAAAGCTACAGCTAAAAATGATTGACAGGAGGTGTGACTACAAAGAATAGTGATGTACAAGTATTTATGTGATGCAGGTACCTGGATATCACGTGTTTAAGCATTGCTGTCCATCCGGACTGTTACCACTCCAAATACAAGTACATACCACGCACAAAGCGCATTTTTGCAAGCCATATGCACCGTCTACTGGGCTAGGTACTCGTATATCATGACTCACACTCCTGCTTATCGCGTAAACCGCAAACGGACCCTCCGTTCTTGGTTGCAATCAGATTTGGAAGGAATTCAGTACTTACTAGAAGTACAGATAGATATGAAGTGTGAAGTAGTGACTGTGAACAGTACAGTACATGCTTGTACCTATTCGATACACCGACACTACAAACACCGCAGGCTACACAGGCAACTGATTCACAAAAACCGGTTCAATGGCGACCGCAACGCAGTCAGCGCAACGCAGTCAGCGCAGCTTGTTACCTACTCGGTAGTGCGGCGCTAATTTTTTAGAACAAATTCTTTTGAATTTATCTAGTACACGTAAGCAGTTTGCAAATGCCGACTGTCTGCATCCCTTTTTATTTGCAATAATATAAAACCATCTATCTGCTCCGATTGAGGCCACAGCCAGAGCAATCAGTATTTTGTTTAAGTTAATAAGTAACAACGGAGCATTCTGTTTTATCTACGTAGTTTCACAAATAGTTATAGAAGGTACCAATATTACTGCCAGTCATAATGGAGTTACTACCGGATGTTCTGTGTGAAAAATCATCTTTCGGAAGCACTTGTCAGTATCAGTATCAGACTATTGCCTTTCTCGGTAAAGGCACTTACGGGACCGTCTACAAAGGGAAGATATCAGAGCGCGGAAATTTTGATGGAGACGAGAATGTTGCAGTCAAAGTAATTCACTTCGTCGAACACGTTAAATTCTCTGGCACCAGTAACAGCTGGATTACATTACAACAACGATGGAAAAAGCTTCTTGAACTCAGGAACGAACATTTGGTGGCATACCACAAGGTCACGGTTATTAAAGCGTACGGAGCTACAGCCGTTGAATTTATGATGGATTACTGCAGCGGTAAGTATCTTCCCAATATCGATGCAGTGCGATTTATCGTAAAAACTAACCCATCTTGTTATCAAATATTTCAGACGGGGATTTGACTACCTTCCTCCAAAACAGAGCGAAACAACGGTCAGCAGCAGCAACCGCTGCAGCCACGCTAAACGAGGCATTAGTGTTATGTTTCGCAATCCAGATTGCTAAAGGACTCGCTTACCTGCACGCAAACAACATCATACACGGCTATATGAAGCCGCGTAACGTGCTTCTGCAGTACAAAAACAACGGGCACTGTGTTCTTCGTATTGGTGACCTTGATGACCTTATACAAATGCAGCAGAATATCACTAGTACCAACGACATCTCCGAACTGCGCGGCACAATTCGATACATGTCACCCGAAATGCTGCACAAATTTGGGAACTTGGAAGTGAAAAGCAAAGTCGGTAGAAAAACCGATATATGGAGTTTAGGTTGCATTATGCATGATTTAGTTGACTGTTGTTTTGGTGTAACGGAAAGAAAACTGTACAAACCGTTCAGCGAATATTTCCTGGTGGACAAACATACCACAGAAACCTCGTTTACGGTAAAAATAATGGACGGCTACATACCATATATTGATGGAAAGGTCACGGCCGATTTCGCTAAGATAATTGGGAAATGTCTGTTAACAGACAGCACTCTACGCATGTCAGCGGTTGACGTACAGCAGAATTTATCCGCTTTAACCAAGCAGCTGACGCCAGTTCATCCTGCATCCGAATCAGAAGACAACCACTGCTTTATGTGTGGCATCATTTCCGATATTCCCATTGGACCCGAAACAGGTTCTACGGAAGGCGACAAAAACGATACATCTGTGATAGTTATTCACCAGTTTCACCTATCCACAAAACTTCCAGCCTATGAACACTGGCTGGTACATATTCAACTGCAGTTATTCGAACCATCATCTATGACGCTTAAACCTTTTGATTTACCACTACACGCGCATAGTTACGATTACATCCCCTTTTCTTTTATACTGATCGACAATCGGCTGATCTGTCAAGTTAGAAAATTAGTTGATCCAGATACCCAAAAAGAATCTATTGCCATAATGGCATATAATTTTGAAGAGCACCGATGGTCAGAGATGTTAGCGGATTTCGATATCCGCAGATGGTATTTGGCTCCCGTATTAGTCGGCACGCAAATCTTCTTCTGGGATTTTCCAGATCTGAATGGACCGCAAAAGCTTTTGCGAGTGGCAACAGTTTTTCCTGACGACAAGATTCGTCTTGACTACTCTCTGGAATTCAAAAACCTGTACGTGCAATAAACGTTTAAGTTTTGTATAAGGAAGTTTAAGCACTATGTCATTGCCATTACTCGGCACTTTTTCTAGACGTGAAACTTGGATTGCTGTTGCGAACACGGACGACACAGTATTATTCCTGGATCGAGTTCCAGCACCCGTAGGGGAATTAGGCACCGACATTCGCTTGAATGCTGTTACGAGGGAATGGCAGTTCATGAACGCCGTTCCACACTGTAAACCTAGGCGTGATTGCGCTTTCGCCGTGATCGGTGACCATCTGTTTATATTGGGTGGACGAGAAACCGGGTACGCTCGTACAGATTCCTGTATAAAGCTGGAGATAAGTACCGGCCTTTGGCAATCTGTCAGCGCGCTGAACCAGCCAAGAATGTGCCACGGGGCGTTCGCTGTTAACGATCGCATTTATGTAGTCGGTGGTTCTCTGGACAGTAAAAATTCTAGCCGGCCATCACAAACTATGGAAATTTACGATCTCCAGACAGATATTTGGTCCGAATGTACGCTTACAAATATGGACTCCCGATGTTTCGATCATGCTACTTTCGGAAATACTCTCTGCTTTCCGTTCAAGCAGCGGAATTCAGATAACGCAAAAGTGTAGTGACGTTAAACCTTCTTCGATCCGCGCCCGACGATTTTTGACAGTTAGTGCTGCTGTGCGCCCAAATTTCCAGTAATCTTCGGTGAGGCTTTTTTTGACAGTTGTCGGTGGCATCCAAAGTAAAGCCATTAAATGTCGATTTTTAGAGCAGCCTTTTACGTTTTGTTTTTAAAATAAACTTCCGACAGCAACTTTGTCTATAATGCGATGGTTTTGAGCGTAACTGTTATTGAATTGCAAAAGCAATACTTTAATTCGAAGCAAGCGCCGTTGATACGTTTTGTTCGCCGCGACAGTGAACGTACGCGTTGATCAGAATGCGCACTTAGAATGATCATTACTCCAGTTCAAATCAAATAAACAGATACAAATTTACTATCAACATAATTAGCACGGATAACGGCGTTGACACATGTCAGTTTATTTTACTGAGGAAACGGTGTCGTCACATTCTGCGCATAGGGACAGGAAAAAAGATATCGAGCCATATCAGATTTCCGGTAACGGCTGTTTTCTTTCTCAGGATTGACCAGAATCATGGTAATGTCAGATTCTTCGCTACCGTGTTGGGATATTCGATCAGGCTGTCTTCGGCTCGACTAACAACCTCATGGGCTAGGAACGCAGCGGAAACCAGAAACGTTACTGTCTGTAAGAGACAATCATACACACCGTTAAGTACAGATACACTCTGTTAATCGCACTTTGAAAGGATACTCTCCAAGACGCAGCTCTTGCGCTCTTACCCATGTTAAAAGACCTCTGTTGAAATGGATGAGCTCAGCAGCACACAGGCTCACGTTGAACTTTTGACAGGCCGATGAAAAAAGGTTCAGATCAGCAAACACGCGAGTATGCTGCAAACAGATACAATCATGTCACTTCTAGGTACATGACATCCATTCATTTCTCTCTCACCCTTTGATTAGTGCTAGTGTAGTTGCTGCGTAGAAATGATGTTAAAATTATGTTAAAATAATAATGATGTTAACCATGCTAAAACAACCTTTCGAACCCTTTACCTAACTTACCATCGGCAGATATTGCAGTTGATCAGTAAGGCGATAAAGACGCAACGGCAGCTTGCTATCCTGTAATCACAAACAAAAATTAATTGCCGGCATGGTTAAAAGGCTGTATTAAATTATTAACATTTTGATGGCGATTATAATGTACGATTACCTGCTCATGGACTTGTGCCAATGGTATCATAAACAGAATCGCATAACTCCCGAAAAGCACCACACTGCCGACATTCAGCACCGCCGTGATTGCTAGTTTATCCGTATTGGAAACCGCTGCTGCAATAAACGAGCAAGCCACCGCCAAGCTGAACACGTAGATGGCACACAAAATCCATCCAAACATTTTATTCACGCTTTCGCAGCACAGAACGACTTCCAGATGCATCCGGCGCAACACGGACACTCTTTCCTCCACATCATCCAGGATTTTCTTCCCAATCGGGGTGTGTTTTCCGAACGCGTGAACGTCTTCCATCTGCTCCCGCAGGGCGGTAATGTCCAGATTGATCTGCTCGCAGGAATCCCGCAGCATCAACGACAGCGATACAATCACGATGAAGATGAGCTGAGAAATGTAATACGGAAACGAGCAGCAGCAAAACCAGAACAAGTACGCTTGAGGCAATGTAATCTGCATGGGCATCGGTTCGTATACAGTATCGTAGTTGGCCAGATACCGTCGCGGATCCGAATCGCTGAAGCGGCGCCATTCCACGTATTCCCATGTTGTTATCAGCATCAACGTTCCGGTGGCTAAAACATTCGTGACCTTTCTCCAGTTTGCTGACCGTCGAATGCAGAGATTTTTATACCGTGACATTATGTACAAACGGTATTTCAACTGAGTGAAGCGATTTTTATTCCACAGCATTATCGATAAGACGCAGAGTGTGTGTAGATTCACGAAAGGATACGCAACAAGCGGGAGCACGCAGATTAAAGGACTTTGGTTGGGGGAGAACAGTGCACCTTGAACGAATTTCCATAGAACCGATAAAGTCATCACCGCCGTCTGAACTGACGCGCCGACAAGTAGGATATACGGAAATATTGATGAAATAAAGCTTCTTACTGATGAAAAAGGACCTTGTGGTTTCGAGTTCACAAGTGGTGGTAGAAACCCGAAAATAGTTAGGAGGCGTTCATGATATCCCAAATCAAGTTTGAAATTGGGAGTTTCATCCATCGCGAACATTAAAATTTTAAGTTCGCAGCCAACCTTGCAGAATCAGGCCATGTAATTTTTTAACGAACGGTTCGCTTTATTTGCTGATTTTTAGCACAAGAAAAGTGGAAATTAGCAAAAGCTTGTGCCTTGATTCAGTCAAACCAAGAGAGCCAGTCAACGGGTGTCACAGAGAAGGGAACAAGAGCCCTCGGTTACATGGTAAACAAATCACGGTTTTCATTTCCTCTAAATGATAAACCTGGTCCACTTGCCTCGCCGATTACTTAAAAGCAACGCTGCAGTGTATCATATTGCAGTGATTTCAACTGTCCCAACCTTGCCACTGTAATGTTTATCTAGTTTTCAACCGAAGTGATTCCGATAAGTGCTTCGACTCCGCATCGGTTATACATTGTTTCGATTCGGCTCAGATTTATTGATCTTTTTTGATTTTACAACAAGTTTTCGAAGGTTTCGGACATGAAGGAGGAACTAGATGCTGCTGTATTACATACATTATGTAACGTGTAATTTTTTTTGTGCCGGTTAGTAAACTGCTGTATCTGTTGGTCTCAACAGAGTACTCGTGCGTGTAATTCTCCTTGAATGGTCTCATACGCATGTTCCGCTTTGTTAATTACACCTGACTTGTGAGAATGCTGTACTGCGCTTTATAAACAGTAACTAATAGTTACTTATGAAGTAGCCGCGGCTTACTAGCTCGATGACCGTGACCGTCATTTCCTTGACAGTAGGCTACTCAACTCACAGTATTTTCTAAGTCTATTAAAAATTTGCCAAGTCACCAAGGCATGCCGAATAGTTGTCCAATGGTTGTAATAATTAATTAATCATCAGCTAAAGCTTTAAGCAAATTCCCATGAAGACGATGTGTGTTTTTGACTGGGAATGCAACAGGGAAAAGGAGTTAGTGAAATGACCAGGGTAGGATTACTATACAGTGGCGTGTTCTTGTGTGGGATATTGTTCACCCTCTCCTCCAGGTATCGCTACTCTGACCTTTATACGGTATGCTTAAATTGTAGCAGACATGGCAGAAGTTACAAACAAATCGCTAACCAAATATTTGCAGTTAACCGGAAGTGACGAGCCTGGCAAGATCTGTCAGTTACAGTTCCTTCGATATGAAAGCAGTCAGTTGGAGCAGTCTTGGGTGGATAATATCCACGAGTGGCAGGTGTTCCCCTGCAAGCTGTTTCCCGCGCAAGTACGCCAAGCCAAAGCCTGGATCAATTATTCTATACCCGCACAACAAGCTCCTCCTGTCGGGGCTCCTGATTTGAGAGTCATCAGCAGATTTGTATATAGGGATATGTGCACATATGCTGAGGAACAAATCTGCATTGAGCCGTTAGCTTTCTTGACCCGGCATCCATACTCCTGCACATCGCGAGAAGACGGCAAGAGGAAGATATACAAATATTTGGGAGACAAACGATACCTGATTATTGACTGGGACCTGCCAAAGGGAAGAGCACTGTATTTTGATCTCGGAGCCAGTTTGTATAATAACGGGTCAGGTAAACTAATTTTTTGCTGCCTATGTAACGATATACAAGTGCATGGGGGTACACATACAAAGCGGGTCTAAAATGCGGTCACGCGTGATAAAAGCGTTTCAGTTCTGCTAATAAAATATATTGCTGTAAAAACATAATTATAGGACAGAATGTGTCGGCTTAAGCGGATACATTTGTCGCTTTCCTCTTCTAGGAATCTTTCTTGTTGTGCGCCAGTACGATACATATTACATAATTCTCATTGGCAGTACCGATTCGTAATAATTATATCATGGTCTTTATTTAAGCGCGGTAAATAAAGCGCTGTTTAACCGGACCACGTAAAGGTTCATTTCGATAACTGGAAAAGGCTTGGAGATTTTACTGTGAATTAAAAGCTCCACAATTATACTGTACATACATAGAAGTACGCGTAAACTATAGACTGCCGTCGCCCGCATTCACCGGCTACGGACTACACAATACACACAATCGCGGGTACATCTACGGCGACGACGCATATAAGCTATAGCGGTTATAATATTGTACAGATATTGTCACCTTTTCCTCCTTTTTTGAACTTACTGTAAAGTGTAACGAGTATAGCAGTTATCCGTTTTTTGTGAGATAAAATTAGTGATAGCAAACTTGAGCAGTTCGTTGTGTATAATTTAGGTGGCGATAGTCAGCAGTGGATGGTCGAGCAGTACGCCAAGCGCGGCGTTCATTTCGACAGAATCTTTGCCTGGGAAGCGGAGCACTATAATGCTGACGACGTTTTGCCGCCATTCCTGGACACTTGCACCACAAATACCACTGGTACAATTTTCCGGTGGCGCGGGAAGAAGGGAGCGAGCGGAATCCCTGGACGATACTCTCGCGAGTGGCCACTCCGGAGGATTACGTCGTGGTCAAGATCGACATCGACACGCCCAGCATCGAAAATCCGCTAGTACAACAGCTAATAGCCAACGCATCATTGCACTCGTTGGTCGATGAAATGTATTTCGAGCATCACGTCAATGTAACGATTTTGGGCAAAATTTGGAGCGGTGTGGAAGGTTTATATTTGAATGATACGTTTAATGTATTTCTTGCGCTCAGGCGGTTGGGAATTCGTGCACATTCGTGGGTATAAAGTGGAGCTGCTGCGTACGGTTATACAGGTTTTAAAATTAACAAAACACGGTGAATAAAAGTACAGATAGTCTGTTGTTGGACATGCGGAATAACTGACCTCGTTTTTTTAATTTTATTTTAAACTTTCTAAAGTGCTTACATGTTTTATTACGTGTGTATTCAAACACGGAACAATAAAACAAACAAATCAGTCCTATACACAGCATAACATAATAAAGAGAGGGATGGAGCTTTATACAGCAGGGGAAATGTTATGTAAATATGTATTATTGGATTCCCATCAAAATCAAAAGCACTAAATGGCAAAAATTTGCAGCTCAACTTTACTGGCGACACCGTTTAAAATTAAATTAAAATAATTAGGCGAGAAACTTATTATAGAACAATAATCCGGTAAGTGACTTAAATCCTTACAGCAATACATAATAATATTTACAAACGGTACAAATATCATAATCAAATATTAGCACAGCTAGATCATTTAGCGCCGACATCAGAGGCTGCAGTTTTGTGTAGAAAAGAGCCGTTTACAAATAATTACAGTCACAACCATTTTAGGTTTCGTCAGATATCCAAAATGAAATCAGATAATACTGACTTTTGTACTGGCCGTTTAACGGTAGAAGTACACGGAAACAAGTGCTCTTTACATGCAGCAAATTGGAAGGCTGTCTAATTATTTAAATGATGGATAAAATAAAGTAAAGTATAATAAAAATTGTTTTCGTATTTCGATCAAAAAAGTTCCCTGGGCGTTGCCAAGCCTAGAAAGCGCGCCAAATGCCACTTATACATGTACATAAGAAGATTATGCGGGTACTACTGTATGTAAAAAAAATCTACTATGTACAGCGCAATCGCATCCCGATGCGTACACAACGAGTTTCCGGAGGCGGTTGCTCCAGTTTGACGTAATCAATTGACTGATCCCGCAGTCTACCTATGGCGTGTCCATCGTTGTTGATAATGGACTGCCACACCGTCGGATTGACTTCCGCGAATGCCCCGTTCCCGATATCGCCCACTCTCGTGTACGTCCACTGTCCGTCAGCGAGTTTCAGTGCCGGTCGGTTGTTAGCTTCCAGGACGGCGTCCCGCTTGGAGCGGGTGAAACACACACCGAGAAGAAGGAGGGAGAGGAGGAGCAGATAGCCACACTGACGCATTTCCTTTTTCTTCTCCACCGGGATGGACAGGTAGACCTGCATAGCCAGGAGGATCAGCGGTGCCAATAAGCGGCATGCCGTGACGATGGGATCCCGTGCACAGTCTTCATAAACACCTGAAATTAAAGACGATGCTTCCGCCCATCTAATTATATTTGCGCATGTTTTTTGTTATAATGGATTACATAGTGTGAACGTTGTGTTGCATTAATTAAGGAAAGGTCACTTCTATGGATGCGGCTGCCGTGCGCCATGAAAATTTCAAGGGCGCTTAATTATTTCGTTGCACATCCCAGAATATATATAGGTATATGGTTTACACCGGTACAATATTGAGCCGCTCACAAGAAAACTTTGCGCTTGATATAAAAATAATACTACAACGTTAAAATTGATATCTGACGTAATACGGTACAAACTTACGGAGAACAGCGTCATACAGCAGCATCAGCGCCAGACCGTACCGGAAAACATCCCAGCACCAGCCCAAAAAAGCGCGCACGGGGCACCATAATTTGTGTTCCTCCCGATCTTCCTTATCCAATTCTGTGAAAGTGTACAAATCGTCCCATTCGTATGGGATTACAAGTGGAGTGTCGTTATGTTTCAGAGAAATACTGGAGATTTGCACACACATTCTGAATATTCAGAACGGGATAATAATTACACCCAGGTTGGCTATGATGGCATGCTAATGTAAAAGCCAGTGCTTCATACGAAAACGCGCTAACCATGGGAATCATCAGCACTGATTCAGCAAGGAACGGGAAACATCGGCAAGCTAGACAACTATAGCATCCCCAGTTTTTTACAGCTTGGACGTGCGCTACTGACGCATTTTATTACGTCTGCACTTTACCATTCGGGCTCTTTTCACGCCGGTATTCTGTTGCATCAACCATTGCTTATTTCATAGTGTCATGCTAACGTGAGAGATACCCATAAAAAACATTGTGCAACCAATCTATCTACTTCCGGTGATGCTGCGGACGTATTTTTATAAGGCTGTCCGTATGTCGACAGGTACATAACCAAGCCCACCTTCCAGCGAACCCATTTACGCATGGGATCGAATTAGAGGCAAGACAACTTCCGCGTTTTTGGTATGCATTGGGTAGATAAAACTGATCACAAACTTCCCATTGAAATGTATATGTGAAAAACGTGTTGCGCTATAATGGATTTACCTAAATTTATGCATGGCACAGTTCCGTCGTAATACTCGTAAAACAAGACAGCCTTAAATGCAGTGGCGTGGTGGCAATCGTCAGAGCTCATTTACGGTCACCGAGTGAAATGTAACGTGGATTGGTAGTCGAATGAAAGTTAGTGTCCAAAACATAATGGCTCACCGCTGTATTGGAATACTAAGTAGTTAAATATTAATTTGCTGGTAAGACCACTTAAATACAGTACGAAATAAATCAAACGATGCTATGCATGCACCTGATACATTGAACGATGCATGTGTTTTGCTGCAAGTAATTTGCTGTTTAGCATATTTGATCTGGGTAAAAATTCGATCGCTTACGTCTTCCGTAAATCGTAATACGACAGCGATAGCATTTGCTTGTTTTCATTTAATTTATACGCTTGTATTTGAAATCTGCGCGCCAGTGTACTACACATTACGTTCAGTTTTCTGTGTGGTTCCGAGTGCTGATTTATCACGCCTGAAAGATCCAGTGCACCAGAAAAGGCGATATATCGATGATATATATCTCAGGACGATTCAGTAATTTATTTTGTCGTCACATCATTGGCGATCCAATCGTACTGTGCATTACATACTTGCAAGTTGCAAGTGATACAACTAGTAGGTACAATTTACAAGAATCATCCGGCGGTATCCAACAGGGTATTTGTCGCTTCGGCAATGGAGAAGTTCACAGCGGGAATGGCTACCGGTTTATCGACTCCCAGACTGCTCAAATGGCTACGCTCCTGTAAACAGAAAAAGCGATATACAGATATTTGCTGAACAGTACCGGGTAACCGTTCATAAAAATTGAACAGTAATTTACTTCATTACAAAGTAATTACAAAAACTTACGAAACAATCAGTGCTTATTTTCAACAATCGAAGCAGACCTTCCTTAAACTTGTTCGTGAAATTGATTCGAAAAGTTATTTTCAGTATTAGTCAAAATTATTTATTGTAGGACGTACGTAGGAAGAACAATAATAAGTTTCGACAATCTGCATTAAGTGCGTGGTTCTGACCTTTTCGTCGCGATGATGCCGGGTGTTGGCGTACTTGACCTCCTCCCCATTCGTACCGGCGTATCCGTTGCTGGACAGCAGCGAATACGCCGACCCGTTACTCGTGGCCGACGCCCAGGCGGAGGCGGCGCCGCCCTTGAGGGCGTCCACCTGGGAGCGCGTGGGGTTGTTGTTCCACACCACGACACTCTGCCGGTGATGGGACATCCACGAGGGCTTACTGCTCAGGTACGGGGACGCCGAGCCGGCGTCGTAGCCGTTCATGTTGCAGTTGCTGTAGGAAGACGTGGTGTTGCCGGGAAAGACATCCATGGTTTTGTAATAACTCTTCAGATAATCACCTATCCAGCAAATAACAAATATCCGCGATTATCTACATTTCAACGACCTGAATTTATGCGAATACATTGTGATCTAATAACAAAGTACAGAACAAATTTAAAAAAATATAAATTATTTAAATCTCGTATAAATCTTTAACAGTCGTTACGTGAGAACAGTTCTGTTATGAGAACGTTTGAGCGTTCCTACTAGCGCCCCCACACTACGATAATATCATAATCCACATCTTCATTGCTCTTATGGAAGCAGATAAAGCAACGCGTCATATTTACCGTGGTTGTTTCCGCGTTATTTAACTACATTAAGCTGTGAACTGAATAACTATAACAAAACTGTTCGTTAAAACATCTAATTAATAAGAACTTTGACAATTGTTAAGTATTGTACGTCTGATTCACGGGATTGGAGGACAACAATTTTGTGTCGTTCTCTAGTGTTCAAATTTTTTAACTGTCAAGTAGGCCTAAATAAAAGCATAAAATTAATAACACATGAATCGAAAAACCGTTTTCGTAATACAAGCAGTTTTTCCGAACGCGTTTTCTAACTGCAGTTTAAGCAAGCTTTCTTGTGTGCCGTTAAAGATATTGCCGATTTTATTTTAATTCATTACTTATACACAGTCCGCTTGCACGGACGGCGTTGTTTTAACTTAATGACATTGGCATTTGGCAGTATTAAAGATGTCAGTTAGTTGTGACAGAATCGGCAGTGTATAATTTGCGACGGTTGGTTCATACATAAACAATGGGATGCGAGGACTGCCGACCAATCCATTATGCATGTTGACAAGTTAATTGTCCGCGTGGCCTATCGTCGGTTGCAAGCAGCGTTAGGCCGGTCGCTCAGCTGGCGGACGCCGGCTAATCGTAGCGTAATTGCCGGCTATCGGAACAATCGCTTTACACTTCATACACCCGCTGCACTCCATTAGAGCTTTATTACTACTTAATAGGTGGAGTCCCTATTAATGCGCAGGGCATTGTTGTTACTGCTCCCTGTGCACATGGATGGCTTGTTTCGTTAGATGCTACCATTACGTATGTCGCTCATTAGATAACGATGTAATCTGTTTTTAGTACATAGTACCTGACTATAAGGGGATTAATAATAAGCAAAAATTTTTGGAAGGCAGTTATTGGTTTTTCAGTTGCTTCTTTGTGAAAAAGTGCCGAAGTGAATAGATAAAAATTACGAGCACTGTTAATACGTATTATAGCATTACGACTCTTGAGAATGGGACAACACCCTTAAATGCGCGATGTTTTTACCAACCCTGCTGCTGCCATTGCTCTACAAAATCTCTACGCATCAGCAGTTGTTCAACTCAACGTAGTCGAGCAGCACCGTATTATACCGGCGATCCTTAGTAAATTTTTTTAAATTTTTTTAAATTATTTGCAACAGCCACCCAGATAACAAAAATAGCGAGCGCTTGTGATTACTTCGTTTATGTAGTACATATAATCATACTGCATAAATAATTCTGACGTTATTGTTCGCGTTTTCTATAGCTTTGGTCTACTGCTTTGCTTTGCGGAGCCACCTAAATTAGTTTACGGAATTCAGATAATCGAAAAAAAGACGGTAACTGTTATAAACTGCCAGCGTGCCAAGTAAAATATTCGTTAATATTAAATTTGTTCAATATCGACAGACAATACCTTAGACTGCAATTTTTTGTGCTCCATAACTATGATTTTCTGTGTAAAGTGCTTTTCGTGCAGTCCTCAAAACTGCTGCTCTCGTACGAACATCTCACCGGAAGTAGGCATCACATCGTTGTACGCTCCCGCCGGGTAGAACTCATACGACCGGCTCCCGTCCAGGATCCCCGTGCCGGTGGCCCCCTGGGGCATGGCCTCCTGCAGGGACGAGTAAAACCCGCTACCATACTGCGAGTACGGCAGCAGGGTCTCCGATCCGAAAAGGCGCGCCGAATCCAGCAACGAGTAGGCGTTGGGGCAGTAGTTCAAGGAACTGCTCAGTTGGCTGTCGGCCAGTGTCGGGAACTGCGCGGCCGTGTACAGCGCCGCCGTGGTGTCCGCGGGGCGGGCGGTGATGTCGGCGGAGAAGGATTTCCGCCGGCGCTGTTGCGGCTGACTGGTTGGGAGGGGCGCGAAGGCCAGGGAGGCCGTGGGGGAGGCACGCTGCTTCTTGGGTTTGCTGGGCCGGGGCGGCGGTTCGTCCAGGTACTTGTCGGTGTCCACATCTAGGTCGTGCGTGGCCCCGTCGCGTTTCGGGAGGCGGTCACGGGCTTCCTCTTCCCTTGAAAAACAATGGTTGCAATATATTTCTTGGGATCGAAAAGTTTTGCCGGCGCACCCCAGCGGCTGGTGGTTGCCCACAACGTGGTCGGGTTTCCCGTTTTTGAAGGAGGTTTTAAAGGTGGATTGCAGCCACTGCCACTGAAGGGATTTGTTGGCAATGCGGTAGGCAAGTAAATTGGACGATCCATGTTTGACCACTACGACAAAGCCAGAATTCTCAGCGTGACCTTTAATAAAATGAGTTTCTCGTCCAGAAAATATCCTCGAAAATCAGAAGCAAAAATAAGAACTATGAAAATTTTATTATAACATCAAGTGACCTTTAGAAATTTTTATTGCTGTCTTACAATTTTTATGCAATCCGATTTGTAGAGTGTTTTTTATTAGCAATTTTACATCGGCATTATTATTGAATAAAATACACGAATATTTGTGGATTTATTTTTAGGCCTTTAGCCGTTGTATGCGTTATGTTAATATGTCTTACAGGTTCGGTGAGCTGAAGCGACAAATGCCAGATCATCGGGATGCAGCCAGTTGTAGAAATTTCGGCTGGGTAACGAGGCCGCCTCCTCCTCGCATCCTATCAGCGCTTTCCCCCTGCAAACAGCCCAGCGGTTGCGTCACAGTCGCCCATATCATTGACAGGAAGCACGGTGCGCAGTTACTTGCTATCGAGGCTAATTAAGGAGAGATCCAGCTTGTGTTTGCTCTTGAAGCCGGCATCTCTGGGGGCATTATCCAGGAGAGCCGGTGGCCCGTACGGCGAACATATGGCAATCAGGCCTAATTGCCGTTCCGTACCGGCCGAATGGCACGTCGTTTGCCCGTACAAATGCCCGATGCGACCGCGGATTTCCATACGCTACAATAAATAGCACACCATTTTTCGCTTTGCTATACTTATAAAATAAAGCAGTTTACCATATAAATAAAATGTCACTTGCCAGTACCGAGCGTATTTGTAATTATACAGATAGAATATATTATTTTTAAAATTAAAATTCTAATATTAATATTTTCTAAACTGATTTAACGCTATTATGAGGTATATAATTGCACACTAAATTTCCCTACACAATCTTTTGTACACCATCAGTACGCTCGGCTAATTGTAAATAGAACCGTAATATATATTTATTGTCATAATATTAATTTATGTACAATAATATGAACGCTTTTTACGATAAAAGTGTTAAATATCTGGCGTATAACGCCCTTTTAAGGCTGCTTAAATTTGGAGGTAAATAACAGAATTAAAAAACAAATTATACCGAAGATATCAATCAAAGACTTTTATTGCTCATTACGGATGGGATGCATTGTTGCAAGCATATTTCTCTGCACCACTGTTCTACGATTTCGGTATGATAGTGCACGTAAGATATGCGCACCATGGAAAAGTTATATCGCCGTGCCATAAGTGCCAAACCGGCTCAATGTATTTCAAAGCAGTATTATGGGAGTGTAAAAGTATTAACTATCAGCATGTATCACATACCAGAAACCCGGATGTGTTGTCCAGGAGGCACCGGAAACGGACGCTGAAGCATCGCTCCAAAACTGGAGCATTTTCTATATGATCAACATGTCATATTGAGCCGTACCATTCGGAAGCAGATCTGGTATATCTGTTACGTTAAAGTGAATCACCTTGCTGGGAGACAGCTGGGAAAGACAGCTGCTTCATCAATTCGGGCCGGTCTTCCGAGTGGATGAAGTCGGTCAGCATGTAGTGTATTAGATCGGACTGATGATAATCAAATAAATTACAAGGATTATCGTCACATACGAAAAATATTTTGGTACAGTTTGAACTTTGGACTATAAAAATCTGGGTTTACCTGGTGGAAGCCGAGAAATGCTTCCGCCGAGCTGGATGCGAAAAAGATCTCCCCGTCGTTACAGGTCACCACCAGGATAAAGCCGTTCAAAGCCTGCACAAAGCACAATAAACGCCGGGAATGTTAACTGGAGAAAAGTAAAAATTTTAAAGTAAACCAAAGCCTTTAATATGTCAGCATCCAGTAGTTAGTTTTGGCGGTGTAATTTTGCACGGAGAACTGATTATGCATTTTATTTTTTTAGCACGCTTTATACGGTACTCGCACACTTACGTCGCAGCACAAATTAATCGTAAGCACATTAATTTACAACTGCTGCGTACACAAATTTGACTTCACAAGCGGGAAAGTGTAGTACAGTGGGTAGAAACCAAAATGATGACGTCTTTCAACGCCTAATATTATAATCAGTCAATCTCTTCATAAATTTTGAGTGGTACCTTTTTTTTCCAAAAAAATATGCAGGTGCAGATTTATTTCCTATCATACAAATATTGTTTGCTCTTGAAATTCGTAGACGTTCTAATTCGTAAGTAAGCAAAAAGGGAACAGATAATTCTGCAAATAGAAAATTGTCCCGCTGTAGGCGCTGCAGTGAGAGCGTTTATAGTGTCTGCTGCTACAATAATTATGCGTATGCACATAATTCATTGTAATTAATATTCTTATATTAATTTAGTAATCTTACTTTGTGACAGTACTTCTCGTGCGCTTGTACGCATCCTTCTACGTTGGTGAATCCCGAACAAATAACTTCAGTGAATCTTATATTTTCAAATTGCTTCAAACTTTAAAATCAATTCGAAACGTAAAAATTTCGGTAAATCAAAACTTTATGGTAGCAGGCGTGTACAAACAGCACAGTGCGTTGTCCTGTAATGCCTAATTACACATGCTCCATATAAATCCAACCCCGAACCGAACCCTCCATCAACGATCGGCTCTTTTCTTTTCCCCTTCATCTAACAGATAAATCATTCCCCGAAAGAACAAAAAGCCCCGCATCGCACCCCACCCTTTGATTATCCCCTTACATAGCATCGGAATATACGGCCGCGGTTTCATCGAAAATGACAGTCATACATACGTACTTCGAGGACCGAGTCGGTGTGCGTCAGTGTGGGATCCAAGGGGAAGGAGTAGCCACTACTGAGGCTGTTGTTGACTTTATGGGCATGATGATGATGCTGGCGATGATGGGCTGCTGCCGCGGCGGCAGCCACGTCGTAATTGAGTGCGTGCTCCCGAATCTGCAGCTCTGCAAGGGACAAAAGAGCCAGTCACGCACAGCACCGGCACAGTACTGCAGCACAGATAGAGAGAGAGACGACAGCCAATCCCGCTAGTCACGCAAGGCCATCATTGGGGACAAACAATCTATTGATCCATTTATTACGGGCAGCGAGTGCTCAGCGCTCGATCTTGTGGTACTACGCTGTTGAGGAGAAGGGGAGCGAGTGTGCTCTCGCCGCGACAGGTTAAGGTTATGTGGAGCAAAAGTTACATTTGAAGTCATCCAAGAAGGATTTATTTTACCAGAAAAATGGGCTCAAGTCTGTTTGCTGACAAATATAAGTCGACAATCCAATATTAGCACCGAAAGGTCATCGATGCTGGAAAAACTTTTCGAAAATTGCAAAAAATCAATCTGAGTGCTGTAATTAAACATGTTCGTAATAAGCTCACGAAAATGACTGAAGTTGTTAATTTTTCGGCTCTACTGAGTATGTTTTAAGAATTGAGCACAACGCGTGAAAAAATCGCTACAAAACACCGTTGCACAGGCAAATATTTAAACTATGATAATTGCTTTTATTTCAACGCTTGCTGCTAAACAAGAAAATGTAATGGAGCGAAAATAAAACGGTCCTAATAAATACCGGCTGAAATGCATACCTTGAAAATAGCTCTTAATCCGCAAATAGCTGACGGATAATCGTAAAATGGATAGTTTATCCAGTTTGCTGATGATGTTGGGATCAAACGGCAGCAGACCGGCCAGCCGTTCCAGCTCACTGTTCAGCCGCTCCCGATGCCGTTTACTCGGGTTGGTCTTCAGCACCGAACTGGGAGCAGTCCCGTTACACGGCAGATCCTTCGGCCCGACCGATTTATTGTTCCTACAACTAAAGGTCATCAGCATCTGAAATACATGTCAGACATTTCCAAATTTCGGCCCTTCTGATTAATGACCTTTATAAAAACTCGTAATTTCCGCATAAGAACTACTGTAACTAGCTGCTATACGGACAAATTAAGATGTATAGAGCAATCAATTTTAATTGTACGAGATGCGTTGCAAAAGCGGAGTGCAACGGCGAAAACCGCTAAAGCTGAACACTAACAGCGTCGACAGTTTTGAGCAGTGGAGCAATTATTTACCTGATGCAGCATGTAATTATCCGACTCAATAGCCATTGTCGGCTGTACGTTACTGTGTGCGCTTCACTGGAGCATTACTCCTGATGCTTGCCGATAACTCAAAAATCCTTAATAATCGGCAGTAAACAATAAAAGAGACGTTTTTTCAAATAAAATGTAAGATGTCCAAAAAAATTCAATCAATCAGCTTTTCCTCAATCTCACTAAGCTGTTGCTGAAATCATTTTTCACTCCAACAAAAACTCCTGACATACGCAACGATGGCTGCATAAAAAATGAATTATAATTTCAGATTTGGGAACGATACATTGATAATAATGAATGCGCCGCGGCCGCTTTCCAGTAGCGAACAAAAATATTCCTTCGGAAAAATATCGGACTGACAATTTCACTCGCGCGGCAGCGATAAAATATCGTTTGGCTGGTTGTGTGCGCGATGGCGGTGGGTATTAAAAATGAACGGAATTTCGTGCGTAAAGATACTTGAACGCATCGACATGCAACCTGGAACCGCGACTGGAAGCTCTGATCGAATGCTGCTGCATGCGCCGCTCTGCTGTGCTGTGTGCTCTCAAACTGTTTTGTTGTCGTGTAAATTTCTCGCACCACTGCACGACAGGCCCTTATTAAATTATTTTTACCACACTAGGAGTTTGCGTGCTTAAGGAGGGGCCCCGGCCGCGGCCTCAGCGCATAATTAACGTTCATAATTCACGATTTCGCACCTTGACATGCACTCGGCCCTTTTAAACACTTCCGTGTGGTGTCTGCCAGTGCGCGCGCGCTCACACGAACAGATCGCCATCTCCCGCATCACTCGCGCGATTCCCTAATATACGCATGACACACCGGGTTTTTCCTGAGCAGTTGGGGATGCAACGATTATCGCTACGTCGATTGTTATCACAAACTTAACCAGCGCTTCTTTCGATCCATCGTGAAATCACAGCCACATACTGGGAAATAACTCCTACGGCCTCATTAAGACGCAGCTAACTTCTGTGAGACACACAAGCGGTTATCAGTTAATGGACAGCGGCTACATTTATAATACGGGGAAATTAACTACGACCAGCTAATCAACGGAGTCGCAATTATGAAAGTCAGCGGAAATGCTTGGTCTCTGTATCAGCCTATGTCATGTTTTATACGCGCTACCAGGATTTTATAAAAAAATCTTTAACTTCCGAAATACTTGCTTTACGCCTTTACCGACAATCTATAAGTCATTACCGATTTCTCTCGTACTAGAATTATGGATAATTTCGATCATAAAAAATCAATGGGTAAAATATTTATCGGGGATATAAATATCGGACTTACCCTTTGACGGAACGACGACGACGTTTAGTAGCATACATTTCTCTTGCTGTCGAGATTCCACCAACTAGATCACTTTTGCAACGCACGGTAGACGATTTTATCCGACCTTTCCCGGCGCACAACACCACTCTGCACCTGCACAATTTCCTGGAGACTTGATCGGAAATGTATCCCAAAGAGAAATCTGGTGATTATTTCCTGGATGGCCGCGCGGCGCGGGATTCAGTGACAAAATGACAATAGTTCAGCGCGCGGCAGTCGCAGCAACTTTTTCCTCCTTCCTTCCAATCATCTGAATGGAGCGATCTGCCGCAGCAGTGACGACGGCGGCACCGGGCTGCTGTTGCTGCCAGCTTGAAGAGTAATTTGTCCGCTCTCAAAAAGTCCCATTTTTGCCCGAGAAATACGGGCCATATGACTCTCTACGGCTGCTGCTTGTCCGTGTACTGTGTGCTGTGATGTGATGTGTGTGTCGCTGCAAACAACAAGAGAGAGCCAATCATCGATCGGGCAGCGCCTTTGGTAAAGCACGGGCATTAAGATGACAGGCGCGCGCTGGATGCTGATTCTGCCGCCGGAATGCACTTGTCATATTATTACACCATCAGGAAAGGTTTGATGTTGAAAGAAAAAGTATTTGTAATATTTTCGCGAATCAAGTCCAAACAAAAAAAACCAATTTTTTTATGTAGAATATATACGTAAACGCACAAAGTATTTAACGCAGCAAATTTCAAAAGGACAAACTGCAGTAATAATTTATTAAATAAAATAAAAGCTTATTAAAAATTTACTATTTCGTAAAACGTTTTCAGCATTTATTCAAATTAATTTCGCTAGGTAAATAAAAATCAGAATTAAAAACTGCATTATTTTCCAACTAAATTTTACGGAATAAAATTTATTAATAAATTATATTAAACCGCTCACGCAATATTTTTATTAAATATTAATGTAAAAACATACCGTGATAAAAGCGGTTTGTGTAAAACAATCGCTGTTGTTGAAGAGGCCGAAAAGCACCGACATAATTATTTCACGACAGTAAAATACTGATTTAAAAAAAATTTAGATTTACTTTCCTCAGTGTAACTAGCACAAAAATATTTCTTACTAAATTAAAAAAAATACTTCGGTAAGAAATCTCGGCAGTTAGAGAGGAGGCCAGAATGGAAAAAGCGAAATGGCCCGAAATAAATCACTCTCCATGAGAAACGCTCGCGTGTCATGTCGGTTTGATATGACTTTTTGCCAAGACGATGGGATCCGTCAAGCGGAAAGCAATCGAAATGTGAGTGACCTTTTCCGTTGCACGATAGGCTTTAATTAGCGTACAAAGGCAATTTGTGGTTTTACCGCGCGGACACGATCAGGCAGCGCGTCTGCACGCCGCTACCGTTTAACGGTTTAAGTAATTGACCAATTTCTGGTCTTGTTCGCTTTTCATACCCTTCTTTACTATTTTCAACTTTAATTTTAAAATAAGCATCAGTTTGTTTTTTTTTCTGACCATGTTTTGTGTGCATAATTAAAAACTGTAACTGCAGGCATTTCCTTGTTAATAATATTTATTTATTATGGATTTTCAGGATTTAATATTGGTCATTGGTTGGCTGTTCAATTATATATTCCGAAAAAACTTTCCTTTTTTTCAATATTTTACAAAGTAAGTGCGGTTTCGGAAGCCGGATTACGGCATACATGCTGCATGCCTCAACGATGGATCAATTTTTCTTTCCGACTGATCAAGCTTAACGTACACGCGCGCCCTTTCGTGCGCGCACAGCGGTTCGGCGGTGAATGAGTGAATCTTGACTCTGGAGTATTAAAGCGCATTTTAATTCTCGAGCATCCCGTACAGCAGTCGCCTAAATATCCTTTACCGCGCATTAGCGTAATTTCGCCCATTCCTACAAAATAGCACCATTATCCCAAAGCGTGACGGCATAACAGTGTGCCGGTGAGATTTCGGTGGCAAGCAGTTCCGGTTTGATTTGCTCATTGAATTAGTTTCCAGCTTGAAATACCATTTCTTAATTAATCAGCTTCTATTTAAATCATATAAAGATCCAGGATATTTTTGCTCCTATACGTCATTTATAGCCTATAAATTATAGGTCACTACAGATTTTCGGTACAGCAAAAACGAAAGGCAAATAGAAAAATAATGCTTTTTATTCATTTTTAGTGATAAATGTTTTTGTAATAACAAAAACCACAAAAACGCATAAAACTCGCCAATATATAATTTCTTTTAAAATTAAAACTTCGACGCTAAAAATAAAGGTCAAGCGCGTTAATTTTTCTGTGTTTTTTTATTAATTGCTTGACGAATGAAATTCAGATAAAAGCGGAATAAGTTTAAATCGATACTTTGCACAAGTTCACTGCGAAAATCACAAAACCGTCGTAAATAAATTTCTGATTTTGGTATCATATATATCGTCATAACTGTATAACACTGTGGCGCTGCAGAGTGCCGATTGTTGTGTGAGCCGTTAGAATGCTCTCTGACATAATTATATCACTCGTTGTCAAAAACGTACGCTTCCGTTGGAGCTTTTAATTGGGCAGCTTTTGCATTTGCCTGAAAATATTGCTGACAGCAGCGCTGACATTTTGGCTGGAAGGGAAATGAGCGCATAAATATTTGATATTCCGTCCCAGCGATTACTTTATTCTCTCATCCGGCACCTTGGTCTGATCGGTGCTGATAAACCGGCAACCATTTCCCCCGGCATATGGCACACACAGCTACTGGATATATACCGGCTAACATTATAATGCAGAAGTACGGATCCAGGTGCATCGAGGACACTTTAGCCAAATTGAGATATCGTCGCTGTAAATAATTCAAATCACTCCGCCATGTATCCGCCAACTGCGCATCTTCCCTAATGACGTACTTGTTACACAAGATCACTTCACCTAATTGCCGTGATCCCGTTTCTCTGGCCCATGCTGCGCGCGAACCTGCACACACCACACACTCTGGGCATTTTATCATTGTGTCTTAGTGGTAGTAAATCGTAAATTTTATCTATCACTGCTGTATACTTGTATTTCTTGTGCTAATTGGTTGTTTTCTGACTTTCTGTTATATATCTAATGTTTTCCGGGATGCGACTGCCGTTTAGAAACTCAAAACGCGCAAATAATAATATATTTTTGCACATTAATACATAAGATATTAACATAACATAAAATTTTTAGCATTGAAAAACAGGTCATTGATATGCGAGCATCAATGTAATATTCGAGCAGTAACTGGAAAATTTAATTTTTAATATAATTGTAATTACACTTATATAAAAATTAAATTTTCAAGTTACTGCTCGGATATTGCATTGATACTCGCATACCAATGACCTGTTTTTCAATGCTAAAAATTTTAAGTTGTTATTTAGGGCACTTAAGAGCGCAAGGAATTTCTATGAAGTAGTCGAATAAAATTAACATTATATAAAACGATCATATCGGTATTAGAGTAATTTACGTTATACTGTTGTTATATCCACAGTATAATTTAATGTGACGCTAGACGTATTTTCCACCGAATTAAATGTAGCGATCTTATTATTTTGGGATTCAAATGTGTTCACTTAATTAACACTGTTGATTGTTTACGAAAAGGAAAGGTCATGAAAGCGAGAAGTCCGGAAGTGCACGTCAAATGGTCATCGACTCACCGGCCTTTCCAAAGAAACATGACGTGTTCATTAAGACGGTTTGTGGGCGGACTGATGTCATAATTAGTGAGAATTGAGAAATAATACACAGAGAACGGTGCTGGAAATGGGTGTCGCCGGCTAATAAGGATGTATTCTACTGCTTATCCTGACACGTTGATCCTGCTGTCTTCCTTTAGAGTAGCCGCCTACCTAAGTAATTGCATTACTACATGCTAATTAACAACTTTGATGAGCAATGTGTACAATGACCTTTTTGGAGTGAACCAAGCACACGCTGACTGGTAACAAAAACAATATAGATATTTCTCAAGTATTGGCAGATATTTCAGCAGCTTGTATTATATGCGCATTGGCAAAAAAGTTTCCATTGGCAAAAAGCATTGGCGAAAGAACATGTTACACTTATTTGATTTTTAGGTTGCTATTACGTATTAATTAATTATATTGAATCCATAAAAAACTGAAATTTTTCGAAGTGTTAGCTCCGATTTTATATATACGCATCCGCTGTTGCCAACTTACTACAAATATACTAAGTACGTATTACCGGAATATAAGTGGCATTGCACTACAATTCCTACTGCTTCTTCTGTCAACGATTTTCGCCTCGTTAGTAAGACTGTTTTGTTTAAAATTTGTTGCGAAATCATGCGACTGTAATCCTGGCTTCCGCACTACAGTAGTTGCGCTATGATAAGCATTAAAATTATTACTATCCTGGATTATGGTTACCACACTATTTTAATCTTCTGCACAATTATTACACTTCCACTTGAAATTTAAAAGGGAAATCTGTCTCGAACTTACGCTGATTTCCCGTTAAAAATTGTTTACTATCGCACCCAGTTATTTCCTTTAGAATGCTATTAGGTACAACTGGTACATTAAATTCTATTATTCCATTAAATTCTATTATTCCATTAAATTCTATTATTCCATTGAATTAATTACTGTTTCTGTACTTACGTTAAGCGTCGTTTTTCGAGATAAAACTAGAAATAATCCGAACAGCAGTTGCCACTATATCGGAAGCCTGAAATTTATTTCCAGCGAGAAACGAAAATTATTAGTAAACACACACAGCAAAAAGAAAAATCATTACCAGAGACACAAAACCAGCGACAAACCACAGCCAAATTACTCAAACGCGCACAATGAACCCCACCATGAAGAACCGCACAGAATCCACCGAACCCACACACGGAACACGAACTGGTTCCGTGTCTAACCATCGCAAATGCGTGTTTGTCTGGCATGTGATTTGTTTCCAACATCGAGTACCATACAGACTATACACACGACACAGAGCGCCAATTCTCTAAGCACAGCACACACTGATAATTAATAAACTAACGCCGGATTAGAAATAAACAAGAAAACCTACACAGGGGAAATTAATGAACTATACACAACCGCTAATCAAATTTCACGTGGCATATTAAAATTAGTACTGTACTTTTAAGCCGTATGTCAAAAAAATAAGTCAATCTATTCCACACTCTTTCCCCACATTCCGCCACAAAAGAAATATCCGCCCGAATTTTTAAAAATAATTTTATAGAGAAAATCGCAAAACAGGCAATTATTTTTTAACTTTTATGGGAAACTAATCCAAATTTTTTAACCGTAAAAACCCGTCCCTTTCCAAATCCGCTCAACTCTCCATTATTTCCCGCATTTTTGCTGAAACATTCCACAAAATCCCCGTCGAATTTCCCAATAAATTCCCTGATAAAATTCACCCGTTCAGTTGGCCTTCAGCAGCCACTCCTCAATATTCTTCCCGCTGTTCATACAGCAGTCGCGGCTCTCGCACCACCCGCCCTGGGTGACGCCGCCGCCGTCCTTCAACCAGCCGACCAGCTCCTCACTGACCGACGCCACGCGCGGGCGCGCACCTAAAATAATAAATTTATCGATGGTTATTAGCGCGCGTATATACGCAAGCTTGCCGTCAACACCAAAAAAATTCTGGTGTCAACACCAAACCAAGAAACGCAATCAAAAAGGAATATACAAAATAGTTTACAAAGCCCAAGATTACAAAAACGGATCAGGCGCGCGACGGCATGGTAGTCAAGTAGCAGTCATAAATTCTGCATCACCTGTCCTGGCAGATTGGATAAAAGTCTCGCCCCGCCGCTCCATCATCCGCGCCGCAGTGTTGATCAGTTCGTAGTCCTCCGACTTCCCATCGCTCACCGACGTCACCACCGAGGCACAATCGCTGTCCACCAGCGAGAAACTGTTGGGGCTGGCTGTGGGCGACAGCCAGTCTTCCGTGCGGCGCGACAGCGAGTAGAAGAAGTTGAGGCAGTGGTTGGTGCCGTGGCATTCCGTCAGCGACTGGCAGGGTCGATCCGCTCGGCACACTTCCACCACCTACGGCAAAAAGACCAAACATATTAGAAGTAACAAGAAAAATCAGAAACTGTCAAGCACTGCATTCAAAAAAGTCTGCGTAAAATTATCAGATATTTTTTTTATTTAAAAAAAGGCGCTTTTCATGATTCGTCATTTGATTTTGATCAATTAGATAACAAAAAAATTAGAAAGTAACGACTCTATTCGAAAAAGTCTGTGAAAATCATCAGAAAACTTTTATTATTCAATCATCTATTTTAGCCACAGCAGTTCAATGTAAGTAACTTACGCTCGTCGGACAACCAATAGACCACTACACTACGAAATTATCCCCACGAAGCTCTTACTACCGTACACTACACTTCTGGGCCTCTGGCTGAAGTTAAACTACCATTGTTGCACTTCAATGGCATACAGAGAGACACGTGTACAAATCTTCGTAGAAGAAATTAAAATATCCGTCAACTCGTTAAGTAAAGAAACCAGAAAATTAATCAGCTCACCGGTGGCAGCTGCACCACATCCGGCTGCATCAGCCAGGTCTGCAAATCCTTGGATACCGGGGAAATACAGCGCAGCTGGTCCAGGTTCTCGATTTCCAAGCTGTTTTCCGCATGGGTACAGTTTCCCGTTTCACCGGGGCACACCTACAAAACAAATGAAAGGAACGCTGAAGGAAACTGATAAAAAGATAACCGGCTTTGGTTCGTCTTGAAAATAAACTGCCCATGGCTCAAGACCCACATTTTTTGCAACAATTTGTGTACACGGTCAACTAATCCTGTCCGTACTGAGCTAGCCGTTATTCAACGTTTCACCACAGAACACCAGCAGTACTAATGCAATCAGCTTGCAATAATGCTGCTGCAGTAACTGCACAAGATGCAATGATTCGGATCCCAATTCACATCCAGTTCACCGAGTTCGAAAATAAAAATTGTTTTGTTTGTCTTAAACGAATAATATAAACAAATAATTTGTTTTAAACGAATAAGTAATAAACGCAATATCTGCTTGTTACATCTGATAAGATTGCTTTAAACGAATAATTAACGACAAGAAAAACAGTAACAATTCAAAAGAAAACAAAATACTAGCAGCGTACTAACAGCGCCGGATAGTACGCAAACAAATCAGTCGCCGAAAACCACCCATGATTTCGTCTAATTATCACCTAAAGTCAGATAATGCCATCGGGAAGTCCAATCCACGTCAAACAAATTTAAAGGATGATATTGCAGAAAAATATTACTTTATCACCGTCGTTTGATTGCCTCTGCTATTATGACTTATGCTCACTTCAGGTCAACAGACTCAACACAGCCGAACACCGACCGCGACTACACAACAATCAGCCACTCCACTGTTCTCTAATTCTCACCTGGCGTTTTTTGTTCGCTGAGCCGGTAGACAACTGTGTCTGCAGCAGCGGAGTCGCTGGCAGCGGCGACGGCGGCGTTTTCAGCCACTGATCCATCGACGTGGACATGATGGTGGCGAAATGGCCCGTCATCGCGTCGACGAGCGAATTTTTTCCCTCCTTCGGCGCAGTCGTCGCGATCACCATCGCTGTCATCAGCGGCTTCTTCTCCACCGTGGGACTGGACTGCAGCATCTTCGACGTCGACATAATCGCGCCCAGATCGTCAAAGTCGTACGGGAGTTCCGGCTCTTCCAGGTGCTCCAAATTAACGCTCGAATGCAGCCAGTTGCTCCACTAAGAAACAGAAGATCACATTAAGACACTCGTTATTCCTTTCAGTTTGCATGCAGTTCCACCGATCTGCCAGTTGCAAAACACGCACATTTGCAAAACCTTTGTAAAAATGACTACAGTATTCATATATACAGAAGTATTCCCTAGTTGCTCAATAAAATTATCCATTCAAAATGTCCATTCTACGAAATTCTAATACTTTCACTCCATCTGCTAATTCTAAACAAAATTATCCGTTACTGATGTTCATTCTAATAAAACATTTTATTTTACGCGTACAATAGTAAGTACCCATAATCAACACAAAGCAGAGTCGAGATAAAAATTTGTTGAAAAAGACGACGTCTTGAGTCATTGCAAAATCATTCACGAACAAATAAATCACCTGGAAAAAAGCGTATGTTACATACAAAAAATATAATCCACTCAGTCTTGAAAAATAAACTGCTTGTCTTTAAAATAAACTGTCTGCCCGTCAATTCAAAAGCCAATACGAAATCTGTATGTCATACGGGTAAAGCAATGACGTTGGTGCCTACGAACTAACTACCCGTTATTCTACGATAATCCATCAAAAAGCCAGCAGTCACTAGTGCAAGCACGTAGCAGCGATTGTAATAATAGCACGATTATGTTATGCAGTAACGAACCGTGATCACTCGCACCCTAATCCACATCCAATTCACCGTGCAATAATTACTGTAACAATTTTTATGAACCTCGGGACTGAATGGTTAAAAAAAAATATTGTATCCAATACTGTACAATCTAACCTTGGACGTTTTGGCGGGAGCAGCCGCCGCCTGACTGGCCTCAAAGACTTCTCCGCAGTTGTCAACAGCTGCCTGCAGCGCTGCTCGTCCGCTTTCCTCAAATTTCACCACGTGCTCCGTCTTCAAATCACTCTGCATGGCAAGACTCCTACATACGCACATCAGTGTCAACAATTCCTATTTTTCAAACTACTTTCGATTAAAAAATATGACGAAAATTTATTACTTTCAAATTCACACTGCAATATTTAGTAACAATAAACAAACCAAAATAGCTAGAAAAATTAAATTAAATTGATAACAACGGTGACCGGAACCCCGTACTCGTTTCGCAGCGACACGTGTACCATACAGGGAAACTACAGCACTAACTGCAATTAACTTACATATCGCGCAGCAGTCGCTCAATCTGGTCTTTGACATCCCGCGACGTCCCCGCATCACATCCCTCGGGATCATCTAGCAGTTCCACGGATTCCTTGAGCGTCCGCAGTGATACCAGCGTCTCGCAGACACTCAACTGCCAGCGGGATAAATTGGACTCCACGGCGCGGTCAACGGCACGCGTTAGCACAGCTTCGCGCTCTCGCAGCCATTCAATGTACTCCCCGAAGGCCTTCTTGATACTGGACTTGGCCTAAAAAATTACCAAAAATGTTTTTAAAAATATAAAAAACACACCAGAGGGCAGAGGATGCCAAAATGACGCACTATTTCAGCGTTGTGCACGAGGAGCTCACGCTGCTCCGTCATGACATCCTGCAGTGTGCGCAGGCTTTCGCCGTGCAGCTGATGGAAAACGTCCATTTGCAAGCTTCCACAAAACTCTAATTATCTTCTGGACAAAATGGGCAACCAAAATTTCGACTGTTCCTAACAAGGATTCACCAAATCAGCGAGGAACTCCGAGAATCGTCAGCGATTTCATCAGACGAGAAAAACCCCAATTCAAATCACAGAGATACGCGTTTCAACTTTCAGTGCTAGATTCGATGGATTAAAACAACGCAGTCTATCTGGAAGAACTACAGCTCGTGACAAGGACACCACCACTGACAAAAGCGATACAAGTGGAACGATACGATCAAAATCCAATGTACGATAATTTACGGCAGTGATTTGCTGATAAAATACAACGAACACGAAACGCTATCAGGAGACTGCCAGATGTGGCACGACGATTGAGGTGCTGAGCTAACCAGATTTAATTAGGAATAATTGGATTATTCTTTCCCTTTTTCAAAAAATAAAACGGGGTTAAAAAAATTGAGGAAAAGTCTTAAAAAAAGCAAACCCTGCCAAAGCCTGGGATGCTAAAATCCGTTGTCAGATTTTCGCGACCTGCTGCAAAGTTTTCACGATCGGACGACTGGCGTCGTGGATTGCATAATATACAGTGGTGCGCGAATAGCGACTCTGGCGTTTACTATATTTCACGTTTGATCGAATTGACCAGTGTGCTAAACTCCCGCCGTTTTTGTGTCGATTTCTATTTACTTGCACCGATATTTTTGATAAACATTTTCGATAAATATTTTTTTACTTGCTTTTTTACAAATTAGTTTCATGCAGGACAGGGGCTGTTTTAATTCCTGTTGGAATAGTAAATCGTCGTTCTGCAACGCAGCCCTTACGATCCACCACTGACGACAAAGCGTGACGCCCGTCCGACACAACAAGATATCGATTTTTGATGATTTTCCATACGTGTACCTGTGTAATGTGTTGTTGATCATGTATGTGATCTTTTCTATTTTGCGATACTGCTTCAACAATCTGCGCTTTTAATAATTCTTCACAAGAATATTTTCACCGCAAAAACTGGTTATTATATATATTTATCACAGAGCAATGTCGCAAAAACACAAAGGCTTATCAATGGAAAAAAGTCCAAATAAAACCGGGAAAAAAACAGCTCTTTTCTCTCTCTATAGAAAGCCAGAGCAGAAGATCCACTGTACAATTGTGCAAAAATATTATTGTCAGTCGTTATACTCTCCCCGCAGCCATGCATGCAGGAAGTGCATGTAGTCCGTGCCAACAAACAGCAGCGTGGTTGCACCTGCAATCGCGGCATAAATTTCAGGGAAAAAAGCGCTGATAATTCAACTTTGTTTACATATCCATGGGAAAAGTGTTTACAACGTACAGCTGAGAGCGAGGAATATTTTGGCTAACGGATGGAATGACTGGGCCGCGTTGCGCAATGTCGACCACAGCAGCAGCGAGCCTGCAACAAATAAAAAAAGTATCAGTTAACAAATTTTCCGTAGCAGCACCAGGCTGAGTACTCGAACGAGTATACTATATTCGTCAACCGACTATAACAAGAAAATTTAAAAAATGTGTTGGTAAATTTAACACTGAATTATTGGGCTGAAAGTACAGCGTACGGATGTGTCATAATTATGCGAATGCGGAAGACGCAAATACTGGACAATAAACCTTGACACATGGACAAGTGATAAATTAATTAGATGAAATAATTTGTCTAAATCATTTTATCTAAATCGACACCAACGTGAACTTCTAACGTTGATTCCAGTACATCAAACAAGAAATTTCGGACTGGTTTGCTGACAATTTGCCGTAAGTACGGATAGTACGGTATCTACTTTGTACATCCGTACATGACAGGTTACTTTCTGCGCAAAAGGGTACATGACAGTTTACGCAAAAAAAAAGAAAGTTTATTTCACTATGGTAGAACATTTTGCTGCATTTGAGATTTCGAAGCTTGAGTAAGAAATGTTTCGTAAATGTCTCGCCAAACCACTGTGCTACGATTCATAGTGATCGTACTAACAAACTTTGTAAGCTCACTTGGCGGAACTTGAAGAACTTACCGAAATTAAAAAGAACACTGCCGAAAACGCTGTACATGAGCCGATTATAGCTGGCGGCAAAGCACACCGGAGGGGAATTGTAGATGTACAATCCTACAAAAATAAACCATGGGAAAAATTCACACCATCATGTCGTTTACGAGCTTAAACAGCGACGATTACACTAAAAATAATGCCGGTCGGCTCATGTGACGCTGCTTCTTACCGATGCCGATATGGGATGTGTATAATAAACTGTTGACGATGCTCAGATCACGATCACCGAAAAATCTGCAACGAAAAAAAGGTGTACAACAAAAACAGCCAGTACATGGAATACCGTCATCTAATTTCCATCACTGCATTGCACCGAAGTTCAGTTACACTGTTACAGTAAGTATAAAAATGCGAAAGAAAAACCAACCGAACATTCGTATAAAAATTCACTTCCAAAATTCTGGTTGGAAAATATTTTCCAGCAAGCAGATTAATCTGTAGGTACAAAGCCTAACAGAAAACCCATCACAAAATTACTATCGCAATGAAGTACAGTACGTAATTTTCCCGCGATAATGTTTTTCAGCCATCACACTACGTTTTGTTAACAGTTATGAAGTGGGCTATTCGCCTAACGGCAAGTTAGGCGAATAGCGAACAATAAATTCACACGCTCAGTTGCAATAATTATTAGATTCTTTATCTCGTACTTCGTTTACAATAATCATTGTTTATACTACTAAAGTATAGTAAATTATAATTGGTTATAGGTATTTTTATTTTAATAATATGAATAAAACGGTACTGTTAAACGTAGAAATTCTCTGTTAAGATCTGCTGATAGCCCGTCGCACGTAGAATTAGAAATAATACCATTTCTAAGTTTAGATAAAAACAAACGTGATAAGGTCTAAAACTGAACACTATTCTAGGTCTAATAGAATGCGCACGGCCAGAACGGCGTACTGCCGCGGCCGTACATACCTGGAGAAAATCCCCTTGTGCACCAGGTGCATGGACAGCGCTTGGTAGCTCATCGCGCCGATCCCGGGCATGTACACATTCAGCAGGTTGTTCATACTCAGCGGCTTCTTCCTGCGCTTCCGCTGCAGCACCAACGGCAGATGCACCCGAAACTTGGCCCGCGAGGTGCGTCGTTTGTAGCGGAATTCCTGCAGATAGAGGGAATTGACTTCATTCAATCCGGAGTTGCGCCAGAACGGGATCTCCTTCTCGGTCTCATAATGCAGCGCTGTTCCGTTGGCCTGCACCGCACCGTTCTCCTTTTCATGCTCCATCATGCCCAGCACCCGAATAGACCAGGTAAATCCAATAAAAAGGGCGAAATGATCGCCATTCAAGTGGAAAATAAATCGTTGTATTTCATTGTTGCGCAGTTGTAAATTCTAAATTGCCGTGATGAACAGGTTGCTGTCTGGCACACTGGCTACGGAGTACAGGGAAGTGTGGATACTGCGGCAGGTATATTTGGCTGCGGGTTTAACGTTCTGTTTGTTCGGGAATTCATCCGAAAAGGTAAACAAAAATTTTATGCAAGGCTGAATAATACCGTCTGCCGGCTGGGTGGGTTGATTGACATATTCGGCGACAAATGCAGACGGCGGTGAAAGAAGAATTCTTCGGCGCTTTTGGCTGTCAGTCAGCCGGAAGAAGAATTCCCTGCGCCGCTATTTTTGACTGTAGTCACTATCAGTTTGAATTGACGCAATTGGCTGTGAAGTGAAGTGGACAGCATTCTGTTTCAATCATTGTAATCTTATTAGGCCGTACAGGGAACACGCCGCCGGCGCGTTCTAATTACCCAGACCGGAAGTGCAGATGCGATTATGCAATGAGTAATGTCGTAATCTGTACTCTGCTGATTGCACAGTCATTAATAAATAAATTTTTGGTCTCTTATTAGTGCGTTTACCATTTTTTGAATGACCATGGCAGAAATAATAAATTTTCAAATAAATTTTAGCTGCAGCGTGGAATCGTGGATTAACTCGGCGTTTGCGTATCCATGTCACACCTGGTAAACCGGCTCATCGGTAAATATGTGCCGTAATAATCCGATTAATCCAAACAAACAAATTAACTTAGTCGCAGTGCTGTTTCCCAGTAGTCTCGATACATTTTTCTACGAATAGTACAGAGAACCAATGCGACGGATTTGTGCATTGTAATGTATAATCGGCAAATTAAATATTTTTGTCAACGCTTGAGCACCGGCAATGTCATGTAAAGCATAACCTTACACTAGATTAACTTTTCCAACCATTTTTTTATCAATCTGTAACGCGATACTGGCCGGAGTTGGTCAAAATCACTAGCGATGACGGTAATCCGCTCCACATTTATTTTTTGCTCCGAGTATTTTCAGTGTATAGTCATTTGAAAGGGTATGATGCTCGATGTGCGGCATTACTTACAATATTGTCACGGCAAATTTGAAATTTGAAATGATAATGACGTTAATTTACCGATAATAAATAACTTAATGCGGGTGTTTTCCCCACGGTGTTGAAAATGCAAATGATTTGCGCATTCCCGTTAATGTTATTGATGGGAAAATCTCTCCGCTATCGCGTTAGGATGTTTATGCAATGTATAACACGATTGTCAGCAGTTTTTTGTAATTATTTTTCACATATCTTTCATGAAATTTGTAAATGTCGATGGAATTTGTTTATACAGTTTGTTATTTGTTTGCCGTTCTTGCCCACTGCAGTATTTTCTCATCTCCAAATGCCGATGGAAGAAGAAATTCCCGGTATGTTAGCTCGATGCAATAGATTATAGAAGTACTAAAATTGATTTATTGCATCGTTTATTAGTTGATTTTACGTGCATGTATTAATTTATTATTATATCGTTGTACAGTGCTTACTAGTGATTTATAAAAATAAGTAAACCACTCGTTTACTAACTCATCCGTTTTGCACTTCTGGAAAATAGTTAATAAATCGGAGGAATAAAAAATGAACTATGTGAACTGCTCTGTATATTTTGCGTTGCTTTACTATATGTACTCGATCCTGTTACGTTGCTTACTTGTTTTACTTTATGAAGACGAGTTAACTAAGAAATACTACAGCAGTAAAAGTGTCCATATATATTTTAAGGAATACGACAAATACTAATGCTACTTTACTAATGTCATTATAAATCATGTACCTGTGCACTACCGAAATTATTTATTTAAACGTTAAATTAATAAGTTTTTATATATACGTAAACTATATATTATTATATAATCAGCTTTTTTTCATTTTGAATTTTCTAGCTGTGCGGGTTAACTGTCGCACACCCGACCTGATGATCTTCCAGATCTATGAGCCGCGCGTGCGAGCTCTCCTGCGTGTGCCCACGGGGCGCAGTTTCATGTTGTTCTCGGAGGATCCGGACACCGGCCTGGCCATCCGCAACTGCTCGGCCAATTACACCATCACCAGCACCGCACCCGGCTGGTCCACCTCCTTCACCTTCCTCAATTACGCGCCGAACACATCCTGCATCGTCCGGTCGTTCCTGGTCGATAAGGACAGGATTGCCCACCACACCTACGTGGCGGATATCTTCCTGAAGGTACTGGCCAGTGACGACGGGGTGGGCGTGGGGAGACGCGGCCGCATCCGGCTGACCTGCACGATGCTGGCCATGCAGAAAGTCCATACGAAAATGACCGAACTGTAAGTTAACGATAGCTAGCGGTATTAATTTTGTATTTCTTATATTATTCAATGATTTTTTTATATAGTGCTATTTAAATTTGACGCGAATATCAGAACCAGAAGTATTTTTGCGTATCTTTTTGTAATTGTGTTTAAGAATTATTTGTTAAATTTGTATGCTCCTTTTTGAAATGATTCGGTGATTATTCGGAAAGCCATTGGCTTATATTAATACCGGTTCCTTTCCTTTTTAACGCTGCAGGCGAAGCGATGTGTCGTTGCCGGTGCAAGGCAGCGTCCTGCCCAGCGGTGCCATTTCTCCGACAGAAACCGTGGAAACCATATCGGAGAAACTGGAGGGAGCGCTTATGTTGCGCTTCTTCAAACGCATCCCCTCGTCATTGGTCCCCGTGCCGGCTATTTCCATTTCCGAAGGCGAGGAAGTCTATCTGGTCGCCGCACTCAAGACCGGAAGTTAGTATGCAATAAAATTTTCATATATAACACGTCATAATGATTAGAGAAGTAGAAGTATTGCACGAGTGCGTATACTTAATCGAGTTGCTCGTGTCATGCATGAAACGATGAAATAGCACAAATAAATTAAATGTTTAATGGTATGAAAAGTGCCAGCACGTACCCTACTTCGCAACTAAAAATAGAAATTAAATTTTACGATTGAACAACGATGAAAATAGTGTACGTTCTTACCCTGTTATAAAAGTAAAAAAAATTCTTTTTTACGTATAGCTAGAAAGGTAACGAAATTCTAAAATTATTTCAGAACTACCGGTATCAACAACGTATTAAAATTAATGTTTGTATTGGCTGTACAACAGTAAGGCGCCATCCATAAATTACGTCACGCAAGTAGGGGCAGGGGGGAGGTCCTGAAAGCGTTACTGTTTGTTACGAGGGGGAGGGGGGCTTTAAAAATTTGTTACGATGATGACGTCAACATGCTATATCGATGGATGGGTTCTCATTTTGTTACGTAACGCTCAGGGGAGGGGATCTCAGTTTGTTAGCATTGGTGACACAGGGGGAGGGGGGTATCAAAATGTCCAATTTTTTGCGTGACGTAATTTATGGGTGGCGCCTAACAACACAATAATATTATCACAACCTGTCATATGGCTAGCCTGGTAGCCCGTCTTGTGCCACTATACTACAAAACCTTTCGCATCTTAATATTGAAGGCATACGAACGACATAGTTTGCAGAAGTCGAACCAGCAAGTAGAGTAGGACTGTAGGAATAAGTAACGATGTTAATAAAGTTCCTCGAGTACCAATAATGGCGTTGGCAAAATTTCAAATGTATATAGATATAACTAGCGGTGGTTGTTAACCACATTATTGCACGAGCGCGAGCGCTAATACCACTGGGAAATGGTATTGGGATTGTGGAATTGGAAAAGTGTTACGTACACTCTTCGTGGCGTCAGACAAATTTATGCTCTTGACGATCAGTTAATTGCAGCACCTCGCGCTTCGCGCTCGGTGCAAAATATGTATAGATATATTGACATGAGTGACATCTACACTGTATATACGGTATATACCGAAATAAGAAGCTTTGAGCAACTGCTCCACTTAACCATAGCCATACACTTAACCATACTATATGGTTAAGTGCGAGCGTATGGTAAGTGTGAATACCATACAAACGTGTCGTATGGTGATGGACTTTCAAAGGCTCCCCTTAACACCTGCCCAATTTAACTCCCCCAGATATACACTTTTTTGAATAGAGAAAACAATTTTGAATGTAAATGTAATTTTTTGGAAAGAGATCGTTTCACGCAGTGCGAGAAAACAAATTAAATCTGAAGGGACCCAGAGTCAGCTATGCGCCTTCGCTGAGTACTTTGTACACTGCTACCTCGATGGCGGTCGTCCAACTACACGATAAGACGCGTATAAGACGCGTTCTTCCCTCGTATGGGAACAATGCGTTCATTGGCTGTGATCACAACCAATAGAAATTGCGAAATGGGCTCATTACACTACCGTCTAGGCGCTACTAATTAGGTGCTACTAAATACTTTAATGAATTCGCGTTTGCAACCATCACATTACCGTCTAGGCGCTACCAATTAGGTGCTACTAAATACTTTAATAAATTCGCGTTTGCAATGCGAATTTTGTCTAGGTGCTACTAATTAGACGTTATTAATATTTTATTGCAAATTCCAATGCACGTGCAATATATGTAGTGCTACTGATTAGGTGCTACAAATATTTCTAGCCACGTGTAAGTTCTAGGTGCTACTAATTTGGTGTTCTGATATTTTATAGTAATGCGATGTAGGTCATGTCTAGGTGCTACTAAGTAGGTGCTAGTAATATTTTATTGCAGTGCAATGCAAATTACTAGTATATCTAGGTGCTACTAAATTTTTTAATAGCAACGCGATATGAATTTAGGTGCTACTAATTAGGCGCTACTAAATATTTTAGTATAATCGAGCCGTGTAATCCGGTATTTCACAATTTCTATTGGTTGTGATGTTAAATTATCACAGCCAATGAGGGCATTGTTCCCATACGAGGGAAGAACGCGTACACGATAAGGGATGGTTAAGGTATGGTTATGGTGTTTTCTGCTCAAAGCCTCTAATACCGTACCCAGTAGATATTATATTTTTTTTATATCGATATTTCTTTCGATTGGACGTAAAAAGTCACGTAATGTACGAATAATCGTTTCAGTATATCTATAGACTATACTTACAATGTTTAGATGATATCGTACGTAGATGTTTTCTTGTAAAACTCGCACATCGTGAATCGTAAGCACTTACTATCTAGTTAGTGATTTTTGCTTGCAGGTCCGTTTACTGTGCTTCGGCCAATCAACTGCACAATCAGGTAAATACACAGAATTAAACGAAGCCAAAAATGAAGATGTATTTATATTTTTGCCGCATTAATTAACCTGTAATCTTAACAATTAAATGTGAAAGGCGATTGCTTATATACCGTAATTATCGAATTTGCACCTCCCCCCATAATAAGGCCCCCCTCCGTAATAAGCCCCCCTCGCATAACCCGTTTGAAAAATAGCGCCTCCCCCCGATTTTATCCCCCAGGGGGCGTTATTAAATGTCAAGCGCCACAAAACGATTAGTAAACCGCCAATTGCTTCATAATAATAGTTATGATTTAATGAATAAACAGTAAATGGTCACAAAAATAATTTGGTGCCATGTTTCAGAATGCTGCTCGCAAGGTTCTGAAACTGCAAACACCGGTATCTACTGCGTTCAGTTTCAATGGAACAGGATGCGGAGTTGTTTGAAAAATAACGGCCCCCTCCCAAAAATACAGTTTGAAAAATAGTACCACCCCCCGAAATAACGCCCCCTCCCCGAAATAAGCCCCCCTCCTCCAGGACGTTTGAACTTTTGCACCCCAGGGGTGCAAATTCGATAATTACGGTAAAACTGTTTGATCATGACCCGCTAAAAAAATTGAATTAATTAAGTGCAATACCAGTGTGTTGTGCCAGATCAACTTGTTTTATGTAGATCGATGGTCAGCGGTAGTTTCCGGAAGGACGCCTCAGCCGGCATTGGAGAATTCATTCACGGTGCGAGTCGCGCCGGGATCCTCGTTCGTGAATCCATTATTCTGGAAAATGGGTCAGTTTAAAGCATCCTGTTCGGTACTTGTGACCTTTGATATTAATCGTAACCAGCAAATATCGTGACTGCTGCAGATGTCAATCGGAGCATGCGCAATGGTTTATGCCGACCCGGCCAGCCGGTACGACTGAACAGCGGATGTACTTCACCCGATTTGCCGCTCCCAGCTTCACCGGAAGTCTACGACTGAACGCACGCTGCTCCATCAATCTGTGCAGTGCCGCCAATGCGCGATCCTGCTTGGAACAACCACAGCGAATGGGTCCGGTATGTGTCCATTTAGTCGCAGTATTTACTATGTATTATTTTGCCATCTTACCTATTGGATTCAGAAATCAGCAAGCAATAGAATTGTCGCACTAAAATCAAAGCAGTACATAAGACATCAGCAAACTATCGTAGAATAATGCATGGCTGGATGCCCACTTCGTTTCGTCGACATCGGAGAAAATATCCAGACTCTGTAATTATATACTTATGCTGCATGGGATGCATGATACACAGTCAGAACGCCCCAGCTATGTACGTAATTTGCTGGTGATTTTTGAATTTATCCTGCTACTTCATGAGCATGCTACGGCGGTCATTTTTAATACTTACTTTAACTGCAGTCGTTAATTTTATAATCACGTGTTTCACATTTTTTTATATATCTGGATTTTGAATTTACGCATCTACTTTGTTAAAACAAAGCAACTGTTGAAACTTTTCAACCAAATATTCTTAATCTATATGTAGGTGTTTGTCTGTTTGGGATAACGCAGTTAGTGGGTTAAAAAATATGTACAATAACTTCACAAGAATTCTATTCAATAACTTCACAAGAATTCTATTATTAACTAGACGTGCTTCACGGAAACTGTCGACGTGCCGCAGTTCCAGTTCCGCCTGGAGACCTTCACCAACATCACGCAGTACCGTCCCCAACCCAACGTCACCGCCCCGCCCTCCCTGCGCGCCCACAACGGCCACATGGGCATCCCGCCATTCACGGGTGCGGTAAGCAGTCAGTCCCCGTGACCTTTGCAATCCTTTGTCTTAATCACATGGGACAATCGTTGCAGATCGCCATATCGAGCAGCCGTGACCGGATGCTGCAGAATCTCATGCTCCCCTTTAATCTCTCCATGGAGACGACGTATTTCGATAATGTGACGCAGGTCAACGAAACCGCGCCGGACACCGGGGCGGAAGTGCAGCAGGAAGTCAAATACTGTTTCCTACAGAAGACGGTGACGATGGCCACCGTGATGGTGGTGGTGGTGTTGATTTTAAGTTTGGTGCTGGTGCTGTTTGCGGTGTTAAGTCATTGCCGGAGGCGGCGAGTGCATGCGGGGATCACGGTGCATTCTGAACGTCTAACTGACCACTGATTTATTGTCTAATTTTATCACCAGTTGGTATGAAAAAATAATGAGTTGATAAAACAAACAAGAATTATCGGCGTCATATTACGTATTATCAACTAATATACAATACATATTACAAGAATATTAATCATTGTTGTTTCCTCACATCAGAGTCACATGTACCGCCGGCACCGGTACAATACATGTAACCCAGCGACAATACTTCATACGATTAATTACAGAACATAAATTTGCCATTTGTTCCCAGCAGTTTAATTCAAAATTTCAGTGACGTATCGAAGGAATTATCAGGCTCAAAGCAAACTGCAGCAATCATTACTGTACTAATGATTCAAAATCGCTGTCAAGAAAGCACAATACTCGTTACCGTGTTACGAGTTACATACGTACAGTATACCGGTATACCAGTGCAGTAGACTGTAGAAGTATGCATGAATAAACACTTTGGGGATACGTACAATGTACCGTACTTGATCGAATCAATTGCAGGCGTGTAAAATTAATACAAATAATTATTTGCATGCGCGGCGTGTTTGCCGCGTAAAGTAATGAACAAGGCCTTTACATAATCATTCACGTGTTAGATAGAATTAATGTGCCGTTTAGGCGAGTACTGACTACCAGGGGCGTTTGCCATAGAGACTCGCAGTTTACTGATGACAGAATACTCTACGTCTGGGCCAGTATGCTGCCTTGTGCATGTATGCAGCTTACAGTCATAAGTGCAAAATAGTAAAATTTTGCACGAATGAATTATCAATTAGAGTAGTTTGGTGTTACAAAGAAAACGAGTGCGAGCACGGAGTACAGAATTTACGCTTATTTATATGTCTCTTTCGCAACGTAAATATCCTGTTCTGCTCGATCGCCCTGGAGCAGCGGTCCTGCTGGTTTCTGATTTCTGAATCGAGAATTCAAGATCAGGCGCGCGCGTGATCAAGCCAGCTCACCACAACATCGAGCATGTGATACCGAACAGCTCACCATTGCACCCACTCATTTCCGTCGGTTCGTGAGTCAAAAAATTTGGGCGACCCCGTTATCAGCGTATTTTCTACATGGCTCCGCTTTATTTGTTCCCATCTTTTTGTTTATCTCCTTCCTAAGTTTGATTTCCTTATAAATCACTTTACTAATTAGGCACAGGTGTATTCCTGTGATTGTTGTGATATTCATCGATACCGAACGACCGCCCGTTGTGCCATGGCGTTCGGCGAAGATGAAATCCAGGATGATCGCTCGCCCGCGACGATCACCACGCGCTCCCCCTGCCCCCCGGATTCTCCCAAGGGGTCTCCTTCATCGTCCCCCGAGGAGAAGATTGCGGTGGCCAAGGATGTACGGCACAGTACGAAGCTCGCCCGGGAAAAGGAATCTCCGTCCAAGTCCGTGAAGAGTCCGCATCGTGAGGCGACTGAAAGCAACGTTGAAGATGAGGACGAGGATGATCAGGTGAGAATCTGGGATAGAACGGCCTCAAAGGGCTTTCTCAGATGCGCTGTCGTTCTTTAAAAACCAGTCTTATATATTTGGACATTATTATTTAAGTTTGAAATGAATACGGAATCAAAATCGGAAGCAATGTGCTATACGCTGTTGCTATCGTATTTCTTCTGATAAGGCTAACAAGAGGCACAAGTGACAAGATTAGTTACTAGTAACTAGTATCTATAAGTAACTGCTCTGTAGTTTTTCTTTTCTGGCAACCGATTTCAGAATTTGGCGCGGGTCTGGTATGTTATCCTTAACTAATAGTTAATTGGTTTAGCAGTAGTTAGTATCCTTGGTCCTTGGACGTTCCAAAAGAAATTCCAATAGCAGTTTCTAAGGAATGATGGTGATAAATAAACAGTAGATCTTTTGAACATAAAAAATATTAATTTAAAATTTTAATCGTTTAATTTGTGTGGAGAGAACTGCGTGTAATTTGTGCTGACTGTTGAGAACGTTTTAACTGGCATTTTAGCCATCGCACTACGATCTTTCCTCATTCTATAAACCACTAAGCGGTAATTGGTGTTTTGGAGAAAAGCATCGGTGATAATCACTAATCAAAAGGAAAAAGTAATTGTCGCATTCTAAAAAACACAGTAAACCGTAGGGATATATTTCTAATTGTGTGCATGTTGATGCATGCATTGTACTCATTTCTCTATCGGGATCGTGTTTGGCAGGAGTTCGTCGATCATGAAGAGATGCGGCGTCGTCTTGAACGGCGTCTCGGACTGTGCTGTTACCCGAAGCGACAGGAGGACGATGTTGATGAGTGGAAAGGTAAGTCACAAGTTATGCCTGGCTGTTATTAATGCGGCACGTGCGCGTTGCCGCCAAGGTCGCCATTGCCAAGAAATATGACAACTTAAACGCTGGGTGCTTGTAGAACTGGCTGCCGTTGTCGGATCGCGGTATATCTCGGCCGCCCATCTCTACCCGGCCTTTGCTGCCACTGTAGCGTAAGTCAACAGAAAAAAATGATGGAGTGCCTTTCCAAATGCGCTTGTAAAGATAGGAACGTTTTTATTCGTTTTTTTGTTAGTCGATATTTTCCTTAGGGTATCGCTTTTGAATACACGTTCGCAGCAGAATGAAGTTACAGTCGAGTTATTGACGATTAGACTTTAATCGCCGTAGCAGTAATATTTTATAGTTGTATTTTTAAATTGATTTAATTTTTAAAAAAAGGTTGATCTATCAAAGACTAAGCTGTCTTTTGTCTGTTTTACTTATTCGGTATATGCTATTCGGTTGGTGATAATTACGAGTCCATATACCTTGCTGGTTTCGAAAATTTGTTTGTGACAAAATTTATATTGGTTCACTTAAGAAATTGTTTCATTCTGATAAGCTTTATATTCAGTTTGAGCTGTTAGTGGTGGTACTTGCATCAAAACACAGCGTAAATAATTTTGTAAATCGTCATTTTGAAGTAATTAGTAGCGTTTTGGAATGGCAAGAGATTGTAATAGTTGATTAATTTGCAGTCGGCAGAATGTGTCACCCTCGGCGCTGCTGCTGTGCCTCATCTACATTGACCGCCTGCACGATGCCAATCCCAGCGTGAATGTTGATCACTTTCTCACCTCTTCGGATCTGTTTATCGTCTCCTTGATGTCGGCCTGCAAATTTCTTTATGAGTAAGCAATCATGTCGTTGTGATTCATCAGAGGAAAAAGGGTTTGACGTTTTCTCTACACTAGTGTAAAATGAGGTGAAATTTTTCATTACGTTTCGAAATTCTTTATTTCATACATACGTTGCCCCGTCTGCTTTCGTTTCGAATAAGTTTGTGTTGCGATTTTCAGGATATTGAAATTAGTTTAAGTTTTATGCTGATAAATAATAGTTAGTGGCCCTGAAATCCGTAAATATTACTTTTTTTTGAAAATTGTTTTGCATGTTTTTTCGTTATGATATCTTTATAAGATATGTAAATTACAATTTTACCGTCAGTGATTAAATTACCGTTTTTGAATTTTATCTGAATCATCATATTCTATAATCTTGCAAAAAATTGTTGTCTGGCGATTCTGTTCTACTTTACTTTGTTTTTGCATTACATACATTGTAAACGTTGTTCGAGTTACTTAAGGATGGCAACGCCGGGATTTTGCCGTTACACTACACTTTTCCACCATCTTGACTTGCAGTCAGTGTTGTAAATAGTGGGTGAAATTGGAAATAGTAGTTGTAATAGTAGTGAAATTGGAAATTTTTACTATCCAAAACCATAATTACAATTAAATATAAATATTAATGATTACAGAAAATAAAATTCTTAACAATTTCAGTACGAGTATATTATAGAATTAATCGTAATTTCAAGTGCGCATTTTCAGTGTGGGCGAGGTTGGCGATTGTTACAACGGCACCTGGGCGCGGGACTTCGGTATACCGATTAAACACCTGAATAAACTGGAATTCCTCTTCCTGGATGCCTTACAATGGAATCTTCATGCCGACAGTGCGGATTTCGATGCCATGATGCATAACGTGGAAAGCGAGTACGTGACACTTGTTGACACAACACCGCGCACATGGCGCTGAGCTTTTTAACAGTAACGATTACGTAATAAGGCGATAATGTATCAGGTGATAATATTATCAAGTAGACGATTTGTTTGTGATAGAATCACCCACTTTGGATGCCAGTTTCGTGATTATCTAACGTATTCCGATCTCCTGGTGCTTTCCGATGCCCGCAGTGGATTCTCCACACGGTGTCTCAATGATTTTGTTGCCCATTTGACCCGGGTAAGTTGGGCGTGATGGCACACTTGATTTACATTTTTTTACGGAATCGCACAGACTACATTAACCGAAAATACTAACACCATTATAAAACGCTCCTAAGGCATAATTATACGGCGTAAATATTTTGAAGAACGGTGTTTTACCACGGAATCAGTGACTTCTGGTTTGCTTTGTTGTTCCATGGTTTATTGATTGAGTTTTGTACATGTGGCGACGTAATACCGTGATATAGAGAATTATTAAGGTTTCGTATCGTAGTAAATGCCGTTAAAAAAAAGGTTCTGTAGTTTTATGAATTAGTTTGATGATTTCCTCGGCAAAAACCGGATCCGTAATCGTACAAATAAGTGCGCAAGTATGCAGCTTTAAATTATTTTGAACAGTAAAATTAATTGAACGTAGGTTCAACTGAGGAATAATTGTGCTGCTTGCTTTTTTTTTGTTTTATAATGGGTGTTGCGTATCAAAGCCGCATGTGGAGTACAGTACTACTCGGTAGTACAGTAGTTTATTGCTTGCAGTTGCGATTGAGTTGGCCTGTGAACAGCGGGCTGGCGTAGTGTAGGGGCGGTTGTGTAGCCAGCGGCAGGCTCTCAGCCGGATACTTGTGTGACAGGACATGTTGCTGCGTACAAGCGTAGTTAATAGTTAATATCCAGCGATTTTCAAAATTTTTTTGCCCTGTTAACCAATACCCGTGTTTCACGGTGTAGTGTTAGTAACTGTTCATGGTACCAGCGTTCCCATCTGATTTGATTTGCCTTCATGGATGTCTCGCTGCAGATGTTAGCCGCCCTGACCGCCGCCTACCTTCTGATCGGCTGCGTGGTCCTCACCTCCACCACCCTGGCGCCCTTCATGGTGCACATGCTGCACCGACCGCTGCCGCCGGCCTGCAGCACCTGCTCCCCTCCCGCGCCCTTCCCCTCGCCGCGCTGGATCGACGCCTGGATGAACTGGACGCGGCCGGACACCGCCGCCATCTGCCAGACGGTGCAGGACGAACTGGTGATATTGCCCACCGTTAATCTGGAGAAGCCGCGGCCCGCCGGCACCTCCTTGCGGCTGGCGGCCTGGAAGAAGTTGGGTCGGCATGGGATGGTGCCGCGCGGCCGGTTTGTGCTGTCCGTAGCGTGATGGAAGTTATTTTTATCTTGATTTATTGGGGATTATTTTAACAAATTCTCGGGGTGTTTTCTGTTTTTAATGTACGAGCGTTGCGTCGGTTTTTCAGAATGTTGCGATATTTTTTTACCTGTTTTTCATGGTCTGGTTTTGTGACTGGATCAGTGTCGGAACATAAATATTTCTTACGAAAATCTCAAAAAATGGCAATAAATACGAAAGAAATTCATTTCTCCTTAAAAAAACAGCAACGATAAAGATCTTTTGTTTTTCGTATTTAATAATTTATTATTACTTATTCCTACGGAAGTGCCAGAAAAATGGTGCTCAAAATAAATACGGAAAAATTTCATTAAACTCTCCTTAAAAAATGCATAACAACAGCAAAATCCATTTTTTATTGATTTTTTCTCGCAGCTGCACTAATAAAACAGAGAACAGTTTTCGATCAGTTTATAACATCTAAAAAGGTAAAACGTGGTGTAGTTCCCAATACACAAACCAATTTATCCATCGTCTCGCTAACCACTAACGAGCACAAACACGTAGGAACACTCGAGAAACGCAAGCAAGAAATCAAAATGGAAAAACAGAAAAATACCAACAGAAAAGCAAGCGGCGCACACCACCGTCATCCCTGTACGACCCATCGCTGTACTATGTACAAAATCAGATTCCCAACGAGATCCGCCGTATTTACCCCGACCTGTCCGTTTCCCAGGCCCCAGACGGCCTAATGCCCATCAAACCCGTGATTCTCCTCCCCGGGCGAGTCCGTGCCCTCCCGCTCGCTGATCAGCGCCCGTTCCAGGATAATCTGCGACTCCTTGTAGCGCTGGTCCTCCTCGGTGGCGAACTCGTAGAACCAGCCGAGTTTAGCCGAGCACTTCTTGCAGAAGACATCGCGCACGAAATGCCGTCCCGTCAGCATCACACGGTCCTGCACCTCCGACATGCGGATGTTGACGGCGTGGTGGAAGAGGTAGGCACGGCCGGTGGCGCCCGTGAAGCTCATGCTAACCAGCTGGCGACGGTTGGTGAGGACGGTGTCGCAGTTGACGCAGTAGAAGAGCTTGGATGATCCGCCCGGGTGCTCCAGATGGATGCGGCCCATGATGGAGTGCGGATCGCAAAAACAACAGATTTACAATCAGGGGATATTAACTGCAGAGGAATAACTTGGAATAATTTGCACAAACCAAACAAAAGATCACAGAACAAGAAAAATGGGAAATTTCCGAAGATCGCAACTCGCAAAAATGAAAATTCAGGTAAATATGCGTCGCCGTGGTTCCCACCTGCGGATGGCAAAAAGTCAAATACTGCAGCTACGAATTATAAAAATACTGTATGTGGGCTCATGCATACAGCTCTCTTGGTGTTAAATAAAAATTACTGTGAATTTCCTTTCCAGTCTTTTTATTTCATCTCGAACAACCATTTTTTAGCAAATAAAAATCCACGCACGAAACAGACAGATCTGTCAGCCACAGCTAAAAACGCGACACGTTAACATCTGCACTAAATATGGACAAAATGACAGCGGACACAGTGCGCTCTTCTTCTCCGTAGTTAACCAGAACAACCGACTAAAATTCCAACAGGAAAACAAAACACAAAAATTATCTGCAAACTAGGACCTATTAGTTAAATAATTAAGTAACTTTTTCCATTAATTAATCCAGAAATTTCTCTTCCCCTAATGCCGGTGCTTTTTCCTGGCGTCGGGATCGGGTTCGGGCATATTCTGTACTTTCTCGCAGATATCCTGGGTGAAGTCCGAGCATTTCGCCTTGCCACCCAAATCACCTGTCAGCATCTGTAAAAAATACGCTCAACAATTAAAAGTATAATGAAACAGTAAAATAAATATTTATAATTCAAAAATAGATTTTCATAATTTAACTGATTAATTTCAGTTTATTTTATTTGTTACTGGATTTATTAGCTCGCCATTATACGACAATCAGTGCAAATAAGCATCGATTTGTAGTGAAGTGGCGTGAACATTTGGCACCGAACACCCGGCACATTCGCACAACTTAATCACATCCTGATTTAACCATATCGGAAAAAGGTGCACATTATAAAATTATTAAATTATCTCACCTTTCCAAAGCTTTTCGTAACAAAAAACACCTTAACCCATTCACATAATTTTATTTTTCGGTAAAAGTCGTAAACTACGTGGAAAACCGCATGCAAACACCGACAAACGTCCCGACAGACATTCAATACGAGTAATTAGAAACTGAAAAACAGCAACTGACCTTTCCTTCCCGGATGGTGGCGTAGCAGGCCTGCTCGATGCGGTCCGCGTAGTTGTTGAGCTTCATGTGGCGCAGCATCATGACGGCACTGAGCAGCAGCGCCGTCGGATTGGCCTTATCCTGGCCGGCAATGTCCGGCGCGGTACCGTGCACCGACTCGAACACGGCGGCGCCGTCGAAGCCAATGTTCCCGGAGGGTGTCACACCCAGACCGCCCACCAAACCCGCGCACAGATCACTGCCAACGACAACATATTTCTGTCACAAAACGTCCTTCCGAGTTCCGACTCCCATCGTATTATTTCAGAAATTATTCCATAAAAATCAAAATTACCTGAGAATATCTCCATATAAGTTGGGCATACATAAGACATCGAATTTGGATGGATCTTGCACCATCTACAGCAATTTGTCAAGGAAACAAGATACAATTCGTTACTGTGATGATGAGATTTAATGCAAGCTAAAAACGCTATTAAACGTACGTTAAGACAGACAGTATCCAGGTACATTTCGTTGAATTTGATGTCAGGATGTTGTTCAGCCACATCGCGGCAACACTTGAGAAACAAGCCATCTGACATGCGCCTGCAAAAAAACAGTGATATCAATCATTTCCGGCTGCGGTCAGCATTTTACCCGTTTTCCCCTGTCAGAGAAATACAATCGTATTATCTGCGCTCCGCAACATGGGAAAGGTATTTATTTAAGTTTACCGCACAAAATTAAACCATAAAAGAATAAACTGAATATTCACAGCATGCATGCAGAATTTTTTGTGGTATGCAACTACAAAACGCAGAACAATTACAGTACAGTAATACTAACAAGAAGTGACTGCTACTTTTACCAAGAATTAAACTAAAGCGGAGATTTCGTTAGAAAAATTTTCCATAAAGTGCTCAAGCAGGGCGAAGACGAACAACAAAGTAATAAAACAACAACAATAAAATAACAACAATAATAACAAGTTAACAACAATAATTTACAATAATAAAAAAATAACAAGATGCGAGTGTACCACCATAATTACTGATTCATTTGTAAAACGCAGCTACGTACATAATATTGGCTTTGTGGACGGCGGTGACTCGGGAGCGTCCGTTGGCTTTGGCATACTCGAAGGCAAACTGGGCGATACGCATGGATGCATCAAATGTGATCAGCTTAATGCTCTGCACCACTCCGTCCACTATCTGCCAAATTGTAAAACGATTCAACCCACCAACGCCAGAAATTTCCATCACCAATGTTTCCAGTATATAAAAATTAATCTCGCTTAACACGACAAAAGAATGAACGCATAATACCAAATCTGCAGATTACACTTGGCAGCGAACTAAATGAAGAGTACGATTGAATTTTTCGCAGCCAATACACTACGATAGTTCCAAGATTTGCAAGTATCCGGTTATCAGCATTTTGACATACCACATGCTCAATACCACTGTATTCGCCCTCCGTGTTCTCACGAATCGTCACCACATCCACATCATCGTAGGCCGTCTTGAAGCCCTCTAACGAGCGGCATGGACGCACGTTGGCGTACAAGTTGAAAGCCCTGTTCAACACGAACACACAACTCAGCTTCCGCTCATCCAGCAAAATCGTACAAGACGAGAAAGCAGCAGAACACGAGCGAACACACAACGGCGCTTACTTGCGAATGGCCAAATTGAGTGAACGATGTCCTTTTCCCACGGGAGTGGCAAGGGGTCCTTTTAAACCGATTCTGTTCTGCAAATTGCAAATCAACGATAAAATCCAAAATTTGGAGGGCCTTAGACAACCAAAAAATCAAAAAGAATTTTTTTTACGAAAACCGCTGATTAGCATGCAAAGAAAGCATGTTGGTGAATACTTTATGTTATTTGTTATCCAAAAGATTGATAAAAAGTGAAACAGACGGAGAGAATTCTGAAAAGTCTCTTACTTTGACGACACTGTCAATGGCTTGCTGTGGGATACCAATCTTCCCGTCCAGTCCTTTAACCGGCGTCACATCCACCGTCTCCCACTGTATGGGCACATCCGCCGCCTGGAAGATCTGCTGCACCGAGGCCGAGATTTCCGGACCGATCCCGTCGCCCGGGATCAGCGTCACGGTCCGAGGAGCCTAATACCCCCCAAAAAACAGCATTCAATCTGCGCTCTGGTACTTGGCTCTTTCGCCGTCGTTTGCAGCTGTTTTCCCGGGCAAAATGCTTTGCAAAGCATGCCCCACTCACCGTCTGTGACATGTGTCGATTCTGTACCCATCCCGCGACGACATTCCTCAGCGGGGTGAGGGATTCCTGGGAGGAGGGGGTGACGACCACACGACAGCGAGTGAACGCGCGCAGCATGTTCAAACACGAATCTCGCACGACTCAAACGGCTACAGCACACACTCCACCAGCGGGATTTCTTCCGTCTGACTAATCGATGGAAGGATAATCGATGAGATAATAAAATTAAATGATCGGGCGCGAAGGAGATGCAAATGAAGAGGTCGGGAACAGGAAGAAAGCCCGGAGGAATTTGGAGTGGATGGATGTGAAATAATCAAGGAAATTTGAATAAATTTCTCCTTGAACGATCAGCCCCACTCCGTTTGCAGGCCCGTTTGGGTTAGTTTACTGTGTATGAGGCAGCGATCGATAATGGTGGACGGATGGGTGAGTAAGAGGGCGATAATTTGGACAGAAAAATAAACCAGCTGGGAAATATGATATGGGGCGGGTGCATTGTGCGTTCGGTCTAATGTGTGGATAATTATAGTGCAGCCGCCCGTAGCGGTTGTAAACTTGACGTTGTGATTTTTAATAAATCGTTTGCGGCAACCGCCATGTGATGTCAGTTGGAATATAACGTAAGATACGGCGCCGCGGGGGGCTGCCAGAACGTCAGTATGCTTTTCCATCGTCAGCTGTAGTTGCGAGTTGATTATTCTTGAGTGTTTCATACTTTTTTCGTCCTAGTTTTCTTCCCATAATTCCTTTGTTTCTTGTCCGAGTTTCTTAGGTTGCTTCGCGTTAATGGGTCGCGCAGTTGCGCTGCGCTGCTCGAGCCTGTTAATTTCGGTAAGACACGGCTAATGGTTCGTAAATTGCTTACGCGTTAAATCGGTGCGAGCTGTGCTTTCCCAACTTTGCTTTTTTGACAGATCAAATCTCCGTGGCGCATCTTGGTTTTAATTCTTTGCGTGTCCTTCTTCATTTATTTAATTTACGGAGTGAGCAGTCGATCTTCCCTACCTTCAGCTGTAGCAGACTACACAGTCGAACATGTGCCCAAGGACACGAAAATCATTCTGTTCTGGACCAAGTATTTCGGAGAGGAGAATCACCATCTCCGCGATAACTTGAACAACTGCCCCGTCTCCAACTGTTTCTTGACCAACGATCGCAAGTACCTGCGTGCCAGTTCCGCTGTGATATTCCATGGAAATGAGTTTGATGCTCAGGATTTGCCTGGGATTCGGTTTCCTAATCAGTCGTATGTGATATTTCTCATGGAATCACCGCCGTTCACTGTGATAAATTTAAAACAGGTATGCACCCGTTACTTCCCCGTTCGTATGTGTTCGAGTGGAATAACGTGGTACAGGCAATTCTACGATTCCGCGTGCCTTTTAGTATAGGCATTTCTTCAATTTAACGTGGTCGTTTCGTCGTGATGCGGATGTGTTTTGTCGGGATTATCTGGATAATGTCTCCCCGCGGCCGTTTGTCAGTCGGGATGAGGGGAAAAGGTTTTTGGATGCTAAACATAACAAAGCGCTATGGTTCGTGTCGAACTGCTACACGCCGATCGACCGCGAAGGCTTTGTCCGCGAATTGAAGAAATACTATCCCGTGGATATTCTGGGAAAATGTGGAGACACAACAGGCGTGTGTGGATTTGGGAATTTTATCTGTGCCAGGAAGATTGTGGCCAGCTACAAGTTTTATCTGGCTTTTGAAAACAGGTTTGTGCGTTTCAGGAAAATATTTTGCATTATGCGTAATTTCTTTAACCGGTTGCCTAACCAGTCGGTGAATTAACTGCTAAATTTTTATCAAGCAATAAAGCGAAAAATATGCTGTTAAAAATAACGATCTCTGTGACAAAAGTTAAACTGATGAAATTTTAACAGCCATGAATCAGAGTGGTAAGGTGGTCGTCAATCGAGACTGTCTACGGATTTAATCCACTGCACTACAATTGCACGTTACTTACGTTTCACATCCACTCTGGCGCTAGATGGAATGGAAATTCCTGGTTTACCGCTATCAAAACACAGAGTATCAGCAAATCCACCAGAAAAAATTTGACACTTGACATTTGTTTCAGTTCAAGTTTAATCAACTGTCCAGACGCTAACCCGAAAGTAAAAAGATTGAAGATTAACTAAATATTCTTTCGAATGTCTTTTTGCAATTTTCTTAATGTTTTAGTCTTACGTTGCAAATCTCTGTTTCCTTTTGTAATTCTCAGAAAAACCAAAAATCCACTGATGCTTCTCGCATCGATATAAAACTGGGTTTTCGGAAATTGTCCCTGAAAGAAAACGAAAATTTGAAAGATTGGTGTAGGCCGTAGGTACAGCGAACAGTTTCTTTGTTATTTTTCAGTGTTTGCAAAGACTACGTGACGGAGAAGCCGTCGCAAGGCCTCAACTACGGTACCATCCCCATCGTAATGGGCGGCGCTAACTACAACCAGACCTTCGCCCCCAAAACCCACATTAATACCGCGGATTTTTCCTCCCCCAAAGATCTCGCCGACTATCTCCACCGTTTATCCTCCAACATGGATCTGTACGCGGAATTCTTCGAGTGGCGCTATCATCCCGAACTGCCACTCCATCCCTCCGTGCCGGAGCCGGCGCAATCCAATATGTGTCGGTTATGTGAGATCCTCCATGAGCGGAATTATCGCAGCCAAAGCGCGGCGGATGTCCAGAAATGGTTCGTGGATGAGGGAGAATGCCAGGGCGGATGGGGCAGCCGGTTGTGGAGCGGAGTGAAGGGACTGGCGGGGTGACTTCCGGTTACGTTATTGCTGTGATAGCCTTGTTGTTGTTAGGTTTTGGTATCTTTTATCTACGCTGTTCAGCCCTGTTGAAGATCCCCTGCTAGAGTGTTAGCCTAGCCGGGAATAGGCTGCCTGCTCTGATTAAATTAAACTGTATTTTTTCGTTGGTCTGATTAGATGATATTATTAGTTACTACTCGTATGTTGTGGTTGTCTGACTGATGTTATACTTAGTTGTATTTATTTGTTTTTATACATTGCCGGCTTGTGTGTTGCCTGGCCAGTTGAGATCGTGTTTTTCCGTGCCCTTTGAGTTTGCACTACGCCTAATGAAATTATCATGCCCTTCTTGAAATTATCGCTTAATGAAATTATCGTGTTTTTCCGTGCCCTTTGAGTTTGCACTACGCCTAATGAAATGAAATTATTAGTGAAATCGTAGTGCATGGGATTAACGACGAATCCATTAGAGAGGTTTAAATTGCTGTTTCATAATGAAATTCTAAATTTCAATACTGTGTACAAAAACCCCTAACAATTCACAAACATCAATTTTTATAAAGCAAACAGAAAAAAATTTTGCAAGCGATTTCACTCCTTTTTTCTTAAGCATTATCGACAACACCGTGACATAGTACATTATTGCATTAACCGTGAATATTACCGTAACTAACATTCGATCGTTGGGTTATTCGCTTCGCTGAAGCCCTTAAAGTAATACTCTTAATTCGCTTTTTACAAAGGGAAAAAATTGAACGCACTCAAACAGAGTATAATAATTTTACCATACAGTTACTGGTGCATGTACAATCCGTTAACAACAAGTTAACTACGGAATTAACAGATGCCGCGCTTTATCCGTTTTAGAAACAAAAGATTTCTACCTTCATAATACATTGCAAATAATTTTCTCGTTAGCTCAGCCAGGGTTCAATTAGATCACGAAACACTATGGGATCAACATGCCACTGCGTATGGTGCACCCCGGCCTTCTCCAGTATGACCAGATCACCGCGTTTATCCAGCGTCCGCAGCCCGAAGGAGTCGCGCCGGTATATTTCCTGCTGCTGGAACGGGACCACCGTCTCGTTCTCGTTGTAGAAGCCGAAATGCGACGACTGCCACGGGGTCACCACGCCGTCGTCCGGTCCGCCGATCATGATGAACTTTTTCAGACGGAGCATGTTGCGCCGGTACAGCGTCATGTTGGGACTGGGCACCAGGGTCTCGTTGTTCAGGACCGGCAGGAACGTGCTGGTGGACTGATAAAGGTCATAGTGGTGCGGATCTTTCCCTTCATATAAAATTAACCATTTTGTCTTTGTGAGTCCACTTTATACTTGTTATGCTTCTTTTTAAAATGCCCTCATGTTTTACTTAATAATATAATGTGAATTTATAGATATAAATTCATTTAATTATGTAGTGTGAATTTTCTGTTGGTCTGCCTTTTATTAAACCAAATTTTTGCCAAAAAGTAAATGTATTGCGTGTTAAACAGTTAACTTTATCTTATTAATTTTGCTTGAACACTGCACACAAAAAACCGGCATAGTGTTAAAAAGTCGCAATTTCATAAAAAAATCGGGTACGAAACTGTGACCATTTCGCCGGGTTTTCAATAATTAACTGCAATTTAGTAAGCGCGTTTGATTTTGTATTCAGATCACAATCAATAAGTTGCAATCAATTTTATTAATGGAAATGGCTATTGTCACCCCCCTGCACCCCCTTTTGACTATTATCACCCCCTCACACCCCCTTTTGGCTATTGTCACCCCCTTTATTTTTAATAAAATAAACACCCCCTTGACTATTGTCACTCCTTACAACACGCCCTTTTGGCTATTGCCACCACCTTTCAATTTATTCTTATAATTTCTTCACTAGCGGTTCTTTTCCAACTCTGTTCCTGCCACCACCGGCAGGCCTAGGGAAAGGCGCCGAGCGAAGCTTATTGACACTTAATATGTACATCGCTAAGATGCGGGCTCATTTTTTTTAACATTAAACTTAACATCTTCAAGGGTTTTTTCTGATGGGCTCCGCAGCGAATGCGATCGCAAAAAGTCCACAATTATGACCATCCCTTTGATGCTGTACGCATGGAAAGAAAACTTCGGTGTCCTCGTTTCCGCTTGATCTCAAGACTTTCTTAATTACTGGTGCCGACGCCGGTGGTACAGACTACAGAGTCATAAACAAACGGCTGCCCCTCTTTCCGCGCTAACAGCACTCAGTGGTCGCTGGCATTATTTTGTACCTTTCCAGTAGTTTGCAGTCTTAAGTTAGCTGAAAGGCTAAACTAGCAACAAAGTGTTTTTCATAAGAACTGACCAAAGGAGTGGCAATAGTCAAAGGGGGTGAGAAAGGTGGTGACTATAGCCTAAGGGGGTGTTCACTTTATTTTAAGAAAAGGGGGTGACAATAGTCAAAAGGGGGTGTATAAGGGGGTGACAATAGCCAAAAGGGGGTGCGAGGGGGTGACAACAGTCGCACCCTTTATTAATTTTTCATACTCTTTCCCCAAAATGCCTTCTTTACAAGGAGATTGTTAAATTCTTACAGTATCCGCCGACGCTAAACGTTTGCCCGAATCGCGAGTACAGCAGCTTGTACAGGTTGTCTTTCATGTAGTTTGGGAATAAATATCTGTCGAAGAAAACAGGAGAAGCCGGCTGTATCACTGGCCGGATTACAGAAACATTCCGGGGGTGAAGATGCCACTCACCTTCTGAAAAAAGTCAAAGTATTGTCATTGAATTTGCAATAAAGTGATTTCTGGTGCAATTTCACAGTATAGCGGATCGAATTAATCAATTATACACTTCAGAATTGTCTACGAGCGATCCAATTGTCTTACAAATAATTGGTGTCCCCGTACTGTCCCATTTGAGGAGATGCTAAGGAAATATACGTGTGGATGTTTAACACCTGATTATAATCGTTCTATAAACAGAAAGAACAAAAAATGCTTTGAAATGAATATGACGAGCAGCAGTTTGTTTCGTTATATGAAGTTGTTGCGTATTAATACAGTAGTGTACGCACACTGGAAAAACTATATTTCGATCGAGTTCATAGCTTTATAATTATCATATCGTCGCATGTTTATATCGTAAACAAACGAATACGTACGCAATGATTCCTTTAAAATAAACACGAATCTTCGATCTTTTTCTTCAGAACGAAAATACCGAGTTTTATGAAAAATATCGAAAGTATTTTACCGGATCCTGTTAATAGAACTACCGGTTTTCATTTTATTTCTGATATTCTGTTTGTACTAGTTTCCACATAATTACATTAACTTCAAATGCGCATTATACATTGATCTTTTCCAGAATGTGCAAAAATTTGTTTAGGACATAAACATCTAGTTTCAAAACGGTTTCTTATCTGGCGTGTAATATATGTATCATAAACTTCCGGCCAATTCGAGGCTGCAGCTGTCGAGCTATAAGCCTGTGCACTACGATTTTCTGTAGTTAATCAGGTCAAAGTCGTTTTAATAGGCAGCCGAATATTAGCGGGAAACTGCACAGATGGCGGCTCTAACCTGAATGACCGCGCGGCAAATCAGGCCGCCTTGGCTGTAGCCAATGAGGATGATCCCGTCCGGATGCGCATCGGATACGTTGCGGATGTAGTCACCAAATCCGGTGACCTGCGTCCACATCGGCCAGGCGCCTGCACGTATGACGTGTCTTATACAATATTATTTTAATACTTTCACCGCAATTTAAATTAACGGTCATCATATGACAAACGTGCATCGCAAGGTTATTTTGAAAAAGAAAAAACAGTTACTTTTGATATACTGGTATAAAGGGATGAGATAGACATCCGTGCCAGGATGGGCTTTTTGGATGTTGAGCTGAAGATGGATGAGCTCCAATGCGTGATCGAGAATTCCATGTACCTAATGCACTGTCACACGTTCACCCAGCTGCTTTTTTTTACTTGACAACGTGTGATTGAAAAATAAATTTTCAATTTTATTATTTTATTTGCGCAAATAAAATTAACCAAAATGATCATAATCCTTATACGAGTACGGCAGTCAACGTACGATAACAACGGGACGGTATTTTGACGCTTGTTTAGCACGCATCGACAGTAGCACGCTTTCGTTGGCAGGTACAAGTAAAATCACGGAAAAGACGCAGGCAAATAATCCGATCAATGGGATATTCACAAGGAGCGATGCCATAATTTCAGGACAAGAGCATAGCGTGGATTAACCTGAAAACCTGGAAGCTAACCTATTTAGCGTTCTATCCAGTTCATAAGAAAAAATATTATTGCTACTCCAAGTTTATTTTCGAATCACACAACGGGTGCATATTAAACGAAACAGTGGTGATCTCACATGCATTTGCTAGCAACTGCATCCACTGTTGGCGTACCATTATCAGATTGCGTGCACTTTAATCGTTCGATGCAATCACCTGATACTGTCAATTATGAATTATCTGCACTTGAACAAACCACACATCAGTGCTATGCACATTAGGTATTAAACATTAGGCCAACAATTTAATTAAGGAAAATCCGCGCATGACCTTTTGCATTATTCTTCGGATTCCTGCGCATCCTTCTCCGACTGCTGCAGCAGAGTGACCTGCCTCTGCACCTGCTGTATGACCATAGGCAGGACCTGCTGTAACTGCAGCAAATGGTCCATCTGGGTCTGCAGCATGTGTGAGCCTTCGGAGCGTTTATGGGCGGGACGCGGTTGGGCTTCCTGCTGGTCGGAATCCGCGTGCTGCTGCTGGAGGGGACTGGGATCGGGGTTCTGTGGGCGGGGCAAAAGGTCACCGAAATCGTCAAAGATGTTAGGCTGCGCGGCGGACGAACGACGGAAGCGTCGAGCTTCAGCGCAGATTAGCAGTGATGTTAGTAAGCAGATGGCGAGAGTATGACACCAAAGCATCGCTGCAGTATAACCAGCGAAAACCTTTTGCGGCAATTATAAATTTTTAAGTACGTACTTTTATTATGTCGAACGTTGTTGTTGTTATTAACGCAGTATTTTACGCAGGAATTTGAAGTTTTCAAGCACTCTGATAATAATACTCAGTATAGATCAATTTAAAATAATTGTTACAGCTCTGATTATTATTATTGAAATAAGTACTGTACTCAGTTTAATTAAAATCTCTTAGTAAGTACTTACATGCACTATGATCGTTCCGGAAGCGAGACCAGTTTATTCTAAGTACAAGTGCAGTACTTACGTCTTACGGGTAACTTAAACCTACTCAATCTTCCATGATGTGCGCCGTACGTTGCTAAGTACTAATACATATATTTTTACTTAAGTACTTATTGTTGTTGTTGCTTGGGTGTGCCATGTGAACACTTCTTTATCGTACAGTAAATAAAAAAAAGCGATATTGCTCCTTTCCTTAACAATTATGCTTTAAATATTAATGGTGCCTGGTAGGTTGTCAGGAGCCTTCTGTTGTTGAACCCTCCCGTTGGCATAAGAGCAGCAATGCAGTTTTCGCCGAAACTAATACCAATGTAATGTAATTCCACACTTTAAACTAGGCCGGTCGGTGCCTTCTTCTTTCTGTTGGCAGCTGCAGCGTTTGTAATACATAGGTACTTAGAATTTTTCCACCAGTTCCCGATGGATTCGTTTTTTGCAGACTGTAGGAGCATTACTGTGCCGATATATTGAATAAAGTAAATTATGTAGAATATACATACACGCTGTATGAGTACTGAAATTTATCGTTAGTAAAGCTGCTTTAAAGCTGCTTTAATTCAGACTGGGGGTACAAAAATCACAATTTTTCTATCAAAATAAAGATATATCGATATATACTGCACGTATAATTTCACTGTCAGACTGTCTCTTACTGTGCTCTGAAGCCAACCAGCTTATACAATGTACGACAAAATCTGTGTGAATTAAATTTTACAAACTAATACGTGTTCGGTGTTATACTGTGAAATATTCCGTGTTCGGTATTAGACTGAAGCTGATATATATAGTAATATTATTAAAATTTAAAAGTATGCTCTGTGCATAGTTAGGAAAAGCGTTTAAACCTGAATTACCCATGTTAAATGTTTTTATACTTTGGGCGCATTGTACTCGTATTTAAACGGACAGCAAACGTATGAGTATGCTGGAAGTGGAGAAAATGGTGAACTGGCATTGTCGGCCTTCGCGGAGGCATTATAATAAATTATACCGGTTTTGACATCATACCCTCGAAACAAAGACTGACAAACCTGTATTGATTTTGGGTAAGTCTAGTAATAACGTCATCGGAAGTTCCCCAGAAGCAATGTCACACCGGAAGTTGGCCCATCGTTTTCGCTGCAGCAGTGCAGAAGTAATCACACCCTAAATGAACGTGTTTAGGTAAAAGCAAAGTGCTTCACGATTTTGTCAACAGATTCAATTGAGCGATTCAGTTATTTTACTTCTGTAAAGCGTAATAAGAGTATTATATCCGTCTAAACAGCTGGTGTTTTCAGTATTGATTGTACGGGATAACTGTGATATACGTAAGGTAAGGAGAGCTGTGTGTCAATAATCGCTTAATTACAAGGTAACACAGGTAGTAGTAAGTAATTAAGATTAACGATTGATGTGTGTGCAACTGTGAACGTTTCGTTTTCAACGCAGTGTGTTCAGGTCAAAGTGTATCGACTGTTGAGTATTTGAGTATGTCGCAAGAGAAGCGGCCCGAACAAACGTCTGAAGAGAAGCATTCCGAAGAAATGCCTGCAGAGACGTCTCCGGATACAGTGCAAAACGCCGAGGTCGTCCTCCACATGTTACATGCGGACGAAGCCAGAAAAGCTGGATGGGAGGACAAGTACGAGGCGCCAGTAAACCACGACGGCAGAGATGCTTATGCGGTTGGCGTGTACGCCAACCTTTCCGCCGACAGAAAGCACGAACTGCTGGACCAGAATGTTGGTAATCCTTGTGGCAAGCTGGAGAAGCTCAGTGATCGCGAGCCAAGATGAATAGACGGCAAGAAACCGTCTGGCCATAAGCAGAACAGCAGCCAGTAGGTCTGCGTTACTGTATTTTGCTGGATTTAATATTCGACCAGTTTTGCGGAGAAATGCTATGTAGCCCGTTTAGTGGATGGTTTTTTGATGGAGTACTAGTGTACTACTAAATCTCTATCGTTTGCTGGGACATTCTTCACTTTTCTTTGTACGTATCTGTCAGCGGTTTTATTTGAAATAATCTTATGCTTTCGCTTGGATAAGCTTTCTGCTCCACAAAATCTTGGCTTGCCAATCGTGGTAGTAGTCAAGCTGCAAAATAAATCGTTTAGGTGCAATATTTTAACTTTTACACAGGTACAGTAGTGGTACTAGGAAGTAAGAGGTCAGTCCTGGGAACGACGCCAGCCTCGGCTAATTTAGATCAAATGTTCTCTGTAATTCGGCCGCATGTCTCCGCTGTCTTTTGATGCTGTGCGACGCTTGTGTGCGTTTGGATGTTTAAACTGGCGTAGAATACATTTGACAAGTTAAAAAAAAATGCCCATGTAGAGGTCAGTTATACAAACTGTACCATGGATACAACGTACAGATGTACTGTACTTATAATAACATAAAATTAATTATCTATAGTCGTTTACTTTTGTAGCAAACTTGTGACTGTATTATATCGCCAGTACTGATTAATGCAAACATAACTATTGTAGCTCTCGATGTTTCGATGCTCGTGCATTGTGTATTGTATTTAACATTTAAACAAGCCTAAAATCGTATTATATACATACTGTAGATTTCGAAAGTAAGTCAAGTCAAAGTAATAAGTCAGGGAAAACTGCGAAAATAAATGTCCAACAAAATCAAATGCGAAATTAAACACAAGTACAAAGTGCATATATATGTACGTCAAAATTCGAAAGCATTACAGAATCGGATTATCGATACTTCTATATTATTGTTCCCTGGTTCTATTACTGTACACACAAACAATGCAATACACAAAGGGGGGTGCTTTATTATTTACTGACAAACACACCCGCGTACAAGCGGGAACAACCTCCAAACCCCCAAGAGCAGAACAAAACAACACAGCAGGTAGATGTATGGGTTGCCGAAAATTCCGAGATGAAGCGCAGTTCCGATTGCGAACTGCTGGAACAACCGTAACGTGGATACTTCGCGCAGGGTAACGGGCAGGAAATCCAAAAGCCGTTAACCTACTGTACTAAGTTACTAACACACAGTCAAAACTGTGTCAAAACAAATTGCATGCAGCTGCTAATTGAAAGGTCACGACAAACATTTAATTCCATCATACCGCCACCGCATATATTCAAAATTATTGTAAAACGGCAAGCTGAAATGTTATGAAAACAATTTTGTGCTGGTAGCAGCTGCATTACGCGGAAATTATAGTGAACGCCTGATAACAGCTATTTTTGCGTACATGCGAAGCCGGTGGTGTCATGCCAAACTGCTCTAATCCAGAGCATATTTAGTTGACTTGAAAATAACGATACCAGTACTCATTAATGCAAAGACATTTATTCGCGCAGGCATGAGAAATAAATCCAGCACATTAGTAACCAATGATCATGTGGGTTTCAATTTTTGCTGAAAACATGTAAAATTAAAAGAAAACGCAGAAAGGTTAAGCGGTGGATAATAAATAAAAATAACGTTAACAACTTTCAAAATCACCTTAAGAACACCGATTGGTTGTCTGTTTTCCAGAAATGCGACTGCAATGATCGAGCAGTGACCTTTGAAAGAATTTTCTTGAAGCCGCAAATTTGTATTTTGAATACCGTACTGTAGTTACTCGGACAAGTGCGACCAGATATCCCATTCGCATACGAAAAGTGATCAAATCTCGTGAAAAGAGCTTTTCGTGCTTATCGCAAATCTAAGTCTTCACTAAAAGAAGCGTGTAAAGCAAAATTGAAGGCGGTTTCTAAAAGTGTGAAAGTTTAATTAAACAATTTGAGACGTTAAAGCTTACTGATATTGCGTATTCGCATCGCAATAACCCGGCTAAATTTTGGAAATATGTAAAGTCGACCTCAAATCGAAGTAGCATGCCCCCGTTGAAAAAAGCCTGATGGCTGCACAGCTGTCACTGAACTTGACAAAGCGAATGTTTTGAATGAGCAGTACAGGGACTCCAGTCTGTTTGCAATGCTCACTGCAACGATTCTGGTTCTAGTATAATCTGCGGTAACAATGATATCTGGGAAATAACTGAACTACTGGTGCTCGAGCAATTAGCAAAATTATCAGCAAAACATCTAGCGGTAAATTCATCATTAACAATTTGCTATTAATTACTGCTGGAAATTCCATCACAAAGCCTCTTAAACTGATTTTGAGGCCGCGCTAAACGAAGGAGTGTTTCCTGACGTTTGAAACAGTCATTCATAACTCCCGTCCCCAAGTCGTCGTCTGACCCTCAGCTGCCGGCAAGCTACCGGCCTATATCCATGCTCCATCCTGTGTCAAAGTTTTTGAGCGATGCTTAGACCAGCTGATCCGTGAATTTTCGAATGCAACAAAGCGCTACTAAATCACCAGTTCGCTTACCGCAAAAAAAATGTCCACTGAACTTCAGCTGTTTATTTTTACTAAAGAAATTTCTGATTTTATTTCAAACGGATTTGAAGTAGACGCAATTTTTCTTGATTGCTCGAAGGCGTTTGATAAACTGTCACACGAGTCAATTGTTAAGGCCCTTGTAAAATTAAATTTACCTAGCCAAATCGTACATCTGATTTATGACTATCTGAAGCGGCGACTACAGTGTAACAGTCGAAGATGCAGTGTCCGACACGCTGTCCGTTATCAGCGGTGTTCCTCAAGGGTCTGTTTTAGGCCCTCCTTGTTTATTTGTGTTCTTAATTTTATTCTGTCTGTGTTAAAAACGGCAGCAAAGTGTATTTATTTGCTGATGATATTGTCATCCTTCGCCCTGTTACGAAAGATAGTGATCCCGTACTGCTGCAGGAAGATGTTTCGTGCGTAAATGATTGGCTCAACGGTAACTGCCTTTATCTCAACGCAGCAAAATCTGTTCATGTTTGTTTTTCCGCCAAACGGAACATTCAGACCTCTAACACTTACTATATTAACGGCAAATATACCAACAAGCAAGTCGGTAAAGTACTTAGGCGTTTTTGTAGATCGAAAACTTTCCTGGAAGGTAAACAGTGAGAAACTTTGCTGAAATGTAACAGTAGATTAAGTTGCATAAATCGGCTATTTAAATACTTTCATTCAGGTGCAAGAATTAAATTATTCGAAGCTTTGGTTTTATCAGTGATCGACTACTGTGCCTCCTGCGTTCACCCAGTGCTAAAACGTCCAGCGATACGGTAGAAAAGTGCCAAAACGTTTTACGAAAACCTTGCAACTAGGAAATGACCTGGCAAACTACGAAGCACGTCTGAAAGAGCTGCAGTGGGATAGTTTAAAATTACGTCGCATTAAGAAAGCGCTGATTTTTATTTACAAACTGAAGTTTGGCAAAGTGCCTTTAGGTGACCTTTGCATTATTCCTTTTGTTAGTTCAGTTGCTGCCCTTGAATCTATTGCAGGTAACACTCGGCATCACGTTCGGTTGACTCAGCATCCATTTCCGATATCACCGGCACCAACGTCTATTTGCGGTACAACGGTGACCGCCGTCCATGGATCGCACCTAAACGAACTGACTACCCTGTGGAACGAACTGTCTTTTCCTGTGGAATCCTATCAGTCAGCATCCACGTTCCAGGCTGAATTGGATCGGGTTGACTGGGACGACCTTGCATGGATTAAGAAACATCCTTTGTTTGTTAAAGATACTTAAATTTTTTAGCTTTTGTTACATAACTCGTTGAATTTCAAATCGTACGAATACGTAGTTTCGATGCTTGTACTTTTGTTTTCCTTAATTAGTGCACCATAAGCTCTTAAATTCGCATCCTTGGTTGCTGTCATGATATCACGCTTTTTGTTTTCTCTACTTATTTAGAATTTTCTGTCTTAGCTTAAAAGGAGGCGAAGCCTCGTAGCAAAGGACAATAAACCAGTTATTATTATTACATTAATTCTGCTTTCATTATTCTGGCATCCCTTCACTGCTGACACATAAAGAGGTCTTTCTCTGCGAGAGTAAGCGGGAGTTGTCCCACTTACCAGAGAGAAGCCTGTAAAAACAGGGTTTGCCTCTCATGTCAAATCACACAACAAAGCAAAAATCCTGCTAACTTGCATTCAGAATAAGCGATAAGACATAATGCGTCGCCGAAGCAATGCAACAATGCGTCGCCGAAGCAATGCAATAATTAAACTTTCAGAAACACAAGACAATCGTTTGCAGACACACTGCAAATTACAATATGCGCTACTAGCGCTCAATAATACCATGACCCAGTAATGAAATTTCTGGTCAAACCACTATACAAGAGCAAAATAAAAGGGCGACGCAGACCCGTTGAGTCTGTGCTGCCAATTCCGAGTAAGACAAGTTAAATTAATTATTATCGTCAGGAGGGCTTGCGTCTCCGGCGTCTCGGTGGTCATGATAGCCATGTCCGCGTTTCCCGCATTCGCCACACACGTGCGAATAATGACAGGAAGCAGCCGAGCGAGAGCAGTTGCCTTCTTGAAAGGCAAAGCAACAAAGCAAACTTGTAGCGGCCCATTTTGGCGCCGCTGCGTCGCGAAAAGAGCTGACCTTTATCGTATTTACCTTCACCATACTCTGTTCGGCGATTAATCGCATGCAAATGCTTAGAACTGATAGTATTTCGTGCTTGGTAGTCGCATAACGAAAACCCTTCATTTTCAGCGGAATGTCGAAAATCGGTGTCGAATTCAAGCACAGCATCATCCGTAAAATTACAACGCATAGAAGCCAAATACTCATTATATTCGAGATGCTCCAGGAGCGTCTCTGCATACTGCCCAGACACAGTTTTGCACAATTTAACTGCTGTGCGCCAACTATGAACAGAAAACTCGTCGAGTGAAAGATCAAGAGGAGAAACGTGCTTGCTTTTCGACCCTGGTTTAGGAGCACGCTAGCTCGTGCGGCCTCTGCAGTTTACGTGCTTCCGTTGGGAAACAGTTAAAACTTTTGGCCATAAATTCTGACTTATCACCTTCAATTGAAATGACAGAAACAGGGCGGTCTAAGCATGATGGCTTCAGATTATCATACTCAACCGCGGTACCACTGCTGCGGGAAGATTGACCGCTTTGCGGTCGAAGTGACCATGACCTCGAAGTGTCGAAAATCATTTCAAATCCCGATCGTTGCCGGACGCAGTGCCAAGCGTGAGCGCATACACTGCGAACGGCTGCTATATCTCGTACCATATACCGCACGCTGACCATCAGAATACTAACAGACCGAACAGACCACTGCGTTCCGCCCACCGTCACCAGGTCAATAATATACAGATTATTGCCATAATCTTTCCCGATATGGATTTGCCGATTACCCTCGATAACAGTACTAGTATCTGCAAGGGTGTGCTAATTAAAATAAGTACTTACTCGCGCTGTACTCGTACTGTATCTCGTTCTCTTTTATAATCGGGATAAATTCTACATTATGTTGATATTTTTTTAATTAGCCGAAATTTTTTATTAGAGTTATTATTATTATTATTATTATTATTATTATTATTATTATTATTATTTATTATTATTATTGGTTGGCTATTATTATTATTATTATTATTATTATTATTATTATTATTATTATTATTATTACATATTATTATTATTATTATTATTATTATTACATTATTATTACTATTATTATTATTATTATTATTATTATTGTTATTATTATTATTATTATTATTATTATTATTACTATTATTATTATTATTATTATTATTATTATTATTATTATTAGCTATTATTATTATTATTATTATTATTATTATTATTATTATTATTATTGCTTACGTATTATTATTATTATTATTATTATTATTATTATTATTATTATTATTATTATTATTACTATTATTATTATTGTTATTATTATTATTATTATTATTATTATTATTATTATTATTATTATTATTATTACGGCACAAGAGCAGACAACCCCAAAGGGACTTCAAGTCTGGTCGAACAAAAACAATTTCCTGCTAACAAAAACATTTAGGACAGATTAACAGATCTGAGTACAAATTTGAAAGAAGGTACAGAACTGGCTTCGAGAATTTTAGGATTGACAGCAAGAATTTTATCAAGAAGACGCTTTAGCCGCATTTCCATAGTCCACCCTCCGATAACGTACATTGTTAAACGTACATGAGCAGGGAAACGAATGCACCCATCCTATTTTTTGAGAGAAGTCGATTCACTTTGAACTAGAATTCTTGTTTTCTCATTCTTACAAATTTGCGGTAAGCGATTTCTGTTTTGGAGGTAACTCGGTCACGTCTCGGTGTAACCCAAAATAGGGTTACAACCCAAAATGCACAATTGTAACCCAAATGAACTAATTTCACTCGCAATCCTGTCCTTGTACGTGTTGCAAACAGTGCGATTACCGAGGTACAGTATGCACTCTGTATGTGTTCATTAATGAAGCAGGAGAACTTTAGAAGTTAGTCAATTAACAGCTAGTAAACTTTATTTGGCAAAGGCCATCAGTGTTATAAAAAAGTGCATTCGCGTAATACGATTTATTGGCAATAGCCACCCAAATAGCAATAAATGCAAGCGCTGGTACACTGGATAGTTAAAAATTAAACATTAAAAAAACAACCAAAATCCTTATCCTCTCTCGGATTAAAAGGCAGTACTCAAAACAGCCGTAGCATTTCCTTTAACAACAGCTAAACTAAAACGCTGCTTGAGAAAAGCAGTAGAACGCGCCGCCCGTTATGTCACGAATCTTGCGGCCCATGAAATGCAGCATTTCACTGAAGGCAGGGCCAAAACTCCCAGTGTCTCAATAACCAGGGGATAAAAGAGGTAACCGTATTCCAAAAAGTAATATGTGGCGGAATTTTCGCCAGTTTGGACACACTTCCGGATTTCTTCGAGCTTGCGGTGACGTGGGAATCCGCAACAGTACTACCAACTTATTTACATCCCAAACAAGCGGTCTGCCTTAAGCGAACTGGTATCAGCGTCATTCCGTCAGGTCTTTTCCCGTCTGTGCTGGATAGTCCATTCGGTTCCAGCTGACAAGGAAAACCAGCGCTTTCGCAACAATTCTTGGCGATGCTGTTCATTTCTTTATGCCGCGCCCATCGTCCTTTGGTTGATTTGTTGCATGATAGCCCATGGTGACCATTGGTTTCAACTTGCGTACCGCACGCGATGCAATTGTGTGCCACCACTACCGGTAATCCATTCGCGTAATACTACTTAAAATGATACAAATTTAAACAGCCAAAATCGTTATCGCCATCAAAAATCCATGGTCGCGTATTCAAGGTGCCCAAACAGCAGCAGCATTTCCTTTCACTACAGCTAGACTAAATCTCTGCTTCAAAAATGCAGTACAACGAGGTTCCCTTGTCACTTCGCGAATCTTTCTGTCAGCGAAACGAATAAGCTCCATAAAATCACAGCCAAATGTGCCAAAGGTTTCGACTGCCAGGGGAAAACAGATAACCCATCCTTTCCACGTAGGCGTATTTACGGCGTTTATTGACTTCGGCCAAATGTGCAACATTACCGGATGCGCTCGCACTTGCGGCTACCGTGTCCCAGGATGTAGCGTCTCATACCCTAGCGCCTTACCATCCCGTACCGGGACGAAGGTCAATGTTCAGTTTATATGTTTGCCTATTAAATCCCCGTCCCGTGCAAGGCTTGCACCACAAATGCAAGAGCACCTTAACAGTAACACTAGCTTTTCAAGGCGGGTCGACTCTTGAATTTCTCTTTCACGTTCTGTGGCACACCAGATCGATGCTGGTTGCAGCTCCAGCTATTTTTGGCCAATGTACCCCATCTCCTCCTTAGCCACATTGGGCACGTTACTCCACCGAACAGTCGCCTGAACTGCACCCGGTAATTCTCGCTGGCAGTTAAGTACAGGAAAAAATTAACGGAGTAATTGGTCAGGATAGCCACGGTGCAAAACGGCGTTGCGAACAATTTAGCTGATTTCTCAAAGTGGTAGACATTGTACGTTTCGGCTATTTCCAAGAATCTGAATACCATGGTGGGGGACAAAGTAATCAGGTAGAAGAACACACTGCCCAGCAGTAGGTAGTTGCTGGTCTTAGAACGCTTGGCAGAGGTCTTTCCTTGGGCGGTCCGTTGTTGACCTATATCGGACCGTTGTTGACGGTATAGAGCGTTGATAGCGAGTACGTTAATGCACAGAAGCCCGAAGAATTTCACAAAAGTTGCGGCCACCTATAATCGTCCAAACAGTATATGAAACCGAAATAAGCGATGAGACATGCAAAAACTAAATAGATTTACTATCGAATTTATATATACATACGACCGTATCGTTATTATAGGCGAATTGTTTTGCGAAATTATCACAAGAAGTTCAGAGTTAGCTGAACAGAAATGAAGTTAAGAGTTCTTGTTAACTGATAGTCCTGCATTACATTTTTCAGTACAGATACGTATCGATCACCATTAAAGGTCTATATGTTCTTGGACCTCTGCGATATTTTGCGACTCCGTCCACTGTTTTAACCAAGTTGGCAACATCGCGGGTGTCAGGTTGTAGCGCCACAGATACCATTCACGAAGAATACTGCCAGAATTGAAGACTATGGAGAACAACAGCAACAGCACGATGACAACCTGCGCGGTTGTGGCACGCTTAGCCCGTTTAAAGGTGAATGGTCGGGAGATGGCCAACAAGCGTTCCAAGGAAAAGGCAATTAACACCCTGTGTTACAACAGTGAACTTTAAATTTTTAGTAACCCAAATTAACCGACGCCGTTACCAACGTAAGACTAAGTACTCGTAGTTATAATAAGTATGTAGTACCATAATATTACTAAACACAGTGTAATCGATTAACATGACGTCACGGCAGCGTTGTGCGTGGCAATTGCATTTGGCTTTCGAAACTCCCCAACATACAATACATGGCTCAAATGGAGGAAAATTGTTTGGAAGGTGGTTGGCTAGTAAAAAAGTTATCAGGAAACGAAAAGTTTGCGATTTATGTGATTCGGTTTAGCAATGAGGTCTATGAGGCTGTTTGCCATAGACCTCTACGATGAACAAAAATATTGATTTTTCATTGTGATCAAAACAAAACAATTAAAAATGTAATCACTTAATCAAAACAAAACATCCAGAACTCTAATCAGTCAATTAAAACAACCAAACAGTTAGATTTTGATCAACTGAAGTAGTTTTGTTTAGCATTGATGTCTATAGCAAGCTGCCTCGTAGACCTCAATGCTAAACGAGAAATACATAATCGCAAAGTTTTCGCTTTCTTGATAACTTTCTACTCGCCAGCTTTCGCATTGACAAACTTAAAATTTTTTCCTCCATTTTTTGAGCCATAGTACGAACAAGTTGTATGAATTTGAGAGTTTTGAAAGATACCAAACCCGCAGGGTTGCTCACTCCGACGCATGGTGCAGGTTATCTACCGTGACGTCATCGTACACGGTGCAAGCTCGATTGGATACCTGTCAGTTTAGTAATATTATGGTAGTACGTACCAGTCACACATATGAACGAAGATGTCTTGGATCAAAATTATGTGCGGCAGCACCGCTGACAAAATAGCGAAATTTTTTTTGTTATAGTAGGGAAGATGGAAGATGACACTGGTGTTCCAGAGATATGGTGGAAGGAACATCCACCTGATTTAGCAAAAAAACATGTTTTAGATTAGCATTTCGAAAATATTGTACCAGTCAGTAGTCACGGATGCATGCGTACTGTCTGGATAATAAAACGATGCTTTAGATTTTAAAATATGTCCAGTCGAATTGCTTATTCAGCGTTTCGAGAATGCAGCAATCTGCTCAGTTTGGAAAGGACGCAAGGTATGCTCATGGTATGTTGGCAGAACTGATGTAGAAGTATATGACATGGTGAACCGCTCGAAGATTACATTGTAAGCGGAAAAATTGCAAGACCAGTTTTTAAGGAAATATACCTCTATATATTTTGAGAGGTTACGTGGCATGCTTACAATACAACCAAATCGGCAACGGCTGCGGCGATCATGTACAAATTCGTGGTCGTTTGCCGTTTGGCGGAGATCAGCAAAATTAAATTCAGCACGTTGCCGATAGTGCAAGCCGCTAACAACACCGGGTATAAAGTGATGAACACCAAATTTGCTTGATCTCGCTGCGCCCTGTGAAATTTCCAGACCACGGAACGCTTCGACGCCACGCCTGAGGATCGTCGTCCAGGAAGGCGTTTTGCGTTCCCACGGAAAAATTATACATCGTGTTAATTTCAACTGAATCGCTTGCGTTCATGAATCATGAGTATTGTATGTACACAGCATTTAAGAGCATTCAAATGTATCCAGCCAATTTCTGCAATAACGTTTCCAAAAGACAGCGGACACGGCTTCTATCCCGTTAAAACAAAACATCACATGACGTTCAGGAAAGCTCATTAATAATGCATGGCAGTAATTTTATCCATCGGTTGGATGTGTGCATACAAAATAGAAATTAACGTTTTCGAAGGCCATTGCGTCCAGGTAATGTGGACCAACATAAAGCGTAAATGGGTAACATAAAGCTTAAAAGAGAAATGACTAACCAGTGCCCAACACAGATGCACATCAAGCCATAGAGTTTAAAGGGCGATGACGCGGAGGATTCAGCTTGGAAGTCGGACATATACCAAAACATTACTTTTCTAACAGGGGATGAACGGCTAGTTCACCCCTGCGCACAGAAACGAAACGGAAACTGAACGCCAACACACTGCACACTTTATCTCTCTCTCATACAACATCAAAGGCCACCGCATAACCTGCTGCGCGGCAAAAAGGAAAAAGCATCCAGCTCAGACGACGAAATCTAGCAACTCAAGAATCTACCAGATTTAGAATCTGGTAGATAGAGAAAAACACGGCAAAAACAGCAAAACAACCTAGCAGCCGCCTGTGCGCGGGTGAACGGAGAGGCCACTCCTCCTTACACTTTGCAACGCGAGCAGTTTATTATATAATTTCTGGAAAACGTAAGTGGTTGCACGCCTTACACAGTTTGCATTGGTTATTTTTGACGTAAAAAGGAAACGGTAAAATTAAAATGGCAGCATAAACGCAGATAAATTTTTGTTCCTAATTTAGAAATGGACTGCAACACATAATATTTACTCAATAATATACGTACGGACAATAGGAGCGCCGCTATCAACTTTTCTGAGTAGTTAAATCCTTGTAGCATCGGATGTGGCAACCATGTTTCACGAAAGTTGCAACCGGTAATTAAAGCACATGGAAAGAACGCTCTGTCGCACCGGTAGATAACATGAAAGTGGTGCTCGCAATGCAGGTACCTAACCAAGAAAAATTAGGACAGCTGTGAATTAAAGGTTTATAGGAACGCTGCAGTGCATAATCACCATCCAAGCTAGAAAATTTGAATAATATTTCTAAGTAATTTGGTGCTGCATTGTGCCAAGAGGGTAAGATTAATCTGCTTCGAGAAATGGTTCCTTTCTCCAGAATCCTGAACGTGATGCCTGGGTACATAATTAGTGGGCGCACGGAAGGTTATTACTTCCGGACTGTACTGGAAATTAAAGTTAGCTGCCGTTGGGCGCTTTTGCTTTATTTTTGTTTTCTGTGATAATGTTGTGTAAGTCTGCAAGACGCCCGTCATCTGTAGGTACATTGCGGAGACCTTATTATACGCCACTTCAAGACCTTACAGCTTCAAGGGCGTACTATAGTGCGGATGTATGCCGAAACCAGCGGAACGTGATGATCTCTAATCGGTCTTGATTGGTTGTTATTTACTTGTTTCAGAGTCGGAAAGGAGAAGCTCGTATTAGACATGAAGTAGTGAAATGTCGAACAATTATGGCTCTGTCAACCTGACCTACAAGGGAAATTATTTTCGGTATCTCCACTGCAAGACTGCCTTACAGTAAGGGTTTCAAATATGGGTGAGACTATAGGCGCCCCTTTCACCCCAGTTTGCTACAGGCACCCCCTTTTTGCACCCCTTTTCTATACATATATAAATCTCGCACCCCCGTGTTTTCCTCGGACTATAGGCACCTGTTTCCTGTTCTCCGTTTTTTTCCCAGAAGCCTAACAAAGATTTTCTAACAGGTTTTTTGGTTGACAAAGATTTTTTTGACGATCTGACATGACTAGGTCATTTACATACAAATGCGTACTAGGCACTTCATCCGACAATGTGCCGGTTTGACTGATTTGAAAATGATTTGGCTGCTTTAGTGCTTCAATAATTTTTCTGGCATTCCTGAGGTTATGGTGGTAATGATTGTGACCTTTTGGGGTACGGACATCACGATATTTATAAACGCCCCCGGCATCTTTCTTATGAATTTCGTTTAGTGTATGATTGAACATCCTTTGTTCTGTTCTTTTTACCTCGCTCCACTTTATCATACTTGGTCGTGTACTGTTTCGTGTGCGACGGGGTGCACGAAAGAGGTGCCTATAGTCTAAGTGGGTGCGAAAGGATGGTGCCTATAGCCATTTCCTGTAAATATGCCGCGGATGAAAGCGATAATGTGATGATGATATTTTCTTATAAGGCATTTCCAGATCAGATAGCCGACGAAATACGTACTTCTGTAAGATTGATTATCTCACCTTCTGGTGCTATGATTATCTCGCCTTCTGGTAGTCTTGCGTAATGATCTCGTACTGTAACTGCAACTCGTTTATTCGGAAACTCTTATAACACGCTTTCAGGTCTATCGATATTATAGTCTACCATCTATCGTGCGGATTCCATAACAGGACTCACACACGCATCCAACTTTTAATCTCCTTATAAAATTCTAGGGAAAGCCGATCCCGCTTTTCTTAAGTAGCGCATTAGTTTAACGATAATGAAGGGAAGCACAGCTGCAGTTTTTCGAGCAAAAGTAAATAATTTGTTGAACGGAACGTTTTCGGCTGTTTTTGGAATATATTAGCGCTAGTAAAATTATCAGTGCTGTTGTACGCGAAGAAACAATTAAAAAATTGTATGTACATATGGAGTAACGATAAATTATCGATATGTACGTGCCGTCAATTAAGTCAACCAACAGCTGTGAATGCTTCCTTCAAACTGCGGTGTATTGTACTCCTGTTAAAATGTGCACAGCGTGCCTGAAGAGATGCCTCCTGAGAGCTTGCCGGAAGAGCAACCTGCCGTACAAAAACATCCTGGTTGTCCTGTATACGTATCATCCACGCAAAAGTTCCCGACGACAAAAAGCAGGAACTGTTGGCGGAGCGTGCGAGTAATCTTCCAAGACCTGGAGGTTCAGATAAGGTCGCTAATCGGGAGTCAAGAGAAAGCAAGAAACCGGCGGCGGATAAGTCAACCTAAGCCAATCTACTGGTCGTTCGCTTTACTGGCTAAACATTCGGTCATTGCCACCGTCCTCGTAATGGCGTGTCTCAGAATTTTTTTGTTTCGTTATACTACGTACCAAGTGTTTGCTTATGCTCTTGCACATGTTTTTGATGTGAAATCCAAATCACTTCCGTTTCCGTGAACAGTGTTTCGTTTCTCGTGTTTACGCTAATATTATGCTTCGGTAGACTATTGCCATTCGGCGCTATGATCTTGCAATTGCATCTCATAATTGCAACTTGCAACTGCTTTGCAGAATCTCTCGTCCTGGAATGCTGCTCTACAGTTACTCGGGCACAAGATAAGTATTAACCAAGTTAAATACTTCAGGCGATTTTCTGGTTTACTAATTTTTCTTTCAAATACACCGTATACAAAAAAAAAAAGATTCCGTGGTTAATAAAAAATAAGTGATAAAACAACAAGTGTTTGAATTCTTTTATATTTTTGATTTAATGACAGTGTTATTAGAAGGATTTGATACAAAGTTTCCACAACAAATGACAAGACACTTGCCAGTATTAGTCAGTACGCATATGGAATTTGGTGTCTTTATACGTACGTTAAAAATAATCATAACAAGCAGCTACAAATATTTACAGCATGAGTCCAGATAATGGAGTCAATATCTATACCGTGCAAGGCTTGCACAACAAATTCAGCTTTGCAAGAGAGCCTTAAGGCCCTTAACAGCTTTTCACAGTGGGCCGATTGTTGAATTGCTCTTTAAGGTTCCCATGCAGCCGGGATCGCTGCTGATTGCAGCTCCAACTGTTATCGGTCCCCATGCTCCAGTTTCTCTTTAGCCACACCGGACACATCACTCCACCGAATATCCGCATAAACTGCGCCCTATACTTCTCGCTGACAGTCAAGTACAGGAAAAAATTGACGGAATAATTAGTCAGCATAGCCACGTCGCAGAACGGGTTAACGAAGAGTCTAGCCGATTCATCAAAGTTGTAGACCTGGAAGGTGTCGGCTAGTTCCAAGAACTTGAATATCAAGACGGGGATCACAGTAATGAGATACAAGAACACGCTGCCCAGCAGTAGGTAGTTGCAGCTTTTAGACCGCTTGACTGAGGTCTTGGCTTGGGCGACCCGCTGCTGACCTATATCGGAGCGTTGTTGGCGGCGTAGAGCGTTAATAACGAGTACGTTGATGCCAAGGAGTCCGAAGAATTTCAGAAAAGATATGACCACCTGTAAGTGTCCCGGCCTTATAAGAAACCGAAAAAAGTGAGACATGCAAAAACCAAAAAGCGTTTGGTGCCGAATTTATATAAAACAGTAAAAATACTAAAGTTTGTCGTGCGATAAACGTTAAGTTAAAGATTAGCCAATATTTGAACTGAATTAGTATGAAATTAGAAATATAATTTTGTTTAAAGTAAGTACTTATAGTATTTTGTTTAGTATGAGTACGTCCGACCTATCGCTACTCGCTAGTACAGGCAAATTTAATTACGAAATACGGCTACTCTATGAGCGGCTTGACTCAGCAGTTTGTTTGCTTGTTCTTTTACTCGTACCTCTGCGACATTTTGCGTCTCCGCCCAGTGTTTCAGCCAAATTGGCAACGCCGCGGGTGTCAGCTGGTAGCGCCACAGATACCAGTTACTGACGAGATTGCCAGAATTGAAGACTATGGAGAACAACAGCAGCAGCACGATGACAATCCGCGCTGTCGTGGCACGTTGTACCCATTTAAAAGTGAGCGGTCGCGAGATGGCCAACAAGCGTTCCAAGGAAAAGGCAACCAACACCCTATGTCACAGAGGGGACATTAACATTTTTAGTGGTGACACAAAATAACCGGCGCCGTCAACAATGTTTTACATTCTCTTAGTTGTAATACATACGTAATACGTACCAATCACACATTTGAATGAAGATGTCTTGGATCGAAATCATGTGCGGCAGCACCGCTAACGTAGTAGCGTAATTTTTTTTGTTATAATAGGGAAGATGGAGGGTGGCGCTGGTGTTCCAGAGATATGGCGGAAAGAACACCCACCTGATTCAGTAAAAATTGGAATTACACAGCTTTGCGAAAATATTTTCGGCTAGAACTCTTCAAGCTTTGATAAGGTCAAATCTGAAAAAATAATGAATGGAAACGTCGAAAATTAAAACCAATTCTTAAGGCAACACATATACCGATACCGTATTCAAAGGTTACGTCACGTGCTTACAGTACAACTAAATCGGCAACGGCTACGGCGATCATGTACGAATTTGTGGTATTTTGCCGTTTGGCGGAGATCAGCACAATTAAATTCAGGACGTTGCCGATGGTACAAGCCGCTAATAAAACCGGGTATAAGGCAATGAACACGAAAGTTGCTTGAACTCGTTGCGCATAGGTGAAATTTCCAGACCATGGAACGCTTTGGCGCCATATATCCGGATCATAGGGGTTTTGCGCTTCCATGGAAAAATTGTGCACTATGCTAATTTTAAGCGAATCGTTTGCGTTGAAGAACATCGTTGTAAATGTATCCGGGATATTCCTGCAATAACGTTTGCCGCAGGGAAACAGACACCGCTTTTATCCCGTCCAAACAATCACAGCGTGGCGTTTATGATAGGTCACTGGTAATGCAAAGCAGGGATTTCTATCTACCGGTCGGATGTGCCGCGTGCGTAGACGAAACAGAGATTAATTTTTTTGACGGCCATTGCGTCCAGGTAATGTGTGCCAGCGTGAAGCATAAAGGGGATCTCTAACTTAGCGTAAAGAGAAGCGGCTGCGCCCAACGGAGGTATGCATCACGCCATGAAGTGGTCATTTACCAACACATTACTTTACAACACCAATAATTTATCCCGGTGATTTCTGGTAAACGCAAGTGGTTGCACAGTCGTGTCTCAGCGGGAAGTATCACTTTTGGAAACGTTAAATGGGTGCTTAAATAACAGCATTAACCCCGTTAACACGAATGAGATGTAAGTACTTACTACGCGCAGCCACAATCGCAAGATGAAAACAGCATTGAAACGTTACGAGTTGTGCCCAGTGACCCTGCTCCTAATAGTTTCTGACACTAATTCAAGGGTCACATTTACACAGTTCCGCTTATTTCAATATAAATATACAGTAAAAGCAGTAAAAATGGAATAGTAACACGATAACAATTTTCGGTCCTGATAACATTTTTCGTGCAGGAATTCACTTACAGAGTACAGACACTGACAACATAAAGATTAAAGCGTCGGTAATGACTCGCTATCGATTTTCTGATTGCTAGATGAATAGCATCGAATGGGGTAGCCATGTTTCACGAACGTTGCAGCCGATAATTAACACACACAATCCCTTAAAACGCATAATCCCTGTCGGTGCTGAAAAAATAATTCAGAGTAATTCCGTAGGCTGCGTTGTACCAGAAGGGTAAGATTATGCTGCTTTGAGAAACGCTTGTTTTCTCCAGAATCCTGTACGTGATCTATGGATACGTAACTGATGGACGCCTGCAAGCCGCAAATTAATAACATCCTGACTTTAATGGAAATCAACGCTGGATGCTTTTTCTTTATTTGTTGCTTCCGGGCTACTACGAGTACAGTTCAAGTCTGCAAGACATCAGTCATCTGTAATTGCAGAGACATAATTACATGTATACACCACTTTAAGATTTATTGCAGCTCCAAGGGCGTATAATAACGGATGTATCCCGAAACCAGCGGAACCAGTGGGACATGATGATCTTTAAACAGCCTTTATTGGTTGCTGTTTATTTGTTTTCCGGAGGCGGAAAATGGAATCTCGTATCAGACACAAAAAGTAATTATGATCTATTGTTGTCAGCCGCGGTATACGTAAAACCATTACTGCATGCCGTCATGTAGTGGAAATACCGGAAACAATTTCCCATGTGGGTCAGAGCGAAAGAGCCATAATGATTAGACATTTTACTACTTCAGGTCTGATACCGCGGGTGACAACAATAGATCATAATAATTTTCTGTAAGGCATATCTTGTGCAGTCTGCATTTGAATCAAATAGCCGGCAAACAGGGTCACCTATAGAAAGGCGGCTAACACTTCGTCGACGGTCACCAATAAAAAAAAGCAAGTAAGCTTAAGAAAACTAAAAAACTCAAGAACCTAAGAAAACTACGACGGTTAGCTAAATATTCGGTCGACTTCGGTATTGTGTCTGTTCGAACGTAGTGACGACGAATTTCCGTCGACGAGCGGGTGGGTCACCAGGAATAGTCGATTAACCGCTTTTCTAAATTAGTGCAGTTGTTTAGTTATAATGAAGGGAAAGGGAAACAGTTGCAGTTTTAGGCTCTTTTTCTGGGGCAAAAGTAAATTTGTAGAAGGGAGCGATTTTGTCGGTTTTTTTAAACTTATGAACGTACTCGTAGTAAATCTGTTACCGCTATTGTACAGGAAGGAAGAATTAACCAATTGTGATTCGCAGATTTTATGGCGCTCTCTATACGCTAGAATACTGTAATATTCAAGAGAAGTAGAGAACGAGGCACATAAATACGGTGATGCGGTAAGTAGATTCAGAAACGATGCACTTAGTCAACTTGGCTTTGTTATATTTTACCGCAATCGTAATGAATGACACAGTGCTTACAATGTCAGTTATACCGGTTTTGACATCATACCCTTAAATTAAACACTTATAAACGGGCACCGATTTTTGTTGATAACGTCATCGGCATTTCCCCAAAGCGATGAGACAGCGGAAGTTGGCCCATCCTATACGTTACCGTAGTGTAAATATAATCGCTCTGTAATTAAATTTCTTGGTGTAAAGTGAAAACGCTTCAAGGATTCTCAACAGACAGATTTCATCGCTTTATTTCTGGAAGGTACAATACGAGTATTGCCGTTAATTGACTATAATGATATTAATTGTCTTTTTAATTAGCAACAAGAGAGTAGAGATCTGTGCGACTTGCTAACAGCATAAATAAATGCTTAGTAAAGAAAATTATCGATATTTATTTGCGGTCAAGTAAGTTGATTGTGAAATGTAAATGTTTCGTTCGACTGCAGTTTATGTGATTAACCGACACGTGCACAGCATGTCCGAAGAGAAGCCTCCCGTGGCCGCGAACATGTCCGAGCAGAAGTCTCCCGAAAGCATTCCTGAAGAGAAGCCTGCCGCACAAAAGCATCCTGGTCGTCCTTCATACGTATCAACCGTTGCCGCTGCCCGAGAATCTGGACGGGAAGAACTGTACGAAACATCAAAGAACTTCGTAGGTAAAGACGCTAATGCTTGTGCTGTTTACGCAAAACTTCCCGACGAAAAGAAGCAGGAGTTACTGGCGGAGCGTCTTGGTAATCCCCCAGGTGGGGGATTGCAGAAGGTCGCTGAACGGGAGCCAAGAGAAAGCAAGAAACCGGCGGCAGATAAGTGACGTTCATCCATGATTGGTTGTGTTTTGCTGTTCTGAGTTACCATTCTGTCATATCCGCCCAATGGTGTGCTGAAGAACTTCTTAAACATTCTTTTTTTTTCGGTTAACCGAAGTGAAGAAATGTAAAATGCGAATTTTCGTTCTTACATGGCATAAAAACATTTGCAATGGCAAAGCGGTGTTCTATGTTTTATGACTATAAGTTGTCGGCCTAGTTGTTATTTCCTACACCGGACCGGGCACGGTGCGCTCGGTAGATATTTCATGGTCGGTATTCAAATACAGATTTTTATTCAGGCAATAGCCAATTAAACGTAACAAAAAGCCTGCGCCGAAAGACACTAATTAAAAAGTTTGAATTTACACATTGAAAAAAAATACATATACGAATCCTGGCCGCTGAAGTAGCTGGCCACACTGATCGTCATTATATAAAACAATATACCTCGTATCACACATGTTAGTAGAAATTTCGAAGTTGTAAAAACTACCTGAAATGTGTACATGTACATATGCCCGTTACGAGTATGTGCGCTAGTACAAAGATGGTCGCTACAGATGTACGAGATATCTGCCACCTGTAAAATATTAATCATGATCCGAAAATTTTGTTAACGGTGCTTTCATTAGTGATTAGCTTCTTACAGTGGAACAACATTCCAGTTTCTCTTTAACGTTCCCGTGCAGCCATGACCTCTGATGACTGTTGTTCCAACTGCTATCCGCGTACTTGCTCCAGTTCCTCTTCAACCACGTCGGGCACATCACTCCGCCGAAGAGCCGCATGAACTGCACCCGATAATTCTCGCTGACGGTTAAATACAGGAAAAAGTTAACGGAGTAATTGGTCAGCATAGTCACGTCGCAGAACGGCGCTGCGAACGACTTGGCCGAAGGGTCAAAGTTGTAGACCGCGTACGTGTCGGCCATCTCTAGGAATTTGTAGACCAGGCTGGGGAACAAAGTAATTAGATACAGGGTCACACTGCCTAACAGCAGCTGGTTGCTGGTCCTAGAACGCTGGGCAGAATTCACGTCTTGGGCTGCACGTTGCTGGCCGATATCGGAGCGTTGTTGACGGTTTACAACGCCGATAACGAGCACATTGATGCACAGGAGTCCAAAGAATTTCAGGAAAGATACGACCACCTACAATCATCCAGGCCTTATGAGAAAACAAAGAAAGCAAGAAGAAGCACAAAAACGAAATCAAAAGCGTCTCTGGCAAATGTAAACAAACCAGGCTTGTTGTGCGATAACGATGTACTCTGTACGAATTTACGTACGATACTGCTTAGTATCCTGCATGGTTTTTTAACTGAATTATTGCTGCAACTTTTTTTATCTCGAACATAAGTGTACAGTGTATATTGAACAGTAATCGCTTCTATGGGCAAATTTATCACGCGTTCATGTGCAACCAGCAAAATATGGCTCTGAATTTCACCAACTATGCTCAGCATCTGAGAAAAGCGTAAATCAGCTGGCCGTACCTCAGCGACATCTTGTGTCTTCGTCCAGTTCTTTAACCAAACCGGCAATGTCGCGGTTTCCAGATCGTAGCGCCACAGATACCATTGACTGAGAAAATTGCCAGAACTGAAGGCTGCGGAAAACAGAATCAGCACTGAAATGGCAGTTCGCGCTGTCGTGGCACGCTGCACCCATTTAAAGGTGAATGGTCTTGCGATGGCCAACAAGCGTTCCAGAGAAAAGGCAATTAACACCCTTGTAACACATCACAGCACACTGTCATTGCCAGTAACCCAAATTATCCGGCACTTTCGCAAAGCCGCAAAAATGTTGCAACACGTACCAATCACACACGTGAATGAAAGTTTCTTGGGTCAATATTGTGTACGGCAGCATTGCTGACACCACAGAGAAAGTTTTTTTGTTAACCCGTTCCACACAATGCGTGTTAGACCGACATGGTGGAGGACTTCTTCTCTATAGTCCGTTGTTGTGGTCATAGGTTGCTTTAAATGGTTTTATTTCAAAGAAGTGATGCTAGGCTACAGTTTAAACTATGTAACCGTTAGATGCACCATGTCCGGGAAGTCTGGAGGGCGACCAAACGTGGTCAAAATTGACCAAACTGGGCTCCCTGAGGTCCTGCTTGTCTCTACACTAACCTTCACATCAGATAATTACCACAAAAATAAGAAAGGAAGTTATTGTCAAGCTTTGTAGAAGAGTGAAACAAAGTTCAGAGAAAAAGCACCCGCTGGTCACTTCTGGTCAACTGAAAATACCATGTCGAGTTTGACACGGTTGGGCATGGAACTAATTTATTAATAATCTTTAAAATTCTATATCAACTGATAGAAAAATCGTACACGGTAGCACTAATAATCAAAAGAAAGCTCATAAAAATCTTTATATAATGACATGAGCATAGTGGTCAGCAAAGTGACCACTGGTCAACACTGACCGGAAATACGAAAAATATAGTTTTTGACTGAACGCTTCTAAAATAAGTGTGAATTGAATTTAATCGAATTTTATAACAGCATTTCTCAATAGCGCTCAAGTCACGCTAATGCTCAGGAGATGGCCCGATGAATCTCAATGTGCTTTGAACCTTATTATTACCATATATACGGATGGTATTCGGCAACCTGGCTAGCTGATTGTCTTATGCCAATCCTTATAATTTATTCTTTACAAGTTTCAAATGAGTGCAACTGCAGTAACGAGTAAATAAACCCTAATTTAGCATTGATATTCTGATAACCGAACTTCCGCCCTTGCACTAACCACGCCATTTGAACCTTCCGGTCGATGGGCGCTCGTAACCTTTAGCCCTGATATGTGCAAAACGGTGATTGCATCAGAAGGGAGTATGGACAGCGTCTAGGCACTATTCAGTAGCGGTGGCCTGAGAGGCTGAGACAATGCAAAGTACATGCAATCCCTCACAATTTTTGGACAATTAATGCTTAAAAAATAAATTGTTCTCCTGTACAGTAAGTGATAGGCATTTTTTGGCACAACATTGCTGAACCTTTCGTGCGCTGCTTCCATATTTCGAAGCAACTGGTCACTAGGACGACACTTGGAAGAATTGGCTACCGGTCCATAACGATGGCAACCATGTCAGCCATGCTTCCAGCTCTTTATCCCAGCTATCCCGTTTAGTTGCGCAATCGGATATAGTAATATTTCAACTGTGTACGTCACTTGAATTGTGGCCCACTATAAAGGCGATGACCAACTGTCCAAAACTTAGAGCGAAAGTGACCAACTGTTGCGAATTATCGAAGCAGCACTTATGCACTGGTACACATGAGTTATTCTTTGTTTCCAAATTTTCCTTGACCACTGGTCAGTTTGATGACCATCACAATGCATCCTTGCTTTAGTACTCGTCGAGATCTATCGTTTGAGCTATTGGCACATTCTGGGCGATTTTTCTATCAGCTGTTATAAGCGGCAATGGATAACATGTCGGTGCAACATGGTTACCATGCGTGTCAATGCGACATGGTCATCTCCTGCTTGACCTATGGTCGCTAAAATTTTGAAAAAAATGTTTTTCTCTTAATTGAATTTTTGTGTCCCAGACTGCCAATTTTCACAACTGTAGTCCCATCCCTTCTAGTACCCGGTTTTCCTGGGTTAATGTAGGTTAGATTGAGGGTCTCGCCGGTGTTCCATAGGTATAGCGGAACGAACATCCACCTGGTTCAATAAAACGACAATACAAAAGTATTACCAAAACATAACGAGGATAATAAAATGCATAAACGAACAATAAAGGAAAATTTCAATAAGCCTATAATAACTGCAAAATATGTAATTCCAAGCACGCTTACAGTACAATTATATCAGCAACGGCTACAGCGATCATGTACGAATTCGTGGTCTTCTGGCGCTTAGAGGAAATCAGCACAATTAAATTCAGCACGTTGCCGATGGTACAAGCCGTTAATAACAACGGATATAAAACGATGGACATGATATTTGCTTGATCACGTTGCGCCCAGGTGAAATTCCCAGACCATGGGACGCTTCGGCGCCATAAGGACGGATCATAAGCGTTTTGTGTTTCCAGGGAAAAATTGTGCACCACGCTAACTTTAAGCGAATCGCTGGTGTTGAAGAACATTGTTGCAAAGTATCCAGAAAATTTTTGCAATGAGGTTTGCCAAACGACGAAGACGCCGCTTTTATCCCGTCAAAACACTGATGCCTCGACGTTCAGAAAAGGTCATTAATAATGCACAACATAGAAATGTGTCCATCGGTTGGATGTGCGCATACGTAACAACGATTAACTTTTTTCCCGTCCAGGTAATGTAGGCCAATGTAGAGCGTAAATGGGCTCATTAAACGTGATATACAACAAGCGCACGACGGGGATGCACATCAAGCCATCAAGTTTAAAGCGCAATGACGCGGAAAACTCCGCCAGGAAATCGGTAATTTACGAACACATTGCCTTACAACACCAGCAGTTTACCCCTGCTTAAAACGTAAGCGGATTCACAATCGTAGATAAGCTAGAATTTTAGCATGCGGAAATGTTAAATGGGTAAGTCGTTAGTCTCATTAACGATTTACTATATAAAATATAGTTACTATGCGAAACCGCAATCGCAGTATGCTGCAATGGAAAGTGGCGGCTTGGGCACCTTCCAACTATCTGGCTCCGTGTCGAGAGTCATATTCAAACAATTTAGTTTATTTTAGAAAATAAATACCAAACATGAAACACGGAACAGTAATACTGATCGCAGACAGTTTTCTGTGCTGCAATTATGAACGGATTGCAGCATATAAACACATCGCCAACAAAAGGCGCCGGTATTGATTTGCTGATTAGTTAGATGAATAGCACTGGACTGGAGAATTATGTTTCATAGGCAGCAGTGCCGCAAGCCGGTACTTAAAGCACATGGAAAAACGTTCTAGCGCACCGGTGACTGTATTATTACGGACACAAACGGTGGTCGCAGCGCAGATGTATTAATTCAAAATGTAAGACGGCCGCAAAGCCTTAAATTGCGGATTTTCAGTAGCGCTGCAGTGCACAATGACCTTCGCAGCAGAAAAAAGTTTGAATGGTATTTCAGAGAGATTCGGTATGCTCCGTTGTACCAGGAACGTAAGATTAAGCTGCTTTGAGAAAACACTTGTTTTCTCCGGCATCCTTTTTGTACGTGATGCATGGATAATTAGTGGATGCATGCAAGGCTGTTACATACGGACTTCACTGGAAAAATTATCGGCGGGTGCATGGGTTTATTTGTTGCTCTTCCGAAATTCCACTGGGCAAGGCGCCCGTCATCTGTAATTACAATTTATAGATACCTAGTTATCGGCCACTTTAAAGGTCCCTTACTGCTTCAAGGGCGCATTACAGCCCGGATGTATGCCGAAACCAGTGAAATGTGACGATCTGTAATCAGCCTTATTGCTGTGCTATTTACTTGTTTATTGTTTATGATGCGGAAAGGAGACGCTCGTATCAGACGTAATGCGAAATACCAAGCCATTCCTGCTTGTCGTCCTGACATAATTAAAAAATTGTTTCCGGTGTCCCCACTGCAGGACAGTCCTGTTTTGTGCTTTCGGTATGCTCCACTGGACAATGGCATCTTACTTTTGTATTACGTGTGGCATTTTTTGGGTCAAGTAATTGACAGAGTTTATATTAATAACATTTCGCAGTAAAGGTGCCCAGTATGGTATTTGTACAATTGTATTATTCCCTGAAACGCGTTTTATTCACAATTTTAGAACTACGCTCTCATGTAGACGATAAAGTACATTGTGAAAATTACTCGTAGTTAAATGTACACAGAGCCAAAGTTTGAGTTCGGGAGCGGGTTTTGGATGTACGCAAGATTAAATTCTTTCCTTCTAAAGAACTAACTTAAAATTTAAGTAAAAACATTTAATAAAAAACATTTAATGTTTTTTAAACGGAGCCCCTGATGGTCACCTAATGAACTGACTGAGTACAGTGAACGCTTACACTTTTTTTATATGATATCGGTAAGCAAAAAACCTGAAATTAATGAAAGTAGATGAGAGCGGTGGTGGATGAGCGATCAGGAACGGCGCCAGAATCAGAGTTGCGTTGTACACGTACTGACGTACAGAAGTTGTAGTAGTTGTTAGAGTTGTTGTTCGCTAGTACAGTACAGAGAGTGGTCCAGATCTGTAACCTGTACAAATCTTGCTCCGAAAATCTATTGAGAGTGCTTTTATTAGCTTCTCGCAGTGGAACGACTATTCAGTTTCTCTTTAACCTTCCCATGCAACCATGATCGTTGACGATTGCTGCTCCAACTGCTATTCGCGTATTTGCTCCAGTTCCTCTTCGGCCACATTGGGCACAGCACTCCCCCGAACAGCCGCATGAATAGCCGCACCCGGTAATTCTCGCTGACGGTCAAGTACAGGAAGAAATTGACGGAATAATTGGTCAGCATTGTCACATCGCAGAACGGCGTCGCGAATAGCTTGGCCGAAGCGTCAAAATTGTAGACCTTGTATGTTTCGGCCATTTCCAGGAATTTATACACCATGCTTGGGAGCAAAGTGGTCAGGTATAAGGCCACACTGCCCAACAGTAAATGGTTGCTACTTTTAGAACGCCTAAGGGAGGTCACCGCTTGGGCTGCTCGCTGTTGACCGATATCGGAACGTTGTTGGCGGTTGAGAGCGCCGATAACAAGTAAGTTAATGCACAAAAGCCCGAAGAATTTCAGAAAAGACACAACCACCTATAATCACCCAGGTTTAATAAGTAAACAAGAAAGGGAATAGGAGATACAGCCCTACCGAAAGCGTTTGCTCCCAAATTTACACGAAAATACTAAAGATAATGGTATGATAAACGTTGTACACAACAGTACAAGTCCCAACGACTAATCGTTATTATTACCTTTAAAGTGCAACCAGCGAAATACGGCTATTAAAACTACGATGTTTTCTCAGTATTCAAAAAGCGTAAATTTGTTTGGTCGCACCTCTGCGGCATCTTGTGTCTTTTCCCAGTCCTGCAGCCAAACCGGCAGCGTATTGGGTGTCAGACCGTAACGCCACTGATACCATTGAAGGAGGAAATTGCCAGAACTGAAGACTATAGAGAACAGCAGCAGCACTATGATGACGATCCGCGCGGTTGTGGCACGCTGAACGCATTTAAAGGTGAATGGTCGTGCGATAGCCAATAAGCGTTCCAGGGAAAAGGCAATTAACACCCTAATGTCACATCAAGGCACGCTACCATTGTTAGTGGCCCAAATTAACCGGCACCTTCGCAAATGCCGAAAGTCGTTGCAGTACAGAGTCTGTACATACCAATCACACATCTGAATGAAAGTTTCTTGGGTCCACACTGTGTACGGCAGCACTGCTGACACAATAGCCCAATTGTTTCTGCTCATGTATGGAAGGTGGAGGGTGGCGCTAGTGTTCCAGAGATAGGGTGGAAAGAACGTCCAACTGATTTAATTAAAAAAGGCATTACACGCGTTGTACGAAAAATATACTGGACAGATAAGTACAATCCTGGGTGTCACAGTTTAAGAAGTGTCTTGACATGCTTACAGTACAATTATATCGGCAACGGCTACAGCGATCATGTACGCATTCGTGGTCTTCTGGCGTTTAGTGGAAAACAGCACAGCCAAATTCAACACATTACCAATGGTACAAGCCGTTAATAACAGCGGGTACAAGACACTGAACATGATATTCGCTCCATTTCGTTGCGCCACGGTAAAATTTCCAGACCAGGAAACGTTTTGCCGCCACGCTTCCGCGTTTTCTTGAACTTCCTTGGAACAATTATGCATGAAATCGACTGCAGACGGATCAGTCGCGTTAATAAGCATTCTTTTAAATTTATCCAGAACAGTTCTTCCAGAACGTAAGCTAAAGTAACGGCTTATACGGCAGACGCGGCTTTTATCCCGTCAGAACAATCGTCGCATGACTTTCAGAGAAGGTCATTAATAATCCAAAACAAGGGGTTGTATCCACCGGCTGGATGTGCGCATACACCACAACGATTTACTTTTTTGTATATACGTTACGTGACCAACGTAAGGCGTAAACGAGCTCATTAAACGCAACATAGTAGAAATACGTAACAAGTGTCCAGCGGAGATTCTCACCAAACCATAAAGTTAAGCGCATGTTGACGCGGAAAACTCAGCGGGGAAATAAGTCATTTACAAACACATTGCTTTACAGCATCGGCAATTTATCCCGTTAAATTCTAGAAAGCGTAAGTGGTTGCACAGTCATGAATAAGTGGGAGTTTTGGCTTCCGGAAATGTTAAATGTGTTGATAGCATCATTAGTCCCATTAACGCAACTGAAATGTGCGTACTACGCGGAACCACAGTCCCGGGAGGCTGCAGTGAAAAGTTGCGGTTTGGGCAGAGTGACAAGGATACTACCTGGCTCTGTGCCGAGAGCCATATTCAAGCAATTCAGCTTATAATTTTCAGACATGGATTTGAAACGGCAAAAATGAAACAGTATATAAAGCGATAATATTCTACTGTTTTATTGGAAGAACTGACTAACGTAACTGCAATACCAAACATCCATTTCAGGCAACAGAGAGCGCCGGTATTGATTTTCTGATTATTTCGAGGAACCGTGTATTACCAACGCCGCAGCCGGCAGTTAATAACTTAGTAAGATATATGAAAAAGCGTTCTAACGCGCCGATGCCTCTGCTTCTACTTATAAAAACGGTAGTCGCAGTGCATCGCAGATGTATAAGTACAGAGAATTAAGACAGCGCAAAGTTTAAATGAGGATTTTCAGGATCGCTGCAGTGCGCGATCACCGTCGAAGCTGAAAAATTTGAATAATATTTCAGAGAAATAAGTCGGTACCGGCTGCAATGCGGCAGAAGGGTAAGATTAATCTGCTTTCAGAAACGCTTGGGTTCTCCAGCATCCTGTACGTGATGCATGGATAATTAGTGGCTGCATGCAAAGATACATACTTCCGGACTTAACTAGAAAATTCATCACTGGCTGCTCGTGTTTTATTTGTTGTTCTTCCGGGATACTGTGCAAGGCACCCGTCATCTGTAAATACAGAGACATAGTTATCCGCCACTTCCAGGCCTCTTGAAGCTACAGAGGCGTATTACAGTGCGGATGTAGGCCGAATCCAGGGAAATGTGATGATCTCTAATCAGCCTTTATGGCTGTGCAGTTTATGTGTTTAAGATTTCAGAAAGAAACCTCGTATCGGACATAAAATGAAATGTCTAAAGATTCGTTTTCATCGCCCTGACATACTTGTAAAATTGTTTCCGGTAGCGCCACTGCAACAATGTATGTAAGGGTTTTGCGTGTACCACTCTAAAACCAAACAGTATCATAATTTCTTATGAGATATGATTTGTGTCAGGCAGCAGACGAAATGTGTACTTCTATAATTCTATTATCTTAGTTTTTGTAAACTGGTCCCCTTGCATTACTTTGTTCAATACGTATTGATCAACATTAAAGGAACTTGGGTATCTATTTCAAAACCTCTCTGTCTGGCGTAATTATTTTGCACTATGAACTGTATTACGACCAGTTTCATTCAGTAACGCTGTCAGGTCAACCGATAGTCGTCCTCGTGCAGATCTAATAAATAATGCACATGTCCAACTTTTGAGAGTTTATGAAATGCTAAAAAAAGGTTGTAGGGTGCACTAAGCATTAGCCGTTTAGACTGCATTTGCGCCCTTTTTTACTGCAATGCGAGAACGGTGTAATAATTACTCGTATTATCGTTCAGCAGTCGTATAAGATGATCATCGAACTGCGAGACGGCAGTATGTGTTCAGTATTTGCGAGATTGACGGCAGTATTTGTTCACACAGCTACGAGAGATACCTTATACACAAATATATGTAAAGGCATTACAAATAACAACAGCGATTATCTGTGACACTGATAACCAGCAAAGTAAATTTTGGACGCATTTGTAATGATTAATTTGAATGGGTCAGTACGGTGCAATCCGTGCAGGTGTAGGGTTGGATCGTTGGTAATTATGCCGCTGATAAAGGGCTCAGTAATCGATATGAGTCTCTATTTTCACTGATTAGCGTTTCATTGGTCCTGCTGTATGTAAACGGTTAACTCTTATAATATTTACCGTTTATTTACGATCTGCTCATTACTTTGGTACTGGCTTCCCAGAGAAATTACCGACGGTTAATAATCTGCTTTCGTGCACGGTCAGTTTTCAAGTGCTGCGACACAGGCAAAAGCGTAGTTTTTGCTTATACAATGAAGTCAATGATTACAACGGTCAATGATATGGAGCGTGTAGCGATTTCCGACTGGAAGGAATCACAGCTTTTCAAGGGAAACTACGCGCTAACACAGCTCGTTAGCTCCAATAATCCCAGTGCTGTTTACGCCGCAGAATTACTGGATAACAAGAAACGTATGGCGTTGAAGCAGATTAAGCTACCAATGGAAGAACACTCCCGGAACGCACTCATCAACCAGCTCAACCTTCGTTTTATGGCGCTGATTCCCGAAGACCCAGAAGAAACCAAGAAAAGGGTGCTTAACGTGCAATGTAACCAAGAGCCAGGGGATCCACTAGTTGAGGAAGATCCGGAGAGAGTTGCAAGAAGGGCAATTGCTGCCGGCGGCATGCGGCGATTCCACGAGAACATCGTTAAGCATTATGGTGTTGAGGTCGTCGAAGGGACACGCCTGGAAGAACCGCAGTTTCTTATCAGAATGGAATACTTAACAGGTATGCATACATTAGGCTGTAGTTTTTATCATGCTGCTACTTAGATGCGAGTGCCATCAAACCCTACGTGAAACAGTTGGGCATGTCTTAAAGGTCATATACCAAATATCGCGCAAACTTTTCGAGGTTTTATTTTGAAACATAAAAAGCCAGACTAATGGAAAATCTTTAAAAAAAAAACTTTGCAAAATGTATTAAAAATCAAATCCAAAGAAATTTATGATTTGACAGAATTTTCGATTGGATTAAATATTTATTTAAATCGTACGATACTTCATTATTTGAGATTTTTCTGCAATCCAGGCAGCACCTTGCAAACCATCGCAAATGGACGGCCGCTGACAGAAATGGAACTGGCGAATGTCGGTCGACAGATCCTTCGTGGACTGTCGTTTCTTTACCAGCAACAGTACGTCCATCGAAACCTCGACGACACCCATATCGTCATTACCGGTGACCAAGCGAACCTCACCAGCGGGATATCAAATGTCAAGATTATCGGCTTCGGAACCGCAAAGCAGTTGCTGGACAAACAAACCAACGTACACGATATTTCCTTCAGTCAGCGGAGTGCCAGTTTATACCGCTCCCCGGAGATGGTGCAAAAGTACTTCGAATCCGATGTGGAAGTGGGTAGGAGCACTGACATCTGGAGCTTTGGGGTACTGCTTTTATCAGCGGCCTGCAGAGGTGAAGTCCAGCGTTTGCGGGATTTCAGTGATCTTGCAAAGGCGCCGGTTCCGTTGAAGGGGGTAACAGATATGACCCTCATGGATTTGATTCTACCGGTGAGAAACGATGTAACGAATGGACTTTCGCCGGATTACACCGTGTTAGCGAATACGGATATGGGCAACCTCAAGACATTTATAAGCAAATGTCTGGTGCGGGACAAGAATCAACGGCCGACTGCGGATGCTTTGCTCAGTGATCCGTTTATAGGTGTTTCAGAAACCATGCCCCATTATACTACGTCAATGCCATTACAAACCAGTATCGTCATGGAAAACGAAGTGGGCGATGTTCACGACGGTGCTCCGCGTCCAGCCAAATTTACAGGAAAAGAAGCCTGTGAAGCGCATGAAATGCAAGGGCTTTTAGGAACTGAGCCGCAAGAATCGGATAGGGTGTATCAGATTGTTTAGCTTTAAGGTTCCTATCTTTTGGTTTGTTCATAAATACTTTTAATTTGACCACAAACCGTGCTGACGAGCGCGCACCAAAACAATGTCCAACGATTACTACAAACGATTTAAAATTGGAATTTATTACCTGCTGTTCTGCTTGAGCTGTAGTATTATTGTTTCGGTAATTAAGCAGTCTCCGTGCATTTTACAAGTAAGAAGTAAGTAAGAAGTACCGTCGCCTACTATAATTCTTTCCGTGATCGTTTAGGTAAAAATGATATGGTCTGTCTTATCGCAAGAGTCGTAGCTGTGCCATTGTATCATCAGCACAAAACTCCTCAGCGTCACCTTAGTTAACCACGCTCTGATAAGATTGCTTTATGTGCGTGCAATAACAAGCTAAAGCGCAGCGAAAAAGCGATACGACCTTCATTCAACGGAGGTATTCTGCAACCATATTCCTGTAATCTACGTTCTGTATAAACAGTTATCGGTATCGTAACAGCAACCAAAAGCGACCATTGGCAAAACTTACTGATCAAACAACTTCGCTTACAAGTAAAGATGCATTCTTTAGAGTATAAGGTAAAGCTTTAATTACCAAGGAATTCCAGTCTGAGACTGCTCTTTTGTCTGCGGTTGTGCGTAGTGGACTGTCGTTCGAGCCTCTGCAGTTTCAGTTTCTAATAATGATACGTAATTACGCCTTCACTGAGGGTCCGCATACCTATACGTACAGTATAGTTCGTGAAATTGGTCGAGGAGGATTTGGTACAGTGTCGGAAGCCACCGAACTTAAAAATGGCGCTTCTACAAACCGACGTATTGCCGTTAAGGAAACACTCCACAAAGAGCCGGAAACAGGAAGCATTTTGGGAAGCGTATCAGAGAAACTGCGAAATATTCGTCTTATTAAAAGCCGAAACGTTACAGTGTATCACCAAGCCAAATTAGAGCAGTTGACGACTGATATGCAACCTTTCATCCGAACAGTCATAGTCATGGAATACTGTGAACGTAAGTGTTACGTGCTACGGTAGTTGTAATGGTAAGATTGAGTTGCCGGAAAATGTAAAAGCAAACTGCTATACACAGACAGAATAACAGAAAACAGTAGTTGTATTTTTGAAAGGTCACAATGCCCTGCATGTTTTTAGTCGGCAGCTTGGAATCATATATCAAAGCAAATCCAAACTTGCCAGATGACCAAATCAAAGATCTAATCCAGCAAATTCTCAACGGCTTAATGGACATTCACAACCATAAGGTCATCCACACCGATCTGAAAACCGCAAACATCGTGTTGACAAGTGACAGTGGTGCTCTATATGGAATAACCGCCAAAATCACCGACGTGGACGATCATTTTGCTCTGATGGCAACCATAACGAAGACTAACGAAGCAGCCGGTATTTGCAGAGGTACAGTTATGTTCATGTCACCTGAGATGATAACCGGTGGTACAAACGGTTACGCCATCGGAAAGAAGACCGACATCTGGAGTATGGGATGTATCATTGTGGAACTGTACAGAAAGCAGGCGCCTTTCCGCTTTTTCAAGATCATTGACGGAAGATCGAATCCGGCCGATATGCTGTTAGTGGATAGAGCTCACCCGGAAACGATCAAGACGTTTGTCGCTGAGGGAGGAGTTCCCGAAATCCCCTGGGAGCTTGCCGATGTAGTTAGGACAACAATTGAAAACTGTTTCCAGAAGGATCCTCGTAAGCGGCCTAGCGCACGGGATTTACTACATGGAGCTTTGTTCCAAAACGAAAATTCCCTTCGAGAGGCAGGGGAACCGGACACCCGCCAAGGTCGGTTACTTACGTAAAATATTACCTGAAATTTAAAGATTCACTACAATACAGAAGCAAAGCTGATAGAGCATCCCAGCTCGAATTGCTTATTAAGCTCTTCGAGTAAAATCCGACGACTGAGAAGCGATGTAGGGTCACAAAAGCAGCAATAGTTGTGAATTTTGCAGTTATGTACCAGGATCGAGAAACTACTTTAGAGCGCGCTTTTGTCTATTACGCGTTCTGGTTGCCCCGTACGTAGGAAAGGCAAGCATAATAACTACTCTAGAAGTCATGTTCTGACCATCCTACGCTTAATCCGCGGCAAGCTGGCCTAAATAGGCAGCCACCTAGTCACTACATGATAAACCGATTAGACAGCACTGATTACAACAAATCACTAATATTGTTACATGAGTACATACTTACTTTATGTGAGGTGTCATTGTGCCCATGCTGACATACCGTATTATTATCATTTACAGCTACAACAGCGAATGTAGAGTTTACATTGCGATGTGGAGAATCAATTCCACGACCTAACTACGAAATGAAATGGGACTGTGGTGTAAACTGTGCCGCGCGGGTCCTAGTGCACCACACACCGCACACGCATTTCCCGTATCACCTCTACGCTACTGAAGTGGTCCAGGTCAAGAAGAACATCGATCCCGGTCAGCCGCTGGACGAGAAGTACCGCCGCATGCTGCTGAAGTGGTTGCAGCAAGGCCAAGCAACGGCCCAACAGAATCCTCTTGCAGCCTTGGTGAGCTCTGTTGGCACATTCTTGTTGGCAGCACCCGCAGCGCCCCGGATGTCCTCACTCCTTACGCTCTTCCTACCGATCATCGGACCGTCGTATCCTGAAGTCGCTGCCTGGATGAACAAGTACACTCATGAGTATGAGTACGTGTGCGAAGGACGCGCCACCTGGCCGACGATTAAGAAGCAGTTAGATCGCCGGGAGCCGGTGATCGCGCAAGTCTGCCTGGGAGATGTCGAGATCAGCGAGATGGTCAGGCAAGCGGCGTATGCGTGTGGGTGCCAGGATTTTTACCCGCGAACCTTTCCGAATATCTATTCAGTCATTTTACGCGGGTACGAAGGAGTGGCGCCTAACGGAGACCCACTCATGTTGACTTATACTTTGCCAGATGGAGAAACTGGATTTAGATCGTATGAAGAGTTCAAATCGCGTGCTAACTGGGTGTCATCACATCCGTTGGTCAAAGAAGCGTTTGATGAGTCTGGATACGAACCAGGACAGATTATTTATCGTAAAAAGAAAAATGCATCCGAAGACTACGAATGATTGCTTAATTTGCCTTTATGAGTAGAAAGCGCAGTGCGCTTATTTCGTCAAACAAGACAAAACTTTTGCAGAATTCGAATGATAGTTTCAATGGCCATGGGAAATTATTTAGTTGGTTGGTGTATTTTCTGTTTGAATGTGTCGCATGTGTGTATACTCTTACCAAAGAAATTAATTATCTAAGTACCTAGAATTTTTGTCCGTAATGCTTGAATTTTTTCGTTATTAACCGGCAAAAATTTAAGTGGGCACTCAGTGCCCAGTGGGAAGTTATGAATGAAGCGCATGAAGACAGAACCAGCGTAGAGCAGCTTACGACAGCTCTTGCAGCATGATGCTCACAATCCAGTAGCGGTTTCCGTTGGAAGTTCCCAGATCTGTTTTCCTGCTATTCCATGCTCCGATAATCTACGGAACTGGCGCCCTAAAAAGCGAGGTTGACTACTGTAATTTCAGAGACGCAATATAACCGATTTTTAGTTATGCTCTAGTATAAAATCAGCAAGCAATTGGAAGCTATTCGGTATAAACGGTTAGCGTTCTATGGCAGTTGCTCGTGTTGTGAACGTTTCGCTTATCAGCAGTCTTTAAAGAGTAAGGTTAAAAGTAGATGCACTGCTTTGTCATATCTGCTTTTAAAATGCGCTGCACCGTGTGAGAGCTTGCTACCGTCAGAACATTATCGTGCTACTAATAACTTGATCGTCAGAACATAATTATGTTACTATTAATAATTTAATAGTAACACGCGTGCGCGTCTGTCAGTAATTAATAATAATTACTGACGCGCACGCTCTGCAGTAAAATGTAGAACAATCTAGTAAACTTGTATTCTGTTAAGTTCATTCCAAGTGCCGCGCCGGTAAGGCTGATAAGAGCATAATATGTAAACCTGTGTTCTCTTAAATTATTTCCAGACCTTGTGGATAACCCTAAATCTTAAATTTTTGCAGCACTGTATCCAATAATTTGGGTTGCCGGACAGTACTAGGTTGGGTAAATATCGAATTCACCACCGATCACCATTCGTCATCAGCATAACGATAACGAAGTGATAAGAAACACCATCTCATCAGTATTAGTCAAAGCAAACGATCAATGCGCAGTTCTAACAGCTAACCGTTCCCGTTCTCGCGATTCATCACTCGGCTCAGTCGGCTGTAGATAAGATATCCATACAACAGTGACTACAAGTCTACAAATGCGAGAGTAATAATTATTATTGTGGTAAATTTACGGGTGGTTTATTGGGAATTTTAACTGTACCACGTTAAATTGTTTCCATAATTCCTTTACGGTGTTCATATGAACTCATAAAAGACATTAAGAACGAAACATAAAGACATAAAGATGACCTTTAATGCGCGTGTTTATACATTATATGTGTTCTGGGTGGTTTCTGTTTCCTTTCCGTGCTGCGAATGCATTATCGGTGGCTCCGATGTGGAATCCGAACGAGAACCCGCCTTTCTGGTGGCTGTGGTAAAGCGGAAACACGAGCTGCATTGCGGCGGTACGGTGATCAATCCCTGGTTTGTCTTAACGGCTGCCCACTGTTTCTGTGAGGAAGGCGTTTTCGTCAACACTTGGTAAGTCATATGTATGCCTTTGGTGCTACGCTACCGATGTACCAGATTGCGCTAAAGTAGGAGAATAATACTTAGTACTGTGCGCATTTTCCCTGTAATCGAGACAGTGCTCGACATGTTCGTGCGTATGCTCGACATGTTCTTTATAAGTAACGGTTCTACTGAATTCGCTTAAAGAAAACTCGTTCGATTTCCCGAGAAATCTTTGGTTAATTTGAAACGTTCGTGTTCTTTGTCCCCAGTCCCACTGTAGTTACCGCCGAGCATGCAAGGATTTGGTCGAACGAAGCCCGCTCTCATCTGCAGCCGGTGTCAGAAGTACACTTCCATCCTGGATTCAGTTGCGAAAATTTCGATTTTGCAGTACCCAACGATGATGTGGCACTTTTGGAGCTCTACACTCCACTTCCAGTTAAACCCATTAGTCTGCGTTCCATATCCTGGGAGGAACTGGCCAATCAGCGCGTGGAATTGACCGGATGGGGTGCAACAGGTACTGATGTCACGCGTGCGAAAGCTTTATTTTTCTCAACAATCGATCACTTTCGCTGTATATTTTGGACAATTCTAAATTCCTTTACCACACATTTCCGATCGATAGGATACAAAATTTTCCAAAATACCCTCATTGGTTTACATCTCTGTTTGCATTTGACCTTTATATATAAATGTACCAATCGCAAGTAATAATTTTACACAAAACAAAATCTACGTAATACAAAAATTAATAGAGTTACAAAACGCGCGTTACTGAAACTGCGATCAGCAGTTCGTCGTGTAACGGAGCGTCAGATCTGTATTAGAAATAACTACTAATACGTACATTTAAGAATAAAATTAATATTATTTTTGACATTTTTGCACCTGAAGATTAGCGGAATACCAATACCGGGGTAATGAATTGTTCAGACTTCAGAGCATACATCATAAGTCATTGGCTGTCGAGAAATTCAGAGTACGTCTATAGCTAGTGCGGCGGACGGTGATATGCCCAAGTAATTAATGATTTGCGAAATTATTAACTGCGAATGATTTGCTGCATTGCAGTTGCGGAGGATAAAACTGCAAGCGGCATTCTGCGCACAGTACAGACGGAAGTGGTGCCGCCAAATGAGTGCCGGGATGCAGTGCATGCGTTCCAGGTCTTCGCGTCCAATGTCGAGTGGAGGGAGGAAATAAACGAAGGAAAACTGCAATATTACGAGGAAAGACAGCTGTGTACCAAAGGCTTCATGGACGGTCACCCGGCTGATTCCGCACACGTACGGTTGCTGTTTAAGTTACGCCATAGTTAACACCCGCCTCTTAGGTGCTAATTCACCTTCGGCCCTTAGTCAGCGTTAACTGGAAATTTTTTTACACATTGTATCCAAATAACCTGGTAAAATAAAATATAAAATCTTTAAGCGTGGTATCTGTTCTGCAGGGTGATAGTGGCGGCCCGGTCATACTCAAAATTCCTGGAGAAAAACCAGTTTTGATAGGAATTATTTCCAGAAGTTTGAAGCAAGTATATAAACATTACCATAATATTACTAAACTAAACTAGTATTTAGTAATAATACTAAACTAGTATTTAGTAATGTTATGACATAACGTTTGCGCGTTTCTTATCAGTAATCCGAGGCTGCATCCCCAATTACAATGGTTAATGTGAACCATTGTGATGGGGGTGAACATTGAGACTATGCAGAAGACGACTTATGTACTGTATGTTAGTATAGCGGAAATGCTCTGGCCAAAAGAAAACTCATTTTTGTCGCAACAAAGTTGAGTTGTTTAGCTTCAGTGTGCAAAGTTAAAATACATGTACAATTTCAGTGGTACGCCGGGTGATAAGACGAATCCCAGTATTAACGTCAATATCACGTATTATGAAGACTGGATTGCCGAGGTCATTGCCTCTAGTCCGGCCATACCTTTCGCCGAGGTGAAAAACGCATCCTTAGTGGATACAGTGATTGCGGCGATTGTCAACCTTAGCGCTTACACGCTAGACTGGATGACAGTGTTCGACGCTTTGTATCCTCTCGCATCCATGTTGTTGTTATTGGCCATCTTGGCCGTGCCGACCGATGACGTTCTTTTCTCGAAAACCTGGTGGTGGCACTGGTTATTTGGCGTAGCGCCTGCTCCAACGAATCTGAAGTTGTTATTTGCGTTAACTTGGATTTTTGCGAAAGTATGTACTTACAATTTTACAACCGAAAAGCGGCATCCTAGTTGTGGCGCTAATATACTGTGCCGATTTCAGGTTGCAGTTGTTCCCGCTGTCTGCATCCACATTGACCCTTTATTATGGGAACTGAGAACGGCGCTTATAACCATCTTATGCTGCGTTACCGAGACGTTGCTGATTGTCGCGAAAGGTGCTTCTCTATGGATGCAGCAAACGGATAAGCAGATTATCCACAGTAATGTCTACTCTGGAGAGCGACAATTAAACGAAACATCAACCGACAAGGCCGTTGTGGAAATCAATTTAACTGGACTAGAAAGAAATGTCGGGTGCTATGTGGATCGACTTAAAGAATTTGCACGAGTATTTAGCCAAGAGTCACACGAACGGCTTGTAAAAGTAATGGATAGGTTTCCCTTTGAAGCTGGTATAAACGTTAGTTCTGTCTTAAAATTTTCGACGGACAAATGGAACGGTAAGATAACTAGAGCATAAAAAGTGACGAAATAATTATAACCTTGTATCTGTAGATGCTAATCAATTTGTGCCCCTTGGGATCAAATATCCATTAGCCGAAGAAGGCGGACCCACGTTGCATCGTCTCATCTCCGTCAAACGCGCTGTTCACTACGCTAAACAGATACTGGAGGCACTGGAATTTTTACACGCAAAGAGAATCATTCATGGCGCTCTGGATCTAAACACGGTTTTCGTTAACGACAAGCATGATATCAAAATCTTTGGTTACTTGGACAGAACCCACCGGCAAATACACGGAGCAAAGTATCAGAGCAAAGAAATTATCTGGGAAGCCTTTATGTCACCGGAATGTCTTACCGAACTCTCGCAGGTAGTAGAGGAGTCCGTGTCCCATAAAAGCGATATCTGGAGTTTCGGCTGCATCATGGTGTACCTGCTAACGGATACCTTCACGATGCGTACGAACCACGCCTACCAGCGCGATGAGTACTCTATCCGGTTTAAGGTCAACGGCGGTGACTACGTAGCACGGACAGCTGGGACAGTGCGGGATTTTGGTAGACTTCAGGGACATTTAAATTACGATGCTATAAACAACGAGATCCTGCGTGAGACACTGCGCTACTGCTTTCGGAGCCCAACCATCCCGCCAGAGTTACACAGCATATGGGACGCTTCAGCTGCCCGCGCTAACATGGCAATCATACGACTATAAAAGCTCTGTATTAGGGGCGCTTTGGATGACCTACTTTCAAACGAGTTTCACTAGGAACGCTATAATCTGCTGTTGGTTGGTTAAAATTATGGTGTGTACTTCTGTGTACAGAGTATGTTTGTGATTCGGTAGAAGTACCTAATTAAGCAGCCGAAAGGTTGGGGACTCTGAAACTCTTTTAACTGGATGATGCAATTAAGTGAGCGATCTTTTCACACGCCAAACAAGGAATGTGTTCTGCGATGTGCGTCCACCGGTCCACGAACAGCAAATAGGGAATAATGCCTGCAGGATAAACGTTAGTGTTGGCGCTTGTACAAAGATACACCAATAATCGGCGAGGTCAATGTAAATATTTATTGGCTGTAAAGGCCTGGTAATCGTAGCTGATATCGATTGTTCCGGTCTGCTGCTTTTGTGGACCTACATCGCTTTCCAATGGTCGGACTTTACTCGAAGAGCTTGTTAAAGCAATTCGAGCTGGGATACTCTAGCTTCGCTATAAGCAGCTATTATACTCTTCTATATAGGGGGAAATCAGTTGCATACTATACACCTTCCCTATACTGCTCCAGTCATCCATATGGATTGCCACGTTATGGCTGAACAGGGATTTTTATAAGCACTGCATTTATACCTGCACCAGTGTGCATGTACATGTACCGTGTAAAGCGTAGTGATAATAATCAACAAAATGCTGCATGCAGTCAGTGCAGTGATAGCAGAATTTTCATTTTATTGTGCGTCACGCGGGCAGAAACTTTGGAGTGTGCTCAAATCATTCGGGTCTAGAACGACACATTTGCCACTTGAAATGAATTCCGTAACCTATTCTTCATTCTGCAACCAAAGTTGTGCAGGAGAAGTCACTTTTTCCGCACGAAAATCGAAAATCAAAAGAATGGAAGATTTCGAAGACTCCCAAAATATAAACCAAATCACGGTGCCACACCGGGCGGTGCCACCTGCGTCACGCACCGGAAGCCTCTAGATTTTGTTTCTCGATAAAGTTTAGCTCTAGATTTTGTTTCTTTAAAAAATTTGGCTTTGCTGTTTGGTTAATAGTAAACGTTTTGTTTACTATTAAAATTTTGACTATATACAATTTGCAATATTAAAACTATTAAATTAAAAACGATTTGCGCGCTACAAGTACCTGCACACTGATGCTGGTATAAATGTAGCGCTTTGAAAACCCCCTGTTCAGCCATGATGTGGAAATCCATACGGATGACTGGAGCAGTACAGGGGAAGTGTATAGTATGCAACTGATTTCCCCCTATATATTATAACCGTGACCTTCTATATACCTTCGAAATGCCGCCGTAAAGGCGAGGTATTAACCTTAGGTCACTATGACGCAGCATAACTAATTTTGGTTACGTTCGCCACTATCTGTACAGACTGCAATTATAACTTCATCAAACAACTGGAAGCTACTCGGTATAAACGGTTACCGGTCTATGTCGATCGCTCGCGTTGTATGCGTTCACTTATCAACCGGCTTAAAGATTAAGTTTAAAGGTAGAAGCACTGCTTTGTTAGCCACTGCCGCGAACCTATTAGGTATCTGTTGAAGCATGCACTGCACCGTTTGTTTGCCTGGTACCGTCAGAACATAATCATGTTAGTGATGTTACTACTACTTACTAACAGACGCCCTCGCTGTTTACTAAAAATTTAGATAGAGCTAGCGAAGTTAAGTTTAGTCATATACACTTCAGCATTTTATGCCGGTAAGACTGATAGCAGCATATCTGTATATGTACGAAGGGCGTCCCAAAGGTTACTTTCCCTAATTTATCTCCGTGCCACCTGAAGCAATAGAAGTATGGAAGTTACAATATTTTAGTTATATAACAGCTTATCTTATAGGCTAGTATGAAAATAAAAATAAATAGGTGCAATGAAGAACTACAGAAGCAAAAAATTGGAAAGCTTACAATTAGGTATGTTACTTTTGGCACCCTAATCATGGTGGCTTTGTAAAATCTTTTTCATTTCTTCTCTACTCTGCTTCCGAACGTTTTCTGCAGTGGCTTATTAAACAACAAACACTACAAACAAAATATGAGGGGGAAAATAAATGCTAATGATGTCCTTGATATTGCAATGTTGTCAAAATGCCTTGAAAAGATTACACATAAAAATATTGATTATTTTCTGTACCAGATACGAGTTTTCTTAATTTTTTGCTTTCTGGAACCCTTAACTCACGATTCTTTTTTTCAATAAAAAGTGTATCGTTGGAACACTACAAACAAAATATGAGGGGGAAAATTGATAAAGAGAACAAAAAAGGTGCGGCAAAACCGCAAGGTAGGGTGTCAAAGACCTCCGACAGAGTTTTGTCAAATGTTTTGCAGCCAGATCGCAGTTAGTTACCTGTATAAATACAGTAGCTGAATGTGTCTGTGGAGGAATGCACAAAATTGGCAAATTTACTTTTGTAACGCCCTCTGTAAAAGAGTTAACCTGTGATCTTTTAAGTAATTTCCGGACCTGTGCATTACAAGACATCCCAAAAGTTTTGTAACAGTAGAAGCATACCTATTAATCTGGATGCCGGACAGACCAGGGTTAGGTTAATATCGGACTCACCACAATTTGTCACCAAACACCATTCGTCACCAAATGATAAGTAAGTGATAAGAAATACCATTTCATCATTATTATTCATTGAATAATTATTCAAAGCAAACTATGCGCAGTTCTAATTGAGGTTAACCGTTGCAGTTCTCGCGACTCATCCTGTCAAGATAAGATACGTAAGTTTACAACGAAGGCTACAACTAAAAGCCCACGAATGCGAGAGCAATAATAATTATTATTATGGTAAATCAGCAAGATTTTACGGTTAAGTTTATCGAGTACTTTAACTACCACACTGAGCTGCTTCCATTACGGTTTTCATACGAATAATAACAGTCATTAAGAACGAGAAATATGACCTCTAATACGCGTATTTATACATTATATCTGTTATGGATGGTTTATGCTCCCTTTCCCTGCTGCGAATGCATAATCGGTGGTTCCGATGTGGAGTCAGAACGGGAACACTCGTTTCTGGTGGCTGTGGTAAGGCGGAAATCTGAACAAATTTGCGGCGGCACGGTCATCAATCCCTGGTTTGTCTTGACGGCTGCCCATTGTTTGTGCGAGGATGGCGTTCTCGACACGCGGTATGTAAGCGTTTGGTGTTGCGTTACCGGTAACGCAGGTTGCGCCATACGCGAGCTCCCTTGAAATATCTAATCCATTTGAAACTTTCGTGTTGTCTGCCCACAGTCCAACTGTAGTTACCGTCCAGCATGCACGGATCTGGTCAGGAAACGCACTCTCTCATCTCCAGCCGGTCTCAGATGTACAGGTCCATTCTGGATTCAGTTGCGACGATTTCGATTTTGCAATACCCAAAGATGATATGGCACTGCTGGAGCTCTACACTCCACTTCCAGTGAAACCCATCAGTCTGCGTTCCATATCATGGGAGGAACTGGCCAATCAGCGCGTGGAGTTGGCCGGATGGGGTGCAACAGGTACAGTAGCAGTGCTACGGATGCCACCGATATATTTCACTGTTATGGACAGTGATAGGGCCGGACAACTTTATACAATGTCATAATTGCGAATGTTTTGCAGTTGCCGGTGGCGAAAGTATGAGCACCATTCTGCGTACAGTAGAGACGGAAGTGGTGCTGCCGAACGAGTGCCGGGATGCAGTTCGTGAGTACCAGAACTTGACGTCCAGTCCAGGGAGGGACGGCGAGGACGGCGACCACGATGACCACAAAAAATTTGCCGACAACCTGAAATACTACGAAGAAAGACAACTTTGCACCAAAGGCTTTGTGGACGATCACCCCGCTGATTCCGCGAAAGTACGGTTACTACGAGTATTTTATACTACATATTTTGAGCAACTACAACTTAAAGGCAGCTCTTTCGGTGTTCAGTCAGCTCTGTTTGGAGAAGACTGTATTTGGCAATTTATTTTTTGGCTCTGTTTTCTCAGTCAGAATCTACATTACGATAAAAAGTTTTAGGAATTAAAAAAAGAAGTGGGAATCTGTGGATGGAGGATATCTATCGTGTTTTTAACTAAAACCATAAAGAACCACAGATATATGGAGACTAAATAATTATTTCGTAAAGCTAAAAAATTCTAGCATAAAACATCATTAATTACAGCGTTTAGAACAACCTTTTTGCAGTGCATCCGACCGGTAAGGTAAATAACATTTCGTAGCTAAACGTTTGGGGTTGCATGGATGTTCTGCATCACAACACAAATATCTGTATGCACCCAGATGGCCTTTTGACAATTGACCGATTGTAATGAAATCGTATGCGTAATACATAAGGTATCAAAACAATGCCAACTGACACCTTTTTTGCCAGGGTGACAGTGGCGGTCCGGTCATATTGAGAGTTCCTGGACAAGAACCAGTTTTAATAGGAGTTATTTCCAGCAGTATCAAGTAAGCCTACTACGTTACGTATTCAGTATTCTCTTATAGACATAACTTATGGTCGCACGGCATTTCCAAGCCTTTGCTACAAAGAGACATCCCGATTTTAACATAATGATAAAACCTACTAACAAAAGGCTCACTTTTCTAAACAGTTTGGTTAAATTGTAGTGCAACGACCGGCGATATGAACAGTCCCGGTGTCAACGTGAATATCACGTATTATAAAGAATGGATTGCTGAGGTCACACAAGCGAGTCGGGGTATAGACATTTGCGGTATGAAGAACGGGACTCTGGTGGATACTGCTCCAGTGAAACATTTCACGTTCTACGCAATTGACTGGATGAAAGTACTGGAGAGCGTCTATACACCAATATCCGTCTTATTCCTATTGGCCATTTTGGCAGTGCCAAGCACGCAACAAAATATCCATTTGCTGTCAAAGCAGTGGTGGTCGAAATGGCTCAGTGTATCAGCGGTTGACATTACAAAAAGCACTTTGTATTATGCGACTGCCTGGATGGTACTAAAGGTTAGCAATGAACACCAGATTATTTTTTGTTGATTTTCGTGTTCTTTAATGATGGAGTCTACTTTCAGTTATCGACAATTTACGCCTTGTGCATTCAAATTGATCCGTCGTTTTGGGAGGAATCTGGACGAATGGTCAATCTGCTCGTATGCTTTATCACCGAAATTCTCGTTCTGTCCGCCAAATATGCATCTGTAAAACTGCTGGAAACAGACAAGCAGATTTTTCACAACAATCCAAATTCAGGAAGTCGTACGATGAACGTGACGTCAGCCAACCATACCGTCGAGGAGATCGATATAACGAGCCATCGCGACAAGGTCATCGTGTATGTCGACCGCTTGAGGGAATTTGCAGCAATGTTTAACGACAGAAGCTGTCAACATGTCGTCATGCTACAAGATGAATTTCTTTTCAAAACGGCAGTGCTAGGACAGTCCATCTTACGGTTTTCAACCAACAAATGGAACGGTATGCCGCTTTATTTGGGTCGCTGGGTATTTATCGTGCCGGTAACTGTTTGCATTAACGTTTTGTAGAATCTATGCAATTTGTACCGATGGGAACAAAGCATGCATTGACGGCCGATGGAATAGCGAACAAACCGGGGAACAGCGATGTCATTCGTTACGGTAGCCAGATATTGGACGGACTAGTGTACTTGCATACCAAAGGGATCGTTCACGGCGCACTGGATCTAACAACGGTGTTTGTTAATGATGCTCAAGAAATCAAAATTTTTGGGTACTTAGACAGTGTTCAGCGCAGTATACTCGGAGTAACCTACAAAATGGATCCAAGTCTGTGGGAAGCCTTCATGTCACCGGAAAGCCTTCTCGATTTTACACAACCCGATGCAGCTGACCGGCAAGCCGTCACCTCCAAAACCGATATGTGGAGCTTCGGATGTATCATGGTTTATCTGTTGACGGACACATTTCGATACAGTTTCGACAAAAAACACAACCGCCGAAACTTTCAGATCAAGTTCATAAAAAATGGTAAAGATTGTATCGTTTGTACCCCGGGAGGTGTTTCTGATACTGTCAAGGCAAAAGGTCATCTGAACTATGACGCTGTTGACAATGGACCTTTGCGCAAAATCTTAGATAGATGCTTCTCTTTTGATCCAGCACATAGGGAAAATGCTCTGACTGTCAAACAAGCAACTTATTTCAGATAATATTTGTTTGCCTAGATTGCAATAATTAACGTTTATGGCCCAGAGAAACTTGTTGTTTTTTTCTATGTACAAAGCGGGTCTGCCCGCACGTTTCCTAAAAAGATCTAGACACCGGACACAAAAAAGACTGGATTCCAAATTTTTGGGTGCAACGGAAGTTAAAACGTTTCAGCTGGTGAGATGCCAGTTAGGAGTAGCCGATTCCTGTGTTTATTTTTAGTTAAGACAGACTCCGCGAACACCTCAGCAATGACTTTAATGGTAGTTTGGGGGTTAGCACGTTGTATCGATGACATATGTAACCGACGCAGCGGATCCAATAGGTCATCTCCACAAAAGGTAACCGACACAGCGGATCCATTAATTACACACTTCCAAAACAACCCCCCTTCCATAAGGAAAAGGGAGGGAGGGTGGGAAGAAATTCCCAAACACAATTCGAGCAGCCACAGAACTAACTTTCAGACACGGCACTCAGCTACATCAATCGCACAACTACATACACAAACTTTCAATGATAGTACTATCCATAACATACAATGCTACAACTGACCACTGCCCAACCGCCCCACCCGCGCCCAACCACATCTCTCCAATCCGCCCTTCATCCTTCTCCGCTGTCTTAACCGGAATTAGCTCCGCTAATTCTATTTAAGACAGACTCCGCGAACACCTCAGCAATGACTTTAATGGTAGTTTGGGGGTTAGCACGTTGTATCGATGACATATGTAACCGACGCAGCGGATCCAATAGGTCATCTCCACAAAAGGTAACCGACACAGCGGATCCATTAATTACACACTTCCAAAACAACCCCCCAAAACCCCCAAATGCGTCAAACATAGGGCCGCAAACCATCAACAGGCTTGGTCGAGCGGATGTAACCTTGATACGCATCGCTCTTCCACCGACCGGAACGCTTAATACAGATATCCGACTGGTGACAGTTCGCAGCAGTAGTCGCAGCTCCGATACGGAAGCTGTGTGGTGTAATACAGCCAAGTTTAGAAATACCGTGCAACAGCGCTTTCAACATGCCGGCGAAGCGAGAGCGAGAAAGAAAGGTACCATCCCGAAAAGTAAATAAAGGATAGTTATTAGGATAATCCAAAACCTTACGCAATAGGTAAAACTTATAGATAGACCGAAATGGGCAAACAGATCTATTTGTAGCAGACAACGATACAACCGAACCACGAGCATACTGGTCTGTTTTAGACCGCTTAATAGACATTAAAACAACAGATTTCTGAATGGTTACGTCAGACAGCAACAAGGTCGAACAAGCTTGGAAAGAACGTTTGTGCGACGACGTATACTCACACGGACGAAGGAAGCCGAAATATGCAGCATTACAAGCTGCCCAGAATAATGACTTATCGTATGGTGACCAACGAGAATCATTAAGACAGCGCTTAATTAATCTCATAACATCCAGTGATACCGGAAGTCTCTTATCGCGCCGAGGCGGACGGAGCCGCGCATAACCTTTAATCGCGCGAGTAATAACAAGCGACTTTGTAAAATCGAATTTTCCATGCTCACAAAGCCAATTAGAAACACCAGAAATATATACACGAAGCGTGGCATATGATTTACTAGAATCGAACAAATGTGCAATGAAACGCAACAAAGATGAGCAGCTAAGCTGATAATTGTGTTGCTGGCAAAAATTGCGATAAGTTGTAAAACCAATGCAGTACACGGACCGAGAAGAGGATGCAATATGACTTTTTAATAACAATTTAATGGTAGAATCCATGCTACTCAACTAGTAACTCATTCAACACATCAGGTACGAACTCAGGGTTAGCATTAGCGTTAGGACAAAGCTGACGAAACATAACTAGCTGACCACGAGACAAAGCGTCGGCAACATTGTGGCGGTGGCGGCTAGCAGTTCAGCGAAATCAACGTATCTTTCGTTACTGCGAAGATCCGCTTCAATTTCAGGATCCACTGCTGTCAAATTTAAAAACGGACCAAGGCGCGCACTTACAGGCAGTTTCGGTAAAACAACAGGCGTTGAGCAGTCACTGATTAAGATGCTGTCCCGTTGACCAATACCCGGCGACGCACAAGACAGAGACGGACGATGATGCCCGGCAGATGTCAAAGTGTCAATTTGAGCTTGCATTTCATTCTGTCGACGAAGCAGAGACTCCACAGAAGGCGACATACGGGAACGCGACTTCTTCCTGGGAGGTGACACTGACTTCCGACTGGACCTGGCAACGCGATAAAGCGTTCCTGTGGACTCATCCGAATCATGAGACAGTACTGAAGACTGTTTCGTAGACGCTTCCGATAAAGACGACACGGATGCGATTTACGATCTCAGTTCCCAAACACAATTCGAGCAGCCACAGAACTAACTTTCAGACACGGCACTCAGCTACATCAATCGCACAACTACATACACAAACTTTCAATGATAGTACTATCCATAACATACAATGCTACAACTGACCACTGCCCAACCGCCCCACCCGCGCCCAACCACATCTCTCCAATCCGCCCTTCATCCTTCTCCGCTGTCTTAACCGGAATTAGCTCCGCTAATTCTATTTAAGACAGACTCCGCGAACACCTCAGCAATGACTTTAATGGTAGTTTGGGGGTTAGCACGTTGTATCGATGACATATGTAACCGACGCAGCGGATCCAATAGGTCATCTCCACAAAAGGTAACCGACACAGCGGATCCATTAATTACACACTTCCAAAACAACCCCCCAAAACCCCCAAATGCGTCAAACATAGGGCCGCAAACCATCAACAGGCTTGGTCGACGGATGTAACCTTGATACGCATCGCTCTTCCACCGACCGGAACGCTTAATACAGATATCCGACTGGTGACAGTTCGCAGTAGTCGCAGCTCCGATACGGAAGCTGTGTGGTGTAATACAGCCAAGTTTAGAAATACCGTGCAACAGCGCTTTCAACATGCCGGCGAAGCGAGAGCGAGAAAGAAAGGTACCATCCCGAAAAGTAAATAAAGGATAGTTATTAGGATAATCCAAAACCTTACGCAATAGGTAAAACTTATAGATAGACCGAAATGGGCAAACAGATCTATTTGTAGCAGACAACGATACAACCGAACCACGAGCATACTGGTCTGTTTTAGACCGCTTAATAGACATTAAAACAACAGATTTCTGAATGGTTACGTCAGACAGCAACAAGGTCGAACAAGCTTGGAAAGAACGTTTGTGCGACGACGTATACTCACACGGACGAAGGAAGCCGAAATATGCAGCATTACAAGCTGCCCAGAATAATGACTTATCGTATGGTGACCAACGAGAATCATTAAGACACGCTTAATTAATCTCATAACATCCAGTGATACCGGAAGTCTCTTATCGCGCCGAGGCGGACGGAGCCGCGCATAACCTTTAATCGCGCGAGTAATAACAAGCGACTTTGTAAAATCGAATTTTCCATGCTCACAAAGCCAATTAGAAACACCAGAAATATATACACGAAGCGTGGCATATGATTTACTAGAATCGAACAAATGTGCAATGAAACGCAACAAAGATGAGCAGCTAAGCTGATAATTGTGTTGCTGGCAAAAATTGCGATAAGTTGTAAAACCAATGCAGTACACGGACCGAGAAGAGGATGCAATATGACTTTTTAATAACAATTTAATGGTAGAATCCATGCTACTCAACTAGTAACTCATTCAACACATCAGGTACGAACTCAGGGTTAGCATTAGCGTTAGGACAAAGCTGACGAAACATAACTAGCTGACCACGAGACAAAGCGTCGGCAACATTGTTCGACAAACCAGATATGTGGACAATTCTTAAATTGAAATTATGTTGAGCCGCAATAAAAAATATTTTCCGCATAACAGAGTTTATTTGTAAATTAGCAGAACAAAACTTAGACCATGCTTGCACAACTGCGAGATTGTCAGAATGCAACTGAACTTTCTTGCCGGTTAGTAACTTTCCCCATAGCAGACATGCAATGTAAACTGGAATTATCTCACAAAGTGCGATACTGTGCTCAGCCATAACCGCACCAGCTGGCCATTTCGCAAAAAACCAACGACCGGCAAAATAACCACCAATCCCCACCGATAACGATGCGTCAGTGAATAACTGTAACACATCCGCATCAGACCAATCAATGTCCATAAAGGAATTAGTGCCGTTCCATGTCGGCAAGAAATCGCGCCACCACTGTATATCCGCATGAAAGCCGGCATCCAATACAACTTCATCCAACTGATTACGCAACAAATTAATCATACGACGTAGAAAAAGCCGACCAACCGGCACGCATTTGGCAGCAAACTGTAATTTACCGATAATACTTTGTAGCTCAGTTTTGGAACAAGTAGTACGATCAGCCCACTGTGCAAGCACTAAAACAATTTCCGCAAGCTTTTTAGAAGGCAAAGAAATGGTGCCGGCCACTGAATCAAGCACAATCCCTAAAAAGGTCAGTGCAGTTGCCGGACCTTCGGTCTTCTCGACCGCCAGAGGAACACCAAGAATGCCACATAAATCAATGAAACTGTCCAATATAAGCTGACACTGTGCCGAACCAGCCAAGCCTATGATAAGGAAATCGTCCACATAATGCAGAATCCACTTATGATGGGTGATATTCGATAAGATCCAGTGAATTGCTTCGGAGAATAAGCAGAATAAATAGGGAGAAGAACGTGAGCCGAACGGTAAAACTATATCAAAATAGTATCCATTTCCCACACGATAACCCAGGAGATGCCAGTCTTCACGCCGAACTGGCACCAGTCTAAAGGCATGTTTAATGTCTAATTTTACCATAACTGCGCCTTTACCAGCTGTCTTCAAATATCGGATAGCATCATCGACTGTACAGTAAGAAACAGTATATGTGTGGCGGTCAATGCAGTCGTTAACAGATGTGCCAGACGGAGCTGACAAATTATTTATGATTCTGTGTCCACCTGACGCTTTGGGAATAACGCCGAGGGAATTGCAGACAAAATTAATTAATGGCGGCTTATCAAACGGGCCAACAGAGTGGCCTAATGACACTTCTTTATGCACAGACGCTAACAAAATATCATGATGGATAACTGCTGATTTCATATTAGACACTGACCAAGATACGCGGGGGCCGGTATAACCAATATCCGCTCCATTTAATAAGATATCAGATATCTGCGCAACGAACAACCGATCTGGGTGGTCTGTCAATAACTGGACAAATTTCTCACGACGAAGCGGTGTTGCCGGTTTTGTTGGCATCATTGACTTCATAGCAGGAATAGAAACCGTGTCCTCCACGTCCACAATGTGAGCAGAAATGACGAAGTTTCTTACGGCTTGGTGTTGAACAAATTCCATCGTTGAAGTCCTGACAAATGACTTTTCCGACACTACCGGCACTATTTTTTCGATCCCCGCCGGCCGCAGCCGGCCGGTCACGAAAAAGCTGTGTGCTGCTGCTGCTAGTACTGGCTACACCTACAGCCGGCCGCATCCAACAATTACGAGCAAAATGACCATTACGGCCGCAGTTATTACAAGCACCACGCTGCGGTTCCGATAGACGTTGCATCTGCAGTTGTTCCGGTAAACGTTGCATCTGGAAAGACTGCCGAAAGATTTCTTGATCAGCTGTCTCCCATATAGCCACGTTGCACGGCTGTGTACGAGCAAACATACGAAAGCGATGGTCGTAACCCAGCCACTGGTTAACAGAGTAACCACTGGCCGCAAAACTTGCCATAACACTCAAGTACTTAATCAACGGCAGGCGCATGTCAGGATAATAATGCGTTCGATGAGCCATAAACACAGAGTATGCACTAACCCACTGTGCAAATGAATCAATTGGCGGCGGCTTAAATGACTTTTTATCCCGAACAGAATAATACTGGAAGTCTGTGGCGGCTAGCAGTTCAGCGAAATCAACGTATCTTTCGTTACTGCGAAGATCCGCTTCAATTTCAGGATCCACTGTCAAATTTAAAACGGACCAAGGCGCGCACTTACAGGCAGTTTCGGTAAAACAACAGGCGTTGAGCAGTCACTGATTAAGATGCTGTCCCGTTGACCAATACCCGGCGACGCACAAGACAGAGACGGACGATGATGCCCGGCAGATGTCAAAGTGTCAATTTGAGCTTGCATTTCATTCTGTCGACGAAGCAGAGACTCCACAGAAGGCGACATACGGGAACGCGACTTCTTCCTGGGAGGTGACACTGACTTCCGACTGGACCTGGCAACGCGATAAAGCGTTCCTGTGGACTCATCCGAATCATGAGACAGTACTGAAGACTGTTTCGTAGACGCTTCCGATAAAGACGACACGGATGCGATTTGCGATCTCAGTTCCCAAACACAATTCGAGCAGCCACAGAACTAACTTTCAGACACGGCACTCAGCTACATCAATCGCACAACTACATACACAAACTTTCAATGATAGTACTATCCATAACATACAATGCTACAACTGACCACTGCCCAACCGCCCCACCCGCGCCCAACCACATCTCTCCAATCCGCCCTTCATCCTTCTCCGCTGTCTTAACCGGAATTAGCTCCGCTAATTCTATTTATGAGTAGCCGAGTAGCAGTGCATTTTTACTACACTGTATATATGTAGTGAGATGACGGACACGTTTTTGATTACATGTATGATGTAGGTAATTAAGCGAGCAGTTTGTTCTCACGCAAACAATGCAAAGTTTACGAGCAGCAACAGGAAATACAACCTGATAGATAACCGTTAGTGTTGACGTTCATCCAACAATTAAACCAACAATCAACAAGATTACGGTCGTTAACTCAAATTTTAAAACTGAGTGCAACTGCCTTAAATGGTCTGGTAATCAGACCTGATTATCGATTGTTCTCGCGCTCGTGCCTATCCTTCTTTCTAATTTTACAGCTACCATCTAAACACACTGAACACCAACACCATTCACACTGAACACTGAACACCCTTCGCATTCTCTTGGATAACGAACTCTCTTTAAGTTTCGTAGTAGCAGTCCACGCAGTGATTGTTGCTGTTGCTTAAGGCCTTAAGGGTCCGCTTGGAGTGCCCGCTGCACCAGCAAATTCCAGTTTTGTGTTTCGATGTTTCATTGTAGTTAGGTCGTGTTTTATTCCAGTTGTTGTACTATTTTTTGTTGACTGATACAATATCATTAAAGCGGTAATACAGCAATGTCAAAATCATACCAGTTTGTTGACGGACCGCGCACCTTTAACTACGACATTATCCGGCATATCGGACGTGGCGGCGGTGGGAGCGTGTCGGAAGCGATAGAGATTATCGATGGTGAAGTGTCCAAGCGGCCGGTTGTGGTAAAAGAAAGTGCCTGCGTGAACACCAGTGACGAAGTACTGCAAACCATAGCGGAAAAACTGCGACGGATTCGCCGAATTAAAAGTCCCAATGTTACCGCGTACTATCACGCAAAGCTGGAGAAGTTCGTGTATGGTATAGAGACTTCTATACAAACAGTGGTGGTGATGGAATACTGTCCACGTGAGTCACTTGTAAAACCAAAGTAAAAAGGCAACATGCAGTATTTGTATTAGACTATTAGGTAGTAATACTTACAGTTGGAGATTTGGAAACATACGCCAAGCTAACCATGCTATCAAACGACGAGATTAAAGACATTATACGACAGATTTTAACCGGCCTAGTAGCCATTCACTCCCATAATGTGATCCATATGGATTTGAAGACGGCTAACATTGTCCTCGCTCACGATGACCGGCATTCACGGTATGCCTTGGTGGCCAAAATAACCGATCTTGATGACCATTATGCCCTGCAAGCCAGTGTTACCAAAACCAAAGAAGTAACCAGCAACCTAAAGGGCACAACGTACTTTATGTCACCGGAAATGCTGGAGCGGGGAAACGGTCAGTACCAGATTGGGAGAATGACCGATATGTGGAGCTTGGGCTGCATAATTGTCGAGCTGTACCGCCAGAACCAGCCCTTTCGGTTCGTCAACACCATCAACGGGATGCCCAACCCAGCAACTATTTTGCTGGTTGACGAAGCCAATCTACCAAACGCAGTCGAGAATTTTGTGCTCAATGGTGGAATCCCCGAGATTCCCGTGGAGATTCCAGATGTGGCTAAAACAATGATGGAGAAGTGTTTTGAAAAAAATCCCAATAAACGGCTCAGCCCAGTGGAAATGTTGGATAGTGGGTGGTTTGAAAATGCAGAAGCTTTGCATAGACCAAAAGCTGATACCGCCCCTAAAGGAGGTACTATATAGTTTTAGTTTGTAAATTTAATAATTATTGTCTTTAATTTTCCACATAAATGCACTTAAATATGAAGATGGTTTTACACCGAACCAGACCAGCACCATTACTGAAAGATTTTAAAATTCCTTTAGAAATGTGAAATGTGTGCCAATACCGTGACTCTGTGATTCTGTGCTCAGATCGGATCTTCATGCATATGACGTGCGTTCAACAAGCAAATTTAAAGGAGGTCGATACATTATGCACCTGGCCTTAATGCGACAGAATTGCCTTGCAGCCGTAACTACTCAACCGTGTGTTGTGCGCCCAAACCGGCTTTCAATCAAATGTATAAAAAAAATCAACCTGCTACAGATTGTCCGCGACGTAACCCAAAGCAAACAAAAAGTGTTTGATAGTTTTCATAATTCAACCGAAAGCAAAAGTTTTTGTGCATGTACTGCACACGAACTTTGTACTATATGCCGGGTCACTTTCCGGCATATGGTACAAAGCATCACTGCATCAGCAACGCGACGAAAATAATTTTCCTGTTTATAGAAGCGAACGGGGAAAATCAATTCCTACTTAGGAATAAAGACCTTATCCCAAAACCCAGCCGCGAAATGATATGGGACTGTGGTGTTAATTGTGCCGCGCGAGTGTTAATGCACCACACTCCCCACACGCATTTTCCCTACCATTGCTACGCCACTGAAGTGGCACAAGTGAAGAAGAACATCGACCCCGGCCAGCCAGTGGACGAGAAGTATCGTCGGTTACTTCTGAAATGGCTGCAGCAGAGTCAGGCACCGACAGCCATTCAGCAGAATCCCTGGGCGACGCTGGCTAATACCTTGGGGTCATTCCTTTTGTCCGTTGACTCACCGCGCCTGACAGCGCTGATCACGCTGATGCTGCCGACGATCGGACCGTCGTTTCCCGATGTGGCCAGATGGATGAACCGATACACGAAAGAGTACCAGTACGTGTGCAAAGGTCGCGCTACTTGGTCAGATATTAAGCAGCTGCTGGATCGTCATGAACCGGTTATCGCACAAATGTCGTTGGGTGATCTGGAGTTTAGCGATACGATCAGGCAGGCAGCCGCCCTGACCGGCTACCAAGCGATGTGCCCAACGACTTTCCCCAATTTCCATGCGGTCGTTCTGCGCGGGTACACAGGTGCGAAGCCTAACGGAGAACCCGATAGGTTGTGGATGACATATCCTGACGGAGAGAATACAGAGATGTCGTATGCGCGGTTTAAAAAGTGTGCTAACTGGGAATCTTCTCATCCGCTGACAAAAGAAGCATTCGATTTGTCTGGCTACGAACCGGGGCAGATTATCTATCGTGTTAAGAAGGAGTTCTGATCGATGAGAAACCGGAATAGCAGTACGAGCTTATCCTGATAACGCTAATTATGAGAGGTCTTCATGCTCTTTAATTACATTAACCTACAGCGATAAGATAAGCAGTGACATTAAAAATCATAGTTCTGATTTGCGTTTGGTTGATCTTTACGCTTTACGCCTGAACCTTGAAGCAGAGTGCCAGTACACCTAAGCTTTAATTGAATAGAACATTATTAACATGTTGTCTATCAGCTGTCGTGCACATAAACGACCCGCAAGAATTCATAATTATTCGTCTAACATGCAACCTATTATTTTACCTAGAGCATCATGCAACTGTGGTACGCCTTCGAGTAACTCCAAGGCTCCCGGTAATCCGGTTTATGATTGGTATAGAAAACATATTTCATCGGCAGAATTACATAAAAACGGCAGTATCAAGTGGCTAAGCACGCCACTGCCAAGGCCCGCCCTTAAACCACGGATCCTGCAGCAGCTCCACCGCTTTCGGCCTATCCATCCCAGATCGTTTAAAACATTGCTCCAGTTTAGTGAATCCTTTCAAAATTTCCGTCTGCGGAATATCCGGTACTCCGTTCTGCACGATGAAATCGCGCACCTGCATCGGCAGCGACCGCTGTTCAACAATCATATAATCCGTCCTCACTGGGCGTACCCCATCCATCTTGATTAATTTAAACGGCAAACTCCCCCGTCCTAATTCGACAACGATAACTCCCACACTCCAGATATCGGTTTTGCGTCCTACACGCAGTAAGTCATATTTGGCCTGGAGGATTTCCGGCGACTGATACCTTTCCGTTCCTCGGGTGTCCTTCACTTCGGAGCGGGTCATCGTGGCAATGATCGCGACGTGATCATCGATGTCGGCGATCTTGGTGACGATCACGCCATCCCTCACTGTTAAGAGAATGTTCGCCGGTTTTAAATCGGTGTGGGCGACCTTGTTCTCGTCGGCATGAAGATAACTCAGTCCTTGCAGGATATCGTGTACGCAGGATTTCACAGCGACAAGTGGCAGCGGAGGCGTCACGTTTTGCTGCCGCTTATTCGCCAAATATGCCTCCAGATTTCCCACTATGTGTACAAAGGTCACGGTTATCTTAGTTACGGTTATCTTGGTTATCTTAGACCGAATATGCTTTACACGTATTTATGTTTCGTTTATGGTGGCTTTTTCAGTAACATACTTTCGCAAAACTCCAGGATGAGTATTCCTTCTTTTTGAGTCGGTATGAACTCGTTATCGTGTTCCTTGGCATGGAAATAGCGAACTAAGTTGACATGATGGAATGTAAGCGCTCCTCCACTGCGCTACTAACTTGACAGCCACCTGGTTCTGCGTAGCGGGATCCGCGTTGTTCTGGAAAAGACAATCCGTTTCAGAACGTATTTGTCGTTGGGATTGTCGTTCCTCGATGCCAGGTAGGCGGTTCCGAAAGCCCCACCTCCAAGTATCTTTTCCGGTGTGAAGACATTTCCGTCGAGAGTGTAATTGTCAGATACCTGGCGGCCCATTTCAGTACAGTGTACACAACGCAAATAATCCACTTTTGTAACGCGAACCTTCGTCTACTTCGTGAAATACTGCTTAAGTTAGCGAACACTGCACACTGTTCGATAATTTCAGTATTTGGGGTGTTATCAAGCTTACACCCGTTTATCGGCTAATTTCTAGATACAGATACATTAGTATTGCATTATATAGTATATCTACATACAGCACTGCATATGTACATATTCGTTATCTGTGAATACTTCTATATTTTCTTCTGGGTTTGGGTACAGTCTGCGCAGTACCTGCTGCCTTCAAATAAATACATACTCACTAATTATGAAACCACCTTCAAAACATAATTGATTATCTGTTGCTTTTTATCTTGCGCGACGATGCCGCAGCGGTAAGTAATTAATTGGGGTGTGCTATAATTCAATGCACAAAGCGATTTTCATAAGTACAGCACTATAATTATGAATGAATCCCGGTTTATCAGCAACATGAACGCGATTATAAAATTTCACCAGTAATGTTACGAGTATTGCAGCAAGCCGATAAAGTTATTTAATTGTGTGGCAAAATATTGAAAACAGTTAATACACTTGTAATTTTTACGCTGTACAGAGTACTCGTACAGTCGTGCTACATCGGTAATTCTGCGTCGCACTGGTAGTTACAAGTTACAACGCATATGCCACCGCCACCAGAGCGGTGATTGCTGCATGTATAATTACAATGAATTTCCGGTAGAACGACTTTACGTTACCGTACCAGTGACGCGCCCCCACTATGTTCGTTCTGTTTATCGAACTGGCTTCGTTGCTTGGTAAACTACAAATCCAAACAGTATAATTTCCATTCTATTCTTTCCTAGTTTTGAAACTGTGAAACTCCATTTCTGATCTCCTGGCATAGTCAGCTATTTAATTTATAGATCTAGTTTAAAATTTTTATTGAGCAGCTAACAGTTTTTACCTATCAGTCTACCAATCGGAATCTGCATTTTCTCGAACGAACTCATTGCGCGAATAACACCTGATCTCTCAACCGTGTGAAAACCCCATCGCCACACGCATCACGTGCAACAGCTGCTGGTTGTGTAATAAGCGTTTCGTTACATCGTGGAGCGCAGGATGGAGGAGGAGAAGAACGCGGAGCGTCGCGAGCAATCACGTGATCCGGCCCTGAACAGCGCCTTCCAGGGCTTATCCCTGCGCAACGAGGAGTTGGCGCGACAGGGCTCCTCCAGTACGGAGGAGAGCAGTGAGGAGGGTGAGGGTGGGGAGCTGCCCGACAACCTCCTGCAGTCCTTCTCCACGGGCGGGACGGATGATCTGGAGCTGCTGCAGAAGGAGTACGATATGCTGTCTAGCAGCAGTTTAGCCGAGACATCCGAGGAATTCTCAGCCGAAGGTGAGCTGTGGGTTTTTTCCCGTGAATTTTCTGCCAGATTTATATCATTAATTTGTAAATTTCGCATACCTAGGTTATATAGCATTTATTAGAGATTCTTTTCGTTTTATTTAGCGATTTCAGTTTTCGATTTGTTTTCTCGTTGTGAGTTGTGGGCTGTTTTTTTCTGACTTGCCTGGGTCACCGTGTGGCGTTATTCGGTTATTTTGGGAATTTTTGCTTGTTTTTTTGTGTGAACGGTGTATTTTTTATTTAATTTTTTTGCTGTTTTACGAATTTTGGCCAACACTGAACACGTTTTCTTGTTCGGCTGCTTTGAAAAAAAATAATCTAATATTCTAATTTAATACTATTTGTCGTGTTTTCTTAGCTTTGGAAATGAAAATGAGTAGAATTATTTCGTTAGCTGTAACCAGACCACTAAAAGTAAAAATCATTTGGCAAAAACTTATGGTGTCGTCACACGAATGTGATACTGTACTAAAAAGTTGAAAACTGAACTGCCGGGGCTCATTTAATTGACGTACGGACGGGCGCCCGTTTCTACGAACGCTCACCAGACCAGACTGGTGGCCCATCCACTACGCTACCGTTGTCATACTCGGTAACTCGGGACTGCACTGGTTTTGTACCGCAGTAATAGCCTCCTTGATTCGTTTATATGTCGTTTTTTACTATTGATTTTTACTAGCAAGAATATTAAGCAAATTATTCAGGCAGGAATTAATAAAGTTTTTACAGTTCTACGTAATAATTTACGTAAAATTCGTAATTACATGGTAGTATTGCAAAATTATAGTGGCAACTAGTAATGTAGAGGTATTGTGGTATTTCCGGTTGGAACATTGATAACAATTTCAGTGTTAAAAATTTTAATCCTGTTCTTCCGCCTACATGTAGGCGGGTTAGCACTGTTATACAAGAACACAGAGGTTTATTAATTTTCTTCTGGCAACAGGGCTGGATGGGGAGATCCTGAACGGTGTGTACTTCGACAAGCTGGAGTTGGAGTTGAGCGCCATCGAGAACGCCATGTCGGACTTCGAGGGCCGTCTGGATACGCTGCGCGCCCAGGCCCAGGATCTCCTGCTGACCCTGCAGAAGGAGCGCTCGGCGTCCCGCGGAGAGTCCTGCGACGAGAAGATGGCGGACAGCGCGCCGTTGACGACGCCGCTGGTCGAGCAGGGACACGGCGATACCGCTTGAACGGCGTTCGGCCTTTCCGCCGAACAATGCCGGAGATTGACAGGATTGGCGTTGACATGACAGATTATATATCATTCCGATTAATATCGCCCTCGAGGGGCCGTTAATTAATGAGTGATGTGGTTGGTCGTTCGGTAACAGATTTTGCAACTTATCGGTGCATTCAGGTTGGCTTGTAAGGTCGTGTTTAATTCAAGTGCCGTTAGGTGGTTGTGCGTTGTATGATCTGGAAAAAATGCTGAATGATGCAGTAACTGACAGCTGCAGTGGGAATACCAACAGATTGGTGTGGTTAATAAAATTTGATTAAAATCCACAGATTCGATGTTGTACTGTGTTGTTCTGTTGCTTCCGGTGCGATACCAAAATCTGCATTCAGTCTGATGAAAAACTTGAAACTTAATTATTACTCACAAGCGGATTTTTATTTTAAATTATTATTTGGTAAGTGCTATCATGTATGATATTTATTTATTTTGGATAATGGTATTTCTGCATTTATGGTTTTTATTCATATTTATTAGTGCTGGGTTCTTAAAAAAATGTCATTTAATATCCGCACGACACCTGCTGTACAAACTGCCATCCTGGATCGTCCAGCATTACGATGGAGAAATAGAAAAATTTGGAGTCTCGAGATATTATCGTAGATCATCGTTTGCCTGGCGTTTCTACGCGTATACGGACTTACAATTGGGAAAGCCATTACACTACAGTGCATTCGTAACGCTAGAGTCGGCTAGACACTGATCGCATCGGTATATTTGTTAAACAGTTTCGCAAGCGCGGGCACACTACTTCACAGTTAAAATTTAACATTGAAAAAACAACCAAAATCTCTGTCCCCCCAGCGGGTCAATTTTCGGATAGTTTCGCTGCTTCACAATCAACCATTCCCCCAACCCACAAGCCAGAATCAGTTTTAATTTTTATACAACCCCCCTCAAAAAGTCACATTATGACATGGTCGAGAGTCGAGATAAACAACAAGAGTTCACTGCTTAATTGCGGAAACCGTGCGCCGTTTCGTCTCATCCAGTTGGCGGAGCACTTTATCCGGCTGCGTTTGCAGATAATCCTTCACCGCATCCAACAAGTCTTTTTTGATTTTATCCGGAACCGAAGCTACATGAGAAACATCGAATCATTGTAAGCCAGCGAGAATATCACGGTAATAAAACTATGGCATCCAAATTTTAAATCACGTGCATGCTTTTAAGAAAGCACGCCACATTTTCAGAAATCCACGCTTAGAGATTAGAAAAACCAATGAAAATGCATTATAAAAGATTTCCATCCCAAATGTGCATCTCAAGTTCCAAAAAATAACTGCTCCGGTGGCAAAAAAACGTGCACGCTCTCGCCAAAAAAAGCAGCGTAATAAGAAACGTACAACAAAAACTGGTGGCATAATAAAAAACGTGGGAAAATTAAAATGAGTTTATTACGATAAAAGGACAATATCGCGCGGAACGCGATATACCAGTACGAAAATTCACTTACAACGGAGACCGTTCCCAATTTCTTCGATGAGATCCTTCGCCACTCGATCCGGTCGCAGCAGCTGCCCGCTCTGATAAGTGGCTAGTTTATCTGCCAAATAAAACATAATTTTAATGGTTGCAATCGAGAGAAAATAATACGCAGACGTTCCAACAATGTTGCAAGAGATCAGACAACATTCGGAGATTGCCTCAGAATTTCAGAGCAATTTGCAACTTACTTTTAAATGCATCTTTGACTGTGGAATACCAAGCATGCTCTTCCAGACGCGATGACACCCAGTCAACCAATCTACAAAAACAACAGCAAAATCGTGACCACTATGCCGGCATGACTGTCAATCAAAACACATATTTCCATCGAACCCGGGAGTTTGGATAATAAGACTCTAACAAAACGAAAACGCATCCAAAGCCGCCACAGAAATACTGAATAATAAAAACTAAAAATAAAACCGAACGAATTACAATGGATATATTACAACTACTGAATATAATATTCTGTTCGTACTGCTTGCTGCTTATGATCGCTAAAATGCTTTCTACATTGAATGTGCCACCTCACTACGTTTCGTCGACAATCGTCTCGCACGAATACATACGTCATACGTGCTGTTCTTCTATTCAAGATAATAATTTATTATGTTAATTTATGTACACTTACCACACGTCCTAAGATCATGCGTGACACTAACGATTTTGGATGTTTTTTCAGTGTTTAAAAGTTTGATGCTTTTAATTAGCGTAAACCTGCGCAGGCGAATTTATTTATATAGCGATTTCGCTCTCATGATTCTTGAAGGCTACGCATTCGCGTATACATAATTATTAACATACATAATCATTCGCATATTCGCGTGAAACAGTAATTCTTTACATTAAAGAATAAAGTGAAACACTAATTTTCAAAAGAAGTAAAGAACCATATTATTAATTTACTCGTAAGGAACCCTATTACTTCGAAAAAAATTATTTTTATCATCAAGGACCGTATCTTTCTCAAACTTTTGATAAAGCCAATAAAAGACTAGCAACGACAGTAAGGAAATTAATTAAAACGCAGGGCATTCCACTGATTCCAGGCTAAAATGCAATACTGACTGTTTCTCCTTGTCGCTGACGGGTATCTGCTGTGCTTCCTTATCGGGCGATGCCTCTTTGCGGGAGGAAGGACGGTGTTCCTTTTTGTGGTGTTTAGCATGCGCGGCGTGCTCGTCGTGGTCGTCATCGTCGTCGCGTTCGCGTTCGGCGGAGCTGTCGCGGGAACCGTGGCGCTTGCGTGATCGCGAGGGACTGCTGTCGGGCGCGTTCGTCTCCGTCAGAGAATGCCGTTTGGCAGACATCATATCGACAATTCCTACTTCATCGATCCCAATCCAGCTGGCACAATTCGGGGGCGCTCAGGGCTTCCCAGACAAACGCTCCGAAGCGAGATATAAATTAACAAAAAGCAGTTTAAATCCAAATGACAAAATATCCAATGGCTTCACAGTTCTGCAGAGACGCTAGCTACCCTGTAACCATCATGCAATTATAAATTCTGCATCGTAAAAATTAAAATGGAATAAAAAAAACTACACGTAGGTATATCAGAACACCAAAAAACAAATGTTTATTAGTTTATAAATCATTTATCTGGTTTTCTGTTTTCGAGCAGGAGTTTCGAAATTTTGAGCTTTTAGTTTTGCCGTTTGTTTCAAGTTTCGTCTTCCGGTTTGTCAACTGCTGCTCGGCGGCTCACCATATCTACAGTAATATAGCTCGACCGCCCGCGGATACCGTCAGACAGGGACAGCCGCCCGTCACTCCGCTCACATCGCGAATGAATGGGCAAAATTTCATGACTTGTTTTCATGTTTTGCAAACAATCTTACAAACGCATCTGCAGCGATTACGTCAAAACGGGATGATCAGTCAGTCGTCTTATTCATCACAGTTAAGCGCCTTTAAATTAAAAGAAAAGAAATTTCTGGATTCCCGACTTTTCCTAAAACCAGTAGAAACGTTGTGCCAATCACGACAGGAGTGTCTTAGCCGTTCTGTGATACCAGATTCGGGGAAAAGTAGTATGTATTTTAATTTTTTGAGGGACCCTACCTCGATCGTTCCTTGATAATTTTATTGGGATTTTATCGCTCTGTCTGATGGACTCATTGTGATGCTGTGATTATCCGCTACCTCCGGAAAATTTATCGCCGTGATATGTGTATGTTTTGACTGTGATATTTTCGATGGAGCGAACGACGGTGTTGGCGTGGGGTAACAATCAGGAGGGCCAGCTGGGACTGGGCGCCTCCACCGAGGTGGACGACAATGGGCCGCGCGTGCTGGACTGCTTCCAGCGGCAGAATCTGCAGGTCAGCCAGATCGCCTGCGGCCAGAAGCACACGCTGTTCGTGCTGGTGGACGGCAGTGTGGTCGTGCGGGACGAACGAGCACGGCCAGCTGGGACGCGAGTACAACGGGGAACGCTCAAGAAACCTGGTAAGACTGATCCGTTCTCTGCAGGGATGTTATTTACGTTGTTGCTTTGTTGTCCATTAATTTAAACGATTTTTTTACCTGTGATAACAAGAATCGCGAGGAGTACAGTCTGTACTTCCCATTTCCCACAATAATTATAATTTCAACAACGGTGGAAAATTGGTTAAACCGTAGAAATTAAAATAATAGTTTGCTGTGATTATTGTACAGTTATTTTTTAAAATTCACCACGTTACCACGTTTTTAAAAAATTTACCATTTTTTAAAAATTTACCATTTAACGTTTTCCAGAATCTGTGAAATTGTTGCTGATAGCAGTCTGATAAGCGTAAATATTTTAATTCAGAATTAGTACTGAAATCGAAAACAGTAAAATGTGAAATATTGAATTTTCTTTTTTGTTTTATTTTAAATTCCTCATGGAAATTTGTGCGTTTCTGGCTGTTTTCAGTTGTACTGGGTTAGTAAGTGATTAATTGCGGTTTGAAAGATTAAAATCATGATGCACCATCCAATCCGCTTTTTTCTTTGGCCTTTTAGCCAAGCGGTGGATGATTCTCTTTTTCAATTTTCTAGGTCAGATTGAGAATCTGAAGCATCACAACATTGTACAGGCAGCGGCGGGCGTGGGCCATTCGTTGGCCCTGAGCGACGGCGGCCAGATCTTCAGCTGGGGCTGGAACGCTTCCGGTCAGTGTGGCCGCGACAGTGATCCCGACGCACTACGCACTCCCAAGTGAGTTTGGTACACTGAATGTTAATCCTTCACGGACTTGTATATGTGTGGCTCATTCCGGCTAATTGTGAAAATTTTTGTCGTTCATTTTACTTGATTGTATCGGGCTTTTATTGGATTCAGTTTTGTTTAATTGAAGTTGCAGTTTGTGCTTTGTTATTATTGCTCGGGTAGCGTCGATTTATGCGTATAGACCGGATGATTAATTTTCTGAGTGTTTTCTCGCAGATTGATACGGTATCTGGCCCATGAATACATCGTGCAAATTTGCTGCGGAGACGAATTTTCCATGGCACTGGATGATGGTACAAACTACGTTTGTACTAATGATGAGACAAACTACGTTTGTCTATAAAAAATTCGAACATCCACCGCGTTTTTTGTTATCGAACCTTCGTTTTGCAGCGGGAAATATCTACGTTTGGGGGAAGAATGTCTTTGGTGAGAGACTAATAATTATAGGAGCATATCCATATCCATTATATACATCATTATTTATTAATTAGGTACATTGTTTTGTAGCTGCGATTGTCACATTATTTTGATGCTTCAGAATGTTGCTTTTTGTCTTTTGATAAGCTATTCAGTTTTGCGTTAGTTACAAGCTGTTATTTTCGCCGTTTTTTCAATGGTTGATGAAATTTCTTGTACCGATGATTTTTATTCATCTTTTTTGTATCGATAATGGATATATTTTGGCCACGTTGATGCTGTCAGTTTCGGCTCATTGGGATTTCATTCTTTTTAAAACCGCGAGGAATCAAAAAGGATAAATGAAACTTAATTTGGTCAACGATAAATTTGATTTAACAAAATAAGCCCTATTTACACTGTAAGAAAAACTTTGAGATGCGGTGCATTTATTGGTGCTGACGTTTTCCCCACTTCTCTGTCGTACGAGTAGGTCAATTAGGCATCGGACATAAGGACAGCGTAACAACACCACAGACCATGAAATCCCTGGTCGGTCTGCCGATACAGCAGATCTCCGCCGGTGCCTCCCACGCTGTCGTCCTGTCGAAATCCGGCTCGGCATACTCCACGGGGAAAAACGATTTTGGACAGCTGGGCATCGGCGATCAGCATGGTGAGCGGCATTATTCTTCAGCGACACTAAACGGAAGTCAATGGTGTCTGTCTCTAATATCTGACAAAGCGACATCTGACGCGCGCTTGTCGATTTAATGTAGGAAATGTGTATGACTGTACTGTATGTTAGTGTGATCTACGGTATCGCTGTGGAGTTGAATCGTAGTGTGCTGGCTTAATAGTGGGTTGGCGGTTAATGCCGTAACAGCGGCAGTAGCAAGGACGACTGTAATTCGGTTAGATTTGTTGAACGTAAAACATTTTTTGCATTTTTCTGTGACCGTCTTGGCATTGAGTAGATTTTTGACATCCGGATGTGAACTTGCGTATTTTTCGAAATGCGGCTAGAAAGCGAACTCACTGTATGGTAGAATCTTGGGGTTTGCTTTTCTCGGTTTGTTGCTTAGTACTGTAGGTACAGTATGTTGTCGAAAGCTGGTTGGTTGCACTAGCGTTTGTGTGTTTTCAGATCGGAACAATTATTCGCAAATTAAGTCATTCAAGAATCAGCGCGTCTGCTATCTGGCTTGCGGTGAAGAGCATTCGGTGGCGCTGACAGCCGATGGAGGTTGGTTATCTTGCCGACTGTATTATTTTTATTTAAAGTGTCCGCAAAAAATACAAGCTTATTTTGTATTTTGTAAATAAAATTTTGTAGTAGCAGTTAGCGAATAAGTAAATTTATACGAGTATCTAATTGCTTTTGTGATGCACCGAACTAATTCAGTCAAATGTCTTTTTTGGTGTTTTTTTTCGTCTTTACGTTTTTGACACGTTTGGTATTTGGCCCTTTGCTGGAGAAAATGGGCGACGCATGCGTTGTATTAATTCTCGTATTATTAGAATAGGGTTGGCAGCCGTACAATTTAGAACCGCTATGTCATGCAGGTGTGTTTACCTTTGGCGCCGGCGGTCACGGGCAGTTGGGCCACGGACCCACGCACAGCGAGGTCAATCCGCGCAAAGTCTTCGAGCTGATGGGCAGTAACGTCACGCAGATCTGCGTTGGCAGGTATGTTTGGTCGCATTAAATTGTGGAACGAATGGGTTGATTTCCTGTCGCCTTTCCAAGTTAAGGTTGCTTTGTCTGCGGAGAATACAGTGGTTGATGTAATAGCTTAGTGAACGAGGTTATCCCCGGAAACCGCATAATCATTTGGAAATTTTTTGGCGGATGTACTTGGGAGAGTCTGATAGCGTGTCGTCGGGCTGATTATATTCGCGTTATTTAATTCCCTTGTCATGCACAAATTAATTGCTAAATCGTCAGGTTGTTTCAGGGACTTTTCGTAGTACAGTGTCAACTGCGTGCAATTACCCTAAGATCGTTTGGCCTTAAACTCTGCTTTAAGAATGTTCAAGTTAAGAACACCATTTCAGATCTCAACGACGGGATAATTGTGTTTTTTGTCAAAATAATCAGCATCTGCTCATCTGCCACTGGGACGTGGTAGCGCCTTTCATGATTTTTTAAAAATCCGTCACTATGGGAATTTTTTTAGTGCAGTGTCACCTATGCCCACAAGGAAATTACTGTACTCGTACTATAGCCCAGTTCTAGTGTCTGGTAGTGCACTAATCTTATTTATGATATGTACATCCAGTTAACTAGATTTCTCTAGATTTCTGGAGCATTGAGTTAACTAGATTTCTGGAGCATTGAGTTAACTAGATTTCTGGAGCATTGAGTTTTTTTATTGAATCTGTGACTGTAGATTCCACACGATGACGTACGTGGCGGCCACCGGCAAGATCTTCGTATTCGGGAAAGGCGGTTCCGGCCAATTAGGCATGGGCACTGGCAGTCGCGTCAACCACCAGCACCCAGTCATCTGCCACGGCGCCTTCGACCTGATGCGCAATTCGGGATTAACGTTACATGAACTCTTCGCCGGTGGCGACCAGTCCTTCGCCAGCGTCACCATGGGCACCGCGCCCCTCCCGCCCGTCGACTTCCGCGAGGAGCGTCCGCCGCGCGGTCTATTAGTCTTGACGGAGACGGTGGTGGAGCGGCTGGTGAAAGCGTTGAGCTTGTTATCCGGCGAGGACGAGATGCTGGAGGAGACGGAGCAGCGCGAGTTGGAGGTGATGTGCGGCAGTGTGGCGGCCTGGAACGGGGCCTTCCTCGGGCCGGGGGAGGAGCACTACTTTTTATCTAGTAAAAACTGCGGCGTGGCGATGAGCGTGGCGGAGAGCGTTGGAGGAGCTGGCCGCCGCCATGAAACCGGTGGGTGGGGGTGGTATGCGCCACTTTGACTGAGGAAATTATTTATTCATGGACGAATCTTAATTTACAGTTTACCAGATTTAAATGGATTTACAGTTTTTTAATTATTGTACTAAATTAA